AATATTATATATATATAATATATATATATATATATATATATATATATATATATATATATATATTTATATATATATATATTATATAGTATATATATTATAATATATATATATATATATATATATATATATATATATATATATATATATATATATATATATTATATATATAAATATATATATATATATAATATATATATATATATATATATATATATATATATATATATATATATATATATATATATATATATATATATAAGTTATATATATTATAATATTATAAATATATATATATATATATATATATATATAATATTATAATATATATACTTTATAATATATATATATATATATATATATATATATATATATATATATATATATATATATATATATATATATATATATTTATTTTATATATATATATATATATTATATATATATATATATATATATATATATATATATATATATATATATATATATATATATTATAAAGTATTTTTCAAAATTAATAATTAATAATTAATAATAGTGTTATGTGATTTTTTTTTTATAAAGAAAACTCAAGATTTTCTATTAATTTTAGGTTTAAAGATTGCATCATCAATGATCTATTAAATGGTATTCAAATTCAAGATATTTCAAGGCAAGACTCGGCTTATGCTACATACAGAGACAAAGGCCTTTATTTTGTACGCCTTAATATTAGTGTTAGTGATTTAATACCTGTGGCCACGATCAACTGCTCCGAAGTTATGTTAAATGTGGTCGAGATGGTGTGCCAGGTTACCGTCACGACAGCTGACAGCTATATCGCTATGATACCTCTTCTAAATGTATGGACAAAAAACGATTGCAGATTTTTATTCCGGTATAGTTCTGGGCCTGCTAAGCAAAGACTGGAGTCTCTTGGCGTCATGCCGCCTGCCCCGATACCATTGCCTACAGAGTTGGCACCAAGAAACAACAGTAAAGGCAACGAAGAATTATCAAAGCAATCGAAAGCGGAGACCCAATACGCCACAATTATAGGTCTAGCAATCGGGCTGATCGTATTGATAGTTGTTTTCGCAGTTTTTGTTTACATTATCAAGGACAAAATAAAATCTCCAACAACAGAAAAGCAACAAACACAAGGCTTTTGTATTGCGGACCACAGTGACGTTATCAATACAAACAAGCACGGGGTCCCTTGTTCCAGCAACGTTTACAGAACGCCGTACGGCGAATGGGATACTGAAGGCGGACATCGACACAGGGACTTGTACGCTCTGCCAGCCGTTGATAACCGTTACAGTTGCAGAACCTACGAGACACCAGACATCATCAAAGAGCAGTCACAGGCCGAGGGCTACATAGATCAACCCGATTACATTGAAGTGATAGATCATTATTCTAGTATCAGTAAGAAGACTTGAAAACGGACCACATACTATAGTGTTGAAACCATTTAATTATTAAGCGTTTCTTGCGAAAAATGTTATATTCAAAGAGTAGTTGGATTTAGTGAATGATATTTTATTTTAATTTGACAAGAAATGTATTTAATTTTACTACTAAGTAAATCATATTATAAACGCTGTATTGCACATACTATTTGTACAAGCATATTAACATAATATAGGGATGAACTAAGAGTTTGCGTATGTTTTTTCTTTTGTCTTTGAGTTTGGTTTTGTTCTCTTCCCAAGTTTAAATGATTCACAGTGACGAAGCTAGGGTATGTAGCTAATATGGATATACTAAGATTACATAACAGCATACATGTAGACAACATAATTATTAAAGATTTTTAATATTACAGGATTTCTATAAATTTCTACAATTGTTTAGGTCGACAGTTTATTTACATATGTTATACATAATTTACACATATATTATTAGTCCACCGTTTCTTGCTAATAGTCTAGTTGAAACGGTTGTTAAAAAAAGGGAAAAGAAAAACAAATGTATGTATTTCTATTAAAATGTGTTTAAAACAAGTCAGATCATTGGTAGGGTGACAGCGAAATCTTAAACAGACAAACGATTCGTACTCATAATTGTATTTTAAATGTATAAATGTTTGCAATTTGCATCGTTGCTTTAAAGAAAAACTTGAAATTAAAGAAATTAGTTAATTAAATTATAAACCTCGTTTTACTGTTTTAAATATTCACCTTTAACATAAAGCAGCGGTAAATTCCACTGAATTTTCTATTATAGTCTAAAAATTAATGAAACACGATTAGGGAAAATCTGATTATTCGAATAAACAAATAGAGCCTAAAAGTTATTAAGAAATTATTAAATTCTATATAGATTTGAGTAAACAGAAATAGAGTAATTTACATCTTCCAATTACATGAAAGTGGCCAAAAGTTGTTAGTAATAATGTACGTACATGAGCCAATACTTATACAAAAAATTGTCTTACATAAAAATATCTTACTATAAAGAAAAGCGCGGGTCTCTTCCTAAATATTTGTAAATGTATCCAAAAAATAATATAGTGACCCAAGCTTTTTTTTTATAGTTATTTAAATAGTAGTGTATAATTATATATCTATAGAAATATTTTTTTCTCCTTTTTAGTGCATTATTACATAAAAGCTCGTTTTTTTTAATGTTTGTATGCATTTTTAAATTAATAACTTACAATTTACCTTTACGTAATAATATTACTATAATTGGCATTGTTTATTACATTTATGTTTTTATATTTATACAATTATAAACAGCCAAGTTATATATTGGCTTTTTAAGTATACGACAAAATGGAAACAATTTGAACTCATCAAAGAAATGTTAGCATAATTGTATTGTAAGATAGCCAAAAGAGGAGGCTAAATACTATAATATCTATAATATATTTGCAATCGATTATTTTTATAAAGCTCTGTTGTGAAATTAACAAAAGTAAAAATAAAACGTATTTATTTTACTCGGTCTCAAGTCACAGGTAGCATTAAATCTATGAACTTACATCAGTTATGCTGAATTGTTTCTATATGTCAGCATTTTATGTTTTAGAATAAAAAAATGCTCAATTACCTACCATGATATCGTTAAAATAGTACTTGATGTATATAAGGCGTAACTAATTTTACGTGGATTATTGTTTAAGCGCTTTTTGTCTGTGCAATAAAAAAGTTTTATATTATTTATGTTTTTTTTTAAATAACTATAAATAACTTTTGCTGTATTTATAAAAATGAAGTGTAATTCAACTTTGACTCCTTTGAAAAAAATGTTTTCGTTTATTACTAATTAAATACAGTATTATGACAAAAAAACTTTTTCGATTAGTCACTTAGAATTGTTTAAATACAAATTTAAACTATTGTTAGTAAGAATAATTGAATCTGTCGTACCCTTCCCTTCTTACAATTACACAAACTCTTATTGATAGGCAATACTTAGATAAATGCAGGCTACTTGGTCAGATTTTTCGTGCAATACCTGACTTAAGACGCCGCTAGACACTGGCAGTCTTTAACATCACAATGTAAAAATCTAATGCATTCGTAAATCAAAGCATTGATTTAGTTTATGGGGTATTTGAAATTAACAAATTTAAAATTTCCAAAGAAATTTTTGAAGGTTAAATCCCTTTCTTTCTTTGACCCCATTTAAGTAGAGTTTTGAGTTAGTTCCCTTGGATGAGCGTTGCTAGGTCACGCATGACGTCATGCACTGTAACCAGTTAACTACTCAGAAATAAGACCACTTGAAACTTCTGCCTTGAGTGGACGTTAAAAAAATGTACTAATTTCATTTATTTTAAAGCATGACGCATGAAGTGGCCTTTATTGTGTTATTATATTTATCATCATCATCATCATCCTTCCTTTGTGGCCACTGGGGAGCAAAGGGCTGCAACTACACATTTCCAGCGGACTCTTTTCCATGTTTTCTTTGGCCGGCCCACTTTCTTTTTTTCCCTGGGGATTCCAGTCCATAGCATGTTTTGCAATATTTTCTTTTTCTCTTCGTAACGAGTGTCCGATACATCCCCAATTACGGGCCTTGGTATCCTTATCTATTGGCTGTTGCTTTAAAATTTGCCTCAGGTTTGATATTTTGTCTGGCCATTTTATTTTATGTATGTCGTAAGCAATTGTATACGAACGCCTGTAACCCTGTTTTATTATAATAAAGACGTGAAAAGCGTTTAAAGAAAAAGGTTTTAAAGAAACAGGTTTTAAAGAAACATGTTTTAAAGAAACAGGTTTTAAAGAAGCATGGTTTAAAAAAACAGGTTTTAAAGAAACAGGTTTTAAAGAAGCATGGTTTTAAAAAACAGGTTTTAAAGAAACAGGTTTTAAAGAAACATGTTTTAAAGAAACAGGTTTTAAAGAAACAGGTTTATATTTGCACTATTGCATACGTAAAACTAGTGGGTGTAGACAGCATTAGTTAGAAACAAGGGTAATTAGTTTAATAAACATATGGTGATGGGATTCTCGGACTTTCAAATTTAATTTGATTACGACGCGCCATTAAAGAAAAAAAATAATTCATAAAAAACGTTTTAATAACAAGCTTTTATGTAATAATGCACTAAAAAGTAGAAAATAAATTATACACTACTACTTAAATATCTATAAAGAAAAGCGTGGGTCTCTTCCTAAATATTAGTAAAGGTAATCAAATAGATACTAAAGTTATAAACGCTTGTCTTAATAGTTATTTAAATAGTAGTGTATAATTTATTTTCTACTTTTTAGTGCATTATTACATAAAAGCTTGTTATTAAAACGTTTTTTTGTAAAAAAAACATTAAAATTACTTTTCATGTTTTATTTACAATAGAGTTACATGACAAAAAATCCATTGCGTACCTATTGAACGTGATGACGCCCTATTGAACGTGATGACGCGTGTCTAATAGCACGGAATAGTTTGATGAGACAGAACACTAATTTGGACACACTTTTAATTAATTCATACAAAATCAATCAGGCAAATTTAATGTCATGTTGCATTGTCTTCATGTTTTGACCCACGTACCAACTATGAACCTTATCTGTCATTTAGAAGTGCCTGCAACTTCGCTCAGGCGTTTCGATCTAGACAGACTGACGACTGACGACAGACAGAGGAGGTGAGTTAAAAAAAATGTTTGTAAAAAATATTAAAAGAAAGTAAAACAACAATATTGATTGTTATAAAAACGTTAATTTAGAAGAAAGGTTGCTTATTACATTGCGTCATTAATGAAAGAAATTTTTTTTTAAAATAAAACAACAATATTGATTTTTATAAAAATATAAGTTAATTTTATTTAACTTTATTTAACGAAATCAATCTAAATTATATTTTTAAAAAAAGTATTTTTTGCTAGAGTTTATTAATATTTGCAGAAAGAAATTAATTTAAAAAATAGTAATAAAATTTTCAATATAAAACACGCGAATCTTGCTCAAATTTAAATGAAAAAGTTTCCTAAAATATTTTACAGAAGGTTTTGTGCGAAGCTAACAAATATATTCTCCCACGCCTACGTGTAAAAACGTTGCCTAACATTATAATATCACGTAGGACCTCCCGTGTGTAACAGTATATTATGAAAGGACGCACTTTACTACAACTACATTTCAAGTGTCTTCAACATCTGGGACAAGATAGTGGGCACAAGTATCCCTGGGTGCGCCGGTTAGAACGTGAATAAAACTGAGCTTGTAACAAGACGTAACTCAGACGTTGGCGCAACAACTTACTATCACAAAGGTAATTATAAATTTGTGTATAAGTCTCTTTCTCGCTCTTTAAATTTCTCATCTTTCATCTTGTTATCTGAATATCTCTATATCAGTTAGTATAATTATACCAGTATATATATATATATATATATATATATATATATATATATATATATATATTAATATGTATATATGATTACTCTTTATGATATATGAATACATTATATATATATATATATATATATATATATATATATATATATATATATATATATATATATATATATATATATATATATATATATATATATATGTATATATGCATATATATATATATACATATATATATATATATATATATATATATATATATATATATATATATATATATATATATATATATATATATATATATATATATATATATATATATATATATATATATATATAAAGCAATATTCGAATTTTCCATTAGGCCAAGCCCACAATGATTCCTCTACTTAAGTTAGTTCTCTCTGCTGCCATTGCCTATCACGTTGAAGCTGGAACTGTAAAGCTGAATGTCTCACTGCCATCTCACACATTCGAGGGATCCCTGACTGTAGGAAGTAGTTCTCACGATAGGTAATTTACTGTTTAAACTCAACGCGATTACGTTTATTATTTAACTTATTATTTATGTCTGTGTCTTCACTCAGTACTTGAAAAAAAAAACTAGACCAACTATAAAAGACTCTAGTTTAATTTTCTTAAATGATGTTTGTAATCCATTTATCTTATGGTAACAATATTTATACAATAAAATAACTTACAAATTCAGAATGAGAGTACACTTTTTGTGAATTTCGCATAGGCTAATAAGTGTTCATAGTTATAATATAGAAGTTAATAAAATGTTTGCTTCATACTGTTATGTCCGTCCTCCGACAGCCGCGGAGGAAACGGACGCCCCAGGTTCGTTTGGTATGGTACCGATAGAAGACGTTGTAACGGAATCTCAACAACTTGCCGTGAGCTCGTTAATTCAGTCTAGGGGTAAATCACGACAAATCAAAGAGACTCACACGCCTTAAACTATGAATACCTTTTTAATTTATGTACAAGATAATGACACTAGGTAAGATCAAAATATACAGATTCTCAGTGTAATATAAATAAACTCAACTCCAACTTACACTTTGAGGAAAAATCACAATACATCACAGCTGTGATAAATCATTAATACACACAACTGAACTGGCCTCATAATAATTACAACAAAAGACCAAGGAGAGACAATTTGCCTCTACAACAATAGAAATCCTTATACAGGTTAATACTATCACCGATAGTTAAAAAGGTGTAATAATATACCAGAACACAAATTCAGTAAACTACAACTAGTCACATAATTCCTTATACAAAAGGTGAAATCATGTCACAAAATAACAATACTGCAAAATGGCGTACCTAACCACAGGCACACCTCTCCTGGTCCCTAGGTCAATCTGGCGGCCTTTTGGACTTGAGAAACCCGTGATTAAATACAACTCAGAGTAAGGGGAAATAACTCAAAAGTCTTACGACTATTGGTTGAGGGTCAGTCAAGGATCCTCACGGTCGCAAGTCCATTGGTTGAGGTTCTGCCAGGGATTAAACTTACAATCACATGATGTGATAGCGTTCAGTTGACCGGGTTGTACCAGTGAACTGACAATTCTCCCAAGGACAAATACATATCTCAGGAGATTGAATATACATAAAGCCAAACAGACCTAAGTAGGTCACATCCCCTCCCTTTTAGAGAGGCATTTTTGTTACACAAAAATGGCAATCACTATATGGAACAAATCTGACATAAAAAATGTCCAATTACAGTAATGAACAAAATTTCTATATCAGGAAAAAAACATCCTCAGAAATTAAAGGGAAACAATTCACCTTTTTACAATTTACCAAAGGGAAACAATCCTTCCCAAAGTAATAATACATCAAATTCCTTATGCAAAGGAAACCAAACATATCCATCTGGATATAATATGTGGGAAACTTACAACTTAATTCCTTTATTTAAATGTCCCACTACAACATCAACTGAATAATGTGATACATTTTTATAACAACTCAATGCACATTATACAAAACCACCTTTAAATAAGGTTCATTTGAAAATAACAGGCATTTTCAACAAGTAATCCGTTTTGAAAAAACTGTACAATTCACATCTGATTGAAAGCTTGGAACTCCAGCCACCAGGCTACAGTTTAATCAACCATAACATTTGCAAAATGGTTATAACTAACCAAAAAAGTTTCACAAGATCAATGTGAACATCAAAAGTTGTTTTACATTCTTGACAAACAGTCAGCTACAATGTTGTCAGTTCCTTTAATATGGGAAATAACCAGATTAAAATTTTGGAAAAATATACACCATCTTAAAATTCTGTTGTTATTCTGTCCCAACTTAGTGGTGAACTTAAGAGGATCATTGTCAGAAAATACCATGACTGGATTGATGGGAGAAGTGACATAGACTTTAAAATGCTGTAAGGACAGGACTAAAGCTAAAGCTTCTTTTTCAATAGTGGAGTAATTCTTTTGATTCTCATTTAACTTTCTAGAGAAAAAGGCTATTGGATGATCTATCCCTCGGTTGTCTTCCTGGAATAAGACTGAGCCAATGACTAAATTGCTGGCATCAATGGCAAGTTTAAAAGGCTTGCCGAAATCTGGTGCAGCCATAACAGGAGCATTTGATAAAAATGACTTAATGGTCAAAAAGCTTCATGACATTTAGTTGACCATTCAAACTCAACACCCTTTTTCAATAAGGCCGTAAGTGGTTCAGCTACAGCTGAAAAGTTTTTACAAAACCGCCTATAGTAACCTGACATCCCAAGGAATGGAGGGTAAACTTTTAACTACCTGCGATAATGTCTGATTCTCATCAGAAGATACATGTACACGTTGGTCTTCTAAATGGGCCAAAATTTTAGTATTTAACAATTTTGGGGCCTTTAACTTGTTAAGAGTAGCATCATCAAATTTACTAGAAATACTTATATGTAACATAAACTTAGCTGTGGAGAAAGAGATAGTGAGTTTACATGATAAACCAGTTGTTTCTTTCTCCGGTCTGGGAAGTAGGTGACGCAGTCCTTGGTACTCTTGTTAAATGCTTCGTCTAGCACAAGAATCTGTTTCATCGGCCTGGGGAATATTTTGACTGGGATTCCCAACCAACTGACAGTTCTTACAATGTCTGCAATAACGGGTGTCATCGGTGTGCATTCTCGGCCAAAAGAACAGTTCATTTTCACCGTCGGGGTCTGTAGAGAAAGGGTTCTGAACTTCCTGGGGGTGGACTTTGCTTCCCGCTAAGTCATTACCTAGGAGCAAGTGTACTCCTGGGACAGGTATGGAATCTATCACCCCAAGGATGACATCTCCTTGGATGAGCTGATGTCTCAGGTTGAACTTATGTAGTGGAACTACTATTGGTTCAGCTCCCACTCCTTGAATGATGGTGACATCACCGGTGTTGGTTTCTGGAGCGATGTTCAATGAGTCTCTCAGCAAAAGTGACTGAGAAGGCCCAGTGTCTCTTAGGACTACGATGTTCCGCGATGATGTTGGGTCTCCAGGGTTGCTGATGACAGCATCTGTCATGAATGACTTGAAGCCAACAGTTCTCGATTCTTCACAATTGGTTGCTTCTGATGTAACCGGTTGGTGAAGAGGATAGTCATAAGATGACTGGACGAAAGTGGTGGTCACTTCGTTACCTCCCTGTGGACACGCTGGTGTAGTGTCATCACGACGGGCGAGGTTCACCTTTGGCCTTGCTTGATGGGGGAGAGCGTTACGAGATGTTCGTATATACTCTCTGTTATCTCGCTGTCGCAGGAAACAGTTCTTGATGATGTGCCCAGGCTTGGAACAATAGTGGCAGATCAGTCGCCTGGCTGTGACTCTGGGTATCTGTGTTGATTGACGAGATCCCAGCAACTGGCCAGCAGAGGGATTGTTGCTGATGAGAGGTAGTACCGGATTGTATTTGGTACCAGAACCCTGTGACTTCTTATGTACCAGCTCGTATGTATCAGCTGATTCTGCTGCCCTTTTGATGTCTGTTACTCGGTTATCCAAGATGTGTAGTCTGATCTCTTCAGGTACTGCGTTGAGGAAATCTTCTCTTAGTATCAGACTTCTGAGTTTGTCGAAGTCGTCGACATTCTCAGAATGGAGCCATCTTGAAAAGACTTTTTCTTTTTCAAAAAGGAACTCAACATAGGTTTGGTTCTGTTGTTTCCTACTTTTTCTGAACTTAATTCTGTAGGCTTCTGGAGTTATTTCGTAAGCCTTCAGAATGGCAGCCTTGACCTTTTTGTAATCTGACTGGACTTCGCGAGAGAGTGCCTGGTATGTGGTGGCAGCCTTACCAATTAAAACAGTGCTTAGTAACGTCGTGACTACGTTACTAGGCCATTGACAACTTTCAGCCATGTTCTCAAATGTATTAAAAAATACGACAAGATCTGACTCATCGAACTTAGGGACCAATTTGCAAAACTGGGCCAATGTTTGGGCCACAGACAACTGAGAAGGACCTTCTGACCTCGAACTACTGTCAATAATACCAAACTCATATTCTAACCGCTTCATCTGAACTTCTCTTTCTAACTTTAGTCTGGCCTCAAACTCCCTATCAACAATTTCCACTTCCCGTGCCAAAACTTCAGAAAGAAGACCCTCATCTAGCATGCCTTCATTAATGAAGTAAACAATAACTTTGTCCTTCAACACCCTAGAGGTCTGAGTAACAATATAGTCCAGGTTTAACTTTTTGACAACTGTTATCAACTCTTTCCTACTTAAGTTCTCAACTGCTTCCACAGTAGGACTTAACAACAAAGCCTCCATAGCTACAAAGTAACAATGTTTACCTTCAACTGATAACAAAAACAACTACTCAAGAACTATTTCAACTTCTTCGAACTACTGACCAAACTCTAAATCACAAACTCAAACTAATGCCAAACTTGCACACAAATCAAAATCCCGGACGAGCCCCCACTTGTTATGTCCGTCCTCCGACAGCCGCGGAGGAAACGGACGCCCCAGGTTCGTTTGGTATGGTACCGATAGAAGACGTTGTAACGGAATCTCAACAACTTGCCGTGAGCTCGTTAATTCAGTCTAGGGGTAAATCACGACAAATCAAAGAGACTCACACGCCTTAAACTATGAATACCTTTTTAATTTATGTACAAGATAATGACACTAGGTAAGATCAAAATATACAGATTCTCAGTGTAATATAAATAAACTCAACTCCAACTTACACTTTGAGGAAAAATCACAATACATCACAGCTGTGATAAATCATTAATACACACAACTGAACTGGCCTCATAATAATTACAACAAAAGACCAAGGAGAGACAATTTGCCTCTACAACAATAGAAATCCTTATACAGGTTAATACTATCACCGATAGTTAAAAAGGTGTAATAATATACCAGAACACAAATTCAGTAAACTACAACTAGTCACATAATTCCTTATACAAAAGGTGAAATCATGTCACAAAATAACAATACTGCAAAATGGCGTACCTAACCACAGGCACACCTCTCCTGGTCCCTAGGTCAATCTGGCGGCCTTTTGGACTTGAGAAACCCGTGATTAAATACAACTCAGAGTAAGGGGAAATAACTCAAAAGTCTTACGACTATTGGTTGAGGGTCAGTCAAGGATCCTCACGGTCGCAAGTCCATTGGTTGAGGTTCTGCCAGGGATTAAACTTACAATCACATGATGTGATAGCGTTCAGTTGACCGGGTTGTACCAGTGAACTGACAATTCTCCCAAGGACAAATACATATCTCAGGAGATTGAATATACATAAAGCCAAACAGACCTAAGTAGGTCACAATACCACCCCTTTACAAAAAAATAATAGGAAGCCTTTTCGTTTATTTAAATTACTATTTCCGTCAATTGTAATTTATGTTGCTTACAACGCCATTTCTAATGTGTTTAATCTTATTTCTAATTCAAATTTAGATTCAAGAGCTGCATCATTGATGAATTATTTTCTGGCATTCAAATTAGAGATATGACCGAAATAAGGGCATTTTCTAACAACTACAGACTAGAACATTTTGGTACTTGTGACCAGATTGATAGCATCCACATTAATGTAAATTATAACGTTACAAGCATAGCAACAATGAACTGCTCCAAGTTTGTGCAAGCAAAATGCGAGATGTATTGCGAGGCTGTATTTGCAACAGCCGACATTAATACATCGATAAAAGCACTTCAGAACCATACGTCAATACAAAACTGTATTTTCAAGCTAAGAAAAATCGTAAATCCTATATCTGGACAAGTCAGAGCTAAAGAGGTTTTGGAAAACTCGGATAATAAAAACCTGACTTCGTTGGTTCTCGGAATAGCGTTCGGAGCGGCCATTTTGGTGATATTTATAGCCTTTTTTACTAGCGCCGGTGGGAAATTTAAACGTTTTAAAATGTTCACAAAACAAGTGCAAAAATGTGATGATTTTTGCCTCGCCGAGGTGAGTGATGCACTAAACAGTCGTGCGGACTTGGATGATTGCCCAGACAATATCTACTCAACCTTAGATGGAGACGGGGATCCTGAAGCAGGGAGGGGGGAGCCCGACAGGGGCGTGTACTCACTCCCCGCACGTGAGGGCCGTTACAGTGTCTGTCTTTACGAGAACATGGGCGTAAGCAATGATCAGGCCATGGTCAAGGTTGATGGCGATCTGCTCAAAACTGTTGACGGTTATCAAGATGATTATATTGACGTCATAGATCGCCATGATCATGTCGTTAAAATGAAAGGTCAAATCAAGGTCGAGGTCGATATCGGCGATTCGCTAAAAACTGTTGACGGTTATGAAGTTGATTATATTGACGTCACCGAAACCTCTGATTATGTTCAGACAATTATAAATCAGGCAAAGATCAAGGTTAATAGCGGCGATCCGATAAAAACTGTTAACGGTTATCAAGTTGATAATATTGACGTCACCGAAACTTCTGATTATGTCCAGACAATTATAAGTCAGGCAAAGGTCAAGGTTGAAGGGGCAGATCTGCCAACCACTGGCAACGGTCACCACGACGATTACATCGACGTCACGGAACTTATGTTAATGTATGCCACACCAAGCTAACACAGGATCCGTATGTAGATGTTAATCGAATGCATTATTTCACGTTGAGGTTCTAACTGGTAAAACAGTTTTAAAAATTTTCATTGTTACATATCTCTACATAAAATAAAAAATGTTGTATAAATTGATATAGATTGGTAATAAAATAATAAATCGGATACATGTCTCTAAATTGCAAGCAACTAACATTTTAAATTTTTTGATAATGAAACTGATTTAATGGTACCCAACATAATGTTTGTTTGTAGCTGATGATGACAAAAAAAATTCAGAATCAAATAAGTTACTACACAATTTATAACTTTATTATTTAGAATGTTTTGTAAAAAAAAGTCTATATTTATGATATAACACAATATTGACATGCATATTGAAAAACCTTAGAGTTCATAAAAATTACAATCAGTTGTAAAATTAACATAAAATTGATCATTTGTTTATGAAACACTAACATACATGACTGTTATTAATAATGATACTTTACTAGATTTCAATATTTCTTTATTACCATTGAACATCAAAATATTTTAAAGTATTATACATAATATATATGTAATAATTATACACATTTTATATTGCATATGATTAAAATTTGAAGTATTTTTCAACTGTATACAAACGTTTTGTTGTTTCTATATTTAATTAGGAAATGTAATCGTTTATTAAACTGTACATTTGTTTATTTAATTATACTTAATTAAAACCAGTATGAAATAACATACGCATTAACTTGGTTCGGGTATTCCCAATGATAGTACGGTCTTGCGGAGATGGTCTTAAATTATACCGTTTCTGGCAAACGAACATGAGAAAGGCGACATCCGGAAATAGACCGATATATTATTGTGAGAGGCACTGAAAATGGCGGAAGGCAGACTTGGAGGGAAGAAGAGGATCAGAATGACACTAGTCGCAAGCCCATGGTCAACTTTGACTACGGGACAGAAGAATAAAAATACAAAGAGACACTGAAAATGGCAGGAGGCAGAGTGGGATAGAGGAAGATGATCAGAATGACATTATTTACTAGCCCATGGTCAACATAGACTACGGCACAGAAGAATAAGAAGAAAACCTTGAAAAACACGAAAACAGTTTAAGAAATGTTTTACACAGTAGTGCAAAATGAAGTCCTGTACATGTTGTGTATTTTGCTTAATTCAATGCAATTGAGCGGGATGTAATAATATAACTTCTCTTTATTGAAAACATTGTACCTTTGAATGTTATTGTTTTCTGCCAGATAAAGTTTGTCGACAATCTAGTGCTCCATGTATGTGTAGCTACTAATTAACGAAAACCAGATATTATTTAGTGACGGCTTGGCCTTGCGGTAGAAAGACTCGAGTTTGTATCCGGGTTCAAGTCAGTAGACCGTCAGTGAGTCCGCCAAGCTCTGATAGGTACCTGACTCACGTTAGAGAAATTTGGCAACTGGAACAATTGCTATAAATTTAACTCATATTACATTCACTGAACATGTAATTATTAAAATAGTTTTTGTTTTTAAACCTCTTTGTTATAAATCTTGGTATTGACATTGCTCATGCGCTAAAATATTTGTTTAGAAATCGATAATTTTAATAGCAAATTAAACATGTATGCAAGTAATTTTTAATAAAAATAATTGAAATAGACCAAAACAATATAATAGCCTCAAAATTCTTTCTTCAGTAGCTTATAATATATTTGACACCTATTAGTAACAAACTATGTTACTGGAAAATATAGGTTTAGTTTCTTATTTTTGGTTTAATAATAGCCGACAGTTTCGAAAATGTGAAATAGAATACTCGTAATTTGCCAATTACTCATTCGTATTGATCCAAATACTTCGGACACTCGCTTGTTAAGCCTATTTATATATGTTTTGATTACCAGCTAAGATATGTATTATTTCAATAATGAATGTTTAACTAAATAATGATTCATTTTTATGTTTAAACAGTATAAACCGAATATAAAAATAATTGATGGAGTTTCCTTAATTGTGTAATTGCGTTTTGGTGACCAGACAATGATACATTCATTTGTGCTTGGCGGAAGATATTGCAGGAACAATGGAAAACATAAAAATATATTGTCAGAAAGCACATTATATTACTGGTTAAAACCGGTGTATGAAAGTATGATATTCAAAATATAACATGCGTTTGTTACCAAACAAAGACGTCGCTAATTTAGGGAAAGTACTATGTTATATCTCAGACATTTTAATACACTCGGATAAGAAGTAGGTTTTATAATCGCCAGCTTGCTTAGTGTGGTAAGTGCGTAAATGAAGGACGTATCATTGTTCGACTTAATACATTTTAAAAATTGTATACACTTTAAATGACATTTTTTTTAGGTTTACATATTTAATTCATGTAGGCCACTTTATGTATGACTTTACCCCGCCCACCCCAGCCCCACACACATATCTCCAGCCTCCATGAATTACATGTCTACGTGGATCTATTGTTCTACCAACGTCAATTACTAACCTAACCCCCACCCCGCCCCAACCCCGCCCCCAACCCCGCCCCGCTCCGCCCCCCAGCCCCACCCTCATCTCTTCACCCGCCCTGCATTACATGTCTATACGGATTTATTGTCCTACACACGTCAATTACTAACCTAACATTTCCCCCCCCCCCCTTTACCTTTCACTAGAGCACTAGAGCACTCTAACCAAAAGCTACTTAAACCCGCTTTGTACGAATCCGGATTTGACTATTTTAAGTCAATTTAAGTAAAACCACCGAATTAACTATGCTACACAAACATCGTTGTTGTACATTACATCCTGGATGTCTCAAACTACTATTAATACCGCGAAATGTAATGCATTCTATTTTTAATTCACCTTGTCTGAAACTGAGATAAAAAATATATGCGGATGTGAGACATGCAAATAAAAACTTAATCAGCAGTTGCACGGATTCATTTCTATTGGCTGTTCCCGGGCAGAAGAGCCACCTTAAATGGACACAGCAACTCATCCAGGAAACTCCATAATTAAAACAAAAATTTACAAAGAACAGTATCGAGTTGAGGAGGTCCCTCCCATCATCAGTGTTGACATGGATAAAAATCGTGTCGTTTTTTTTTAAATTTTGGAATCAAAGCGACCGTAAAAATAATAATAATAAAAAAAAACAACTTAATAGCGTTGGTCGCTAATGAGATATTATATATATATATATATATATATATATATATATATATATATATATATATATATATATATATATATATATATATATATATATATATATATTAGCGACAAAAGCTTTTATTTAATAAAGTAAAATAGTTTTATTTTCTTATTTTCAGTGCATTTAAAGGCATGTCGCTATAAAGATTTTTAAATATTTGTTTTATTTTCTACGTTTTAGTAATTCCTAATTTATGACGTTACACGATTCATTAGAGTTTAAATAGTCTTCTACGAGCAAAGTTATTGAGGGTGACACCAAATTTGGTAATTTACTAAAACAGCAATGCTTTTTTAAATTCGATAAATAAATGTTAGAATTAGGCCCCTAAATGGTGGATTAAATCGATGCCATTCGACAAAAATTTAGCGACGGGGTTGGAGGGGGGGTGGGGAGGTGACAACACAGAAGTGGATTGGGAACAAACTATATTGGAAATGTACACGTCTACATGTCAATAGACAATAAGAAGAGAGCAACAAATAAATAGAACTGGTTAACTTGCAACATTGACACATTTTGACGCTTTTCGTCAGCCATGAAAAGAGTTGCCAAATATTTTGAAACAATAAATTTACGCCATAAATCAGTGTAATCTTTACATCGTGTATACATTACAATGGAATATGTAAAAATTATGGTAATGTGATTAAAAATATAGTATAATCATAAGAGGTAAAGAGTTTCTAGCGGATTCAAACGTTGTAAAATCAATTTCTGTGATGAATGTATAAAATTGCATTGATTTGGAGTTTTTTTTTAATGTTGCTTAGTTACCGAAAATTAATTAAACATCAAATACATCCAATCTTTAGTAAAGTTCAACAAAATTAAACTGTCAGATTTTTATAATCAAATTTATTTTATTAACATCGTACATGATTTTTAAAGGATCTAATTGGCATTTCAAATAATTTTGAGGCTATTTTCGTTTAAGTCAATTTGAAGCGAAGAATTCAATTTCAATTTATTCAATGTATTCAATAACGGTAACAATAGTAGGTACGGGGGCCTTTTTGAAGGTGAATTAGATGTTGATGTAGCTCTTCATAATAAAGCATCGCTGTCTAAACGTACGCAATTGGATCATAATTAAGCTTAGGCTAATGAATTAATTTAAACTGGTTTAAAATCTAAGTTTAAGCAATCAAAATGTATAATACTTAACATTTTTGTGCTGATTATATTGAAACGAATAAAAGCGACCCTGCCGTATATAAATACTACACAAAGTAAATAATAATATCTAAGTAAAATGTATATTGGATGAAATAGAGTCGGCTGTATATTTGACTTAAAAATGTACAAAGACTGTGTAAGCACTAAGCCTAGATATCTTTAATTTCCACGATATAATGTAGATGCCCTTGAGAGTTGAATAGGCTGTGACGCCATAAGCACGCCAGAAAATGAAAGCAACTCAGAGATGAAAGTCTTACTATTGTATACACGCCCACTCGACCCCGCTCTTACGTATTATCTGACCTAATGGATATTTTAAGTAGTTTGCCCCTCCCACCAAGGTCACAGTTACTCAACAGTGAGTCACTGACAAGAGACTACTCACCCACATAGCTCATCACGTGACACCTACTGCGCAGACGTCAACAATGAAGCTTATACAAATTACTTAAGTTGAAATTAACCTGTTTGAAGTGGTATACAAAGATAAAAAGTTTAAGTCCAGATGTTGCAGGGACAAAGAAGGAATACGAATACAATTAATGTAATTTTTGACTGTTTATGAAAGCTAATTGTATTTATCTACGCTTTGGCCCACCAGAGTTTCTTCTCGACATCTCTTCGGGGGGGGGGGGGGGGCACCGCCCCCGAAGAAAGTCTACCGCCCCCTCCCCCCAAACGAAATGGAATTTATATAGAAAATATATACTTTTGACAGTGTCCGCCCCCCCTCCCCAGAAATTGTTGTTCGCCCCCCCCCCCCCGAAAATTTCAAGTGCACCCCCGGAGAAAAAAGTCTGGAAGAACACTGGGGCCCACATATTTAATTCGTTGAAGAGGAGAATAAATGTGCAACTAAATGATGTGAATACGAAATTTGTTATTATAAGCAAGTTAATTTAAAGTTAGAATATGAAATGGAATAAATTGAACGTATTTGATATTTTTAAATTTTTATTTTGGTGCTATTTTTATTCTAGACATGTTTCAAATTTTATCTCAAACTCTAACATAGAGAATACTATACTGATAGTAACAGATATTATTTTTATTAAATTATACTTTGCAATTTTAGTAATGATGGAAGTGCATGGTCGAGTGGTAGAATTCACTACTTCTAACCCAAAAGTTTCGAGTCAGGATCACAGACTTGAATTAGTAAGCCTTTCCTATCCACCCAGCTCTTTTGGGTTTTAGATTCAAGTTACGCAGATTAAAGAAAACATTATCCATTCTTATGTTCGGGCTTACTTTACTTCCTGTGCCCCTTGAACCCCCATATTGCATCGGACTTTATTGGAAGCAATTTACATGTTATAAATATAAAAAAGTCAGGCTGTTAATTCTTATCAAAAGCACAAGTTATACCATATCGATCTATAAAAGCTTACCTCGTTTATATGACACAACCACATTAAAGACAGCAGTCCAGAAATAGCACAGCGCTAAAAATACAAAGCGTTTACCGTCCAGTGGCGTAGCTAGGTCGGGTGTCAACCGGTGCGCCACCTCATGGTGTCACCCCTCCCCAAGCAAAAACAAAATGCATATATATATATATATATATATATATATATATATATATATATATATATATATATATATATATATATATATATATATATATATATATATATATATATATATATATATGTATATCTGTGTGTGTGTCTAAGCTTACATAGGCCTATAATTTAAATATATGAAATTTACACGTAGATGTATGTGGACAAGCATGTGTTTATGTATCTTTATTTTGTTTTTGTGGGTGTATTTAAATTTTATGAAGCTACGAACTTTTTGTTCTGAACTATCAACTCCTTTTGTAATGTATAGGGCATTAAAAATATTGTGTCATCCCCACTGTTTGGTATTATCAATTTGTACTTAAAAGGCAATTTAACTTTAAATAAACATTAATTTAACAGGCAATACGAATTTTTCTTTAGTAAATTGTGCAGTTTTCTGCCTTGGTGTCACCCCCTAAATGATGTCACCCAATGTATTCGGCACCCCCTGCCTTCGCCTCTCGACGCCTCTGATAACCTCTACACACAGGAAAGTTATAACTCGTATGACACATTGAAGTGGACAGGAATTTCGCAAGGCTTGTCAGTTTAAAGGTTAATTTAACTATGTTTATAATTACAACTTACCACCAACACATGACAAGAGACTAGCTTCCACTTCGGTAAGAGTATATATACAAACATTATGTACTTATACATTCATATATATGTATATATATATATATATATATATATATATATATATATATATAATTGTATATATATATATGTATATATAATATATATATATATATATATATATATATATATTTATATTTATTTATATATATATATAATTGTATATATATGTATATATAAAATTGTATATATAAATATATATATATATATATATATATATATATATATATATATATATATATATATATATATATATATATATATATGGAGAGAGAGTTAGAGATATGTAATTTTGTATTGCAGGATTTGCAGGCGGCACAACCCCACAATGGTTGTTACAGTGAAACGTCTAGTTCTCAGTGACACAGTGTTAGCACTGGCCTCAGCCGTACATGTTAGACTTAATGTTTCCATTCCCTCGGAATCGTTTTTTGGATATTACGAGTTCGAAATCGATCCCTCAAAAAGGTTGGTAAACATCGAAGCCATTTTTACTTTCTCGTATAAGTATAGAGGAAGTCTTGTAATCGTGCAAAAAAAATCGAGATTTTTACAAATCTCGAAGTTTTACACCTCACTGATACGGAAAAACATAATTTTGCAATCTTGTCCGTATGTCTGTGTGTCTGTGTGTCTGTGTGTCTGTGTGTGTGTCTGTGTATGTGTGTCTGTGTGTGTGTGTGTGTGTAAACACGATAACTTGAGTACCGTTACAGCTAGGTTGATGAAATTTCATATATAGATATTTTATCAAAATCGTAGATCCTGATTAATTTTTGAGCGATTTCCGATAACTGGAATTGGTACTTTTTCTACTTTAAATTTTTCAAAAGCCTATAACTTGAGTACTATTTCAGATAGATAAATGAAATTTCACATGTAAGTAAAAGATCTAATTTTCTACCTTCTTTCAAATATTGAGTAATTTCCGATGGCCGGAAGAACTAATTTACGCTAAAAAATGCATGTAAATTTATAAAGTTCTACTAGATTTTATTCTATTTTTAAAAGTTTAAGTAAACAAAAATCATGTCTATATTCCGAGTTGCCATCCCACGTAGTGTTATATTCGAGAAAGTTTAGGGGAGATCACTCCCGGTTTATTTTACTTAGTGATTTTTTTTTCTTCGAAATTTTAGCTTATTTTAAATTGCCAGTTAGCAATAGTGTGGTCAGCGCTATGCCTAGCCGCCTTTATTTACCCTTCCCTGTGTTAGGTATCCATCAGAGCTGGGTGGACTCAAGGACATTCTACTGACTTGAACCCGGATTCGAGATTTACGGGTTAGAAGTCCAGCTCTCTACCGCTTGGCCACTCCGTCTTTCATTTTATCTATCCAAAAATGTTAGTCCAATCAACTAAACAACATTTTTTTTTTTAATTTTAATAGTAAACGACATATATTGAAGCATTCATTGACCATTGTTAAAAACAATGTTTTTCTTCTCCTTAGAGACAAAAACTGTATCTTTGATGATCTATTTCCAAGCATTCGATTGGGATATTCCATCACAGGAGGATTCTTTTCCAACTTAAGAAAATTGTTTTATTGGGATATGTGTGAATTGCTAAGCAACAGTGTAGAACTTAACATCACAGTTAAAAACACTACCAAAAACAAAATGAACTGTTCAAACGTTTCAAAGACTATATGTGCAATGTATTGTAATGCTGATTTTTCATTAGCCAACACTACGAGAGCTTTGATGACTCTCAAAAATATTACGCTAAAAAATAAGTGTATTAAATATGTGCGTCATACACATAGACCAACACAGATCACGCACGCCACATCAAGCAGCACACCACCAGTGCAGCTCTCGACTTTAAAACAGATTTGGACTAAATCTACGACAAAATCTGCAATCGTCACTCCGTCATCGAACATTACGATTTCTCGATCAACCACTGCAAAGACCACATTAAAAATATCCACAACCACTTCAGATAACATGTTCTCGTCTACAACTATATCAAGAGCAGGGAAAATCGTTCAACATTTTAATGTATCTGGTAACGAAGCTACAATACTCGGAGTTTTCTTCGGCTCCGTAATCCTGGTCGTGTTTATCGTCCTTTTCATATGGCGCCTCACAAAATTTGAACTGTTCGTGAAACAAACACAAGTAGAGGCATTTTGTATCGCCGACCTCAGTGAAGCCATCAACAGAAACAGTAATGGCGCGGCCTGCTCGATGAATGTTTACACAACACCGGATGGGGAATGGGACACAGAAGATGGGCACCGTCACAGAGATGTGTACTCACTCCCGGGAACTGAAGACAACTACAGTACCGGACGGTACCAGATACCAGATGTCATCAAAGGTCAGGTCCATTTAGAGAGCTACGGCAAAGATCCGTCTGTTGCTAACGGCGGGTATCAAGATAATTATATTGACGTCACTGAACATTATGTTTACATGGATGACACCTTGAAAAGGGGGGTAGTGTATGATGTCATAGACATACACTCATACATCAACACTTAAGTATACTGGTTATTTCATGGCAATTTTACAATAGTAGTGATTAAACAATGCCGTAAAACGTACAGTAGTGTACGATGTCATAGACATACACTCATACATCAACACTTAAGTATACTGGTTATTTCATGGCAATTTTACAATAGTAGTGATTAAACAATGCCGTAAAACGTACAGTAGTGTACGATGTCATAGACATACACTCATACATCAACACTTATGTATGCTATTTCATGACAATGTCACAATAGTAATGATTAAATAATATCATATAACGGGCAGTAGTGTACGATGTCGTAGACATACACTCATACATCAACACTTAAGTATGCTGGTTATTTCATGACAATGTTACAATAGTAATGATTAAATAGTACCATAGTATAGTTTTCCGTCTTCTTGTTTTCGTCGAGTGTGTAATCAAATGTATGTGACTGTGTGGTAGAGCGGTTAACAGCCAAAAAGTCCAGTCTTCTTCTTTCTTCTTCTTCGTTCTTAATTTTTAGTGTTGGAAGGGATCGGGCCTTATCTACCAGGGGCTTGAACTCGAGACTTTTTTCGAATTTATCAACCATGAGCTTTGCCGACTCGACCATGCTTCCATCTCAATTAAGCATACGTGTCAATTGGTTATGCGCCGTTGAGGCCATTGACTGCAATTTCAACCTGCTTTTCTTTTTGGATTTGCTTCCATAGCCTTTGTTCAACCAAGAACAAACTACAAGGCAGCAGATGTTTGATTTTGGAGTTGTCTCTCCTAAAAGAGTGGCTGTCCCCAGCTTACGAGCCTCATCTGCCCGAGGGTTCGAACTAAAAATTTTACCGACTCTACCACGCCGACCTCAGTCCAGTCTTGACATCGGATATCTGAACTAAAGTCTTGAGGTCGTTCCTGCGATAGCCCAAGTCTGATGGTATCGTGTCTTATGCTAAGTAGCTCCTCACGTGACGAACAATATGTAAGATGAAGTGCTGATTCAATGTTGACCTCTTTCATATGTAAGAATAGTATGATCACTTTTATGTCTAGCCTGCTTTATTTTCCCCAAAAAGGCTCAGGTACCTTTTAAAAGTATGTGTTAATGGACCTTCTAATTAGATCCTGGAATTCAAGCACAAAACAACACTCATCTTAATTAAAGCATGAAACAAATATTACCGGGGTAGCCAAAACTGATTGTTTTCCCACTTGTATGTAGTTATTCTTTTAATCGACAGTAAGATTAGACAAACAGATATTTTTACCGGATACAAACCAACATTGAAAAATGCTTTAGTGAAAAATCCCGTCTAATTGTTTAACGAATATCATGACGAATTTAAAACATTTTAAAAAAGATTTATTTCAGAGTGAGAGCTCTAAATACTTTCAAAAAGTTTCAACAAATCAACCAACTATTAAGCATGTAATTCAGAAATGTGTTTGTTTAAAGAATACCATCAAATTGTTGACGTTGCCTTTAGATTAGTTTTGATAGATATACAGCTGTCATCCCTCTCCATGTTGAATGTTGTTTACTTACACATTTTCATTTTAAGTTACTTCAAAATGTTATTGATACTACATTTTTTCTTACTTAAACTTAAATTCCAAAAAACCGATATTTATATCTGTGAAATATCTGGTTTTGATAAAATTGACTGAATTTCAGCGTTACACCAAAATTGTGTTATGCTTTTAAGAAAAATGATTACCTTGTATACTAAGAGAACTGATGAAGACTAGCTGAAATCTAAACAATGCAACCATTTGTGTCTGGGAAAACAAAGAGAGAGTAATTTTTTTTACTGAATCAGTTGATTGTGGTCGCGTTTCGCCATTTTGGTGTTTGAACGTTTTCTCTATATCTCACAGCAGTTACTTGAAATGTTTCTTATTCATTAGAGCTAAATTACTCAAAGGAAAAGAAGGCAACGTAGAAAATCAGCTTTTTAGTGAAATCTCAAGCTCTCTTGTTGTTGTTTTTTTTTTGTTGTTTCTTTCATAATAAAACCACTAGGCAATAATGAACCGTTTTTTTTAAATATGTAAGATTGTTATTATATTAAAACAAAACTCGTTTTCAGTATTGTCTTATATATCTTTTTTAAATGAAAGAAACTTTCATGGGTTAAACAATTTAATTAGCATGATTTATATAATTAAAACAATCATATAAATTTAAACAATGAATATAGTGATATACCCAATCACACATTTGACAAAACATAGACAAAGGGAAGTAACTGCGTATATTTTTTACCTACAGACTTTGAACGGTTGCTTCCCTTGAAAAAGGCAGAAAACTCCACGGTAATTTTTTATTAGGAACTTTGAGATTTACACACTACATTTTCGGTGCAAATTTATAAAAAAAAAATTCCTCATTCTAATCTATAATAATAATTAAACTGATGAGGTAATTAAGTGAAGTAGGTATGAGAGCATACTACACACGTCGGATGTCAGCGAGGAGTATCGTATCATTCTATGCTGTACACGTTGTGGCCAGTTTTGTCCTCGCCTGTGTTTCTGTTCATCAGCATCAGAAACACCTGCTCCAGGTTCGTCTGCTGGATCGTGTAGGATTCGAACCTGAGAACTTTCTTGGCCGTCTCCATGATGTTGAACATGTTGGATAGACGTACCACGCCAGCCGGAATCTGCATGTGCAGGTAGGTTTCCATTTTACAGAATATCTGAAAGATAACATTTGTTTCCATTTTACAGAATATCTGAAAGATAATATTACTTTCCATTTCACAGAATATCTGAATGATAACATTCGTTTCCATTTTACAGAATATCTGAAAGATAACATTCGTTTCCATTTTAGAGAATATCTGAAAGATAACATTTGTTTCCATTTTACAGTATATCTGAAAGATAACATTCGTTTTATTTGACAAAATATCTGAAAGATAAAACTCGTTTCCATTTACAGAATATCTGAAAGATAACATTCGTTTCATTTACAGAATATCTGAAAGATAGCATTCGTTTCATTTACAGAATATCTGAAAGATAATATTCCTTTCCATTTTAGAGAATATCTGAAAGATAACTAACATTCTTTTCTATTTTACAGAAAATCTGAAAGATAACATTAGTTTCCATTTTACAGAATATCTGAAAGATAATATTTGTTTCCATTTTAGAGAATATCTGAAAGATAACATTCCTTTCCATTTTACAGAATATCTGAAAGATAACATTAGTTTCCATTTTACAGAATATCTGAAAGATAATAGTTGTTTCCATTTTAGAGAATATCTGAAAGATAACATTCCTTTCCATTTTACAGAATATCTGAAAGATAACATTAGTTTCCATTTTACAGAATATCTGAAAGATAATATTTGTTTCCATTTTACAGAATATCTGAAAGATAACATTTCTTTTCCACTTCACAGAATATCTGAAAGATAATATTTGTTTCCATTTTACAGATTATCTGAAAGATAATATTAGTTTCCATTTTACAGAATATCTGAAAGATAACATTTGTTTCCATTTTACAGAATATCTGAAAGATAACATTTGTTTCCATTTTACAGAATATCTGAAAGATAACATTTGTTTCCATTTTACAGAATATCTGAAAGATAATATTTGTTTCCATTTTAGAGAATATCTGAAAGATAACATTTGTTTCCATTTTACAGAATATCTGAAAGATAATATTTTTTTCCATTTTAGAGAATATCTGAAAGATAACATTCGTTTCCATTTTAGAGAATATCTGAAAGATAACATTTGTTTCCATTTTACAGTATATCTGAAAGATAACATTCGTTTTATTTGACAAAATATCTGAAAGATAAAACTCGTTTCCATTTACAGAATATCTGAAAGATAACATTCGTTTCATTTACAGAATATCTGAAAGATAGCATTCGTTTCATTTACAGAATATCTGAAAGATAATATTCCTTTCCATTTTAGAGAATATCTGAAAGATAACTAACATTCTTTTCTATTTTACAGAAAATCTGAAAGATAACATTAGTTTCCATTTTACAGAATATCTGAAAGATAATATTTGTTTCCATTTTAGAGAATATCTGAAAGATAACATTCCTTTCCATTTTACAGAATATCTGAAAGATAACATTAGTTTCCATTTTACAGAATATCTGAAAGATAATAGTTGTTTCCATTTTAGAGAATATCTGAAAGATAACATTCCTTTCCATTTTACAGAATATCTGAAAGATAACATTAGTTTCCATTTTACAGAATATCTGAAAGATAATATTTGTTTCCATTTTACAGAATATCTGAAAGATAACATTTCTTTTCCACTTCACAGAATATCTGAAAGATAATATTTGTTTCCATTTTACAGAATATCTGAAAGATAACATTTGTTTCCATTTTACAGAATATCTGAAAGATAACATTTGTTTCCATTTTACAGAATATCTGAAAGATAACATTTGTTTCCATTTTACAGAATATCTGAAAGATAATATTTGTTTCCATTTTAGAGAATATCTGAAAGATAACATTTGTTTCCATTTTACAGAATATCTGAAAGATAATATTTTTTTCCATTTTACAGAATATTTGAAAAAGAACATAGGTTTCCATCTTACAAAATAAAGATGCGGCCCGCGAGGTCCTCTCATCCGGCTCGCGGAGATCTTTCTGTCCACGGAAAATTTGAAGACGGAGAATTTCATGAGGTTACGTGGGCTCAACCACAGACAATTCAGTGACACGTTGAGAGATACAGACAAAGAATAGTAAGATGTACCATAATACAGAGTAGTAAGATGGCTCTTGTGATATAACTCTTAGCAGAGTATTTAAGTTAAGAAAGGAAATAGGTTACTTCCTGGAAATTAAAGGCAAGCCACAGCCATTAATGTCTAAAGAAGAGTGGGTATAGAAATAGGCCTCTGCTGCTGACATAACTAGTCACTAAATTTTCTGAACCTAAAACTAGAAGAGAGGGAAATCGAATTTCTGATCTATGCGCCCACCTAAATGCCTCCGCCACCCCGAAGAGGTGCCTTCAAATAACTCTGGCCCCCGAAACTATATTTGATAGTCAATGCGGCCCTCGGGCTGAAAAGTTTGGAGACCCCTGGGCTAAAATATTGAACTATTAATTAAGCTATGATAGTAAATATTTGTAAATTCAATACAAATTAAAGTATAATATCACATGATATGTAGTGTAGTAAGTCCATCACACTCTGTCTATACCTAGGGCCGGCGCTACCTATAAGGCGAACTAGGCGGTCGCCTAGGGCGCCATCACTAGGTGGCGCAAAATGTTTCATCACTATTATCAAAAAGTACCTAATAATTAATAACTTTTTTAAAGGAGTAGCGATCTATTTCGGCACCCAGGACGAACTATCATTTTGTACTCTCATCCCAAAATTAGGTCTATAAAGGCCTATATTTATTCGCGATGGTGAAAATGCAACCCCCACCTCCCTAATTTGGAAACGTCGCGGCCCCTTTTAACAGTCACTTTACCTTTTTTAATTTGATGTCACATAATTGATGGAGAAAACGATTAAATATGTTCGTAATTTAAATTTCGAACATTTCAAAAGGTTATCTATATTTAACAGCGCTTGTAAGTCTCGTTTTCTCTGACTTTGAATTAGAAATATGTTTTGGTGTACAGAGTTTTGTAATGACGGGGTGTTCAAAGTATTTTACTTGTTTGGTAAGTTTTAATGAATCGTTTAGATTTGGGAGTAACGGCGGAAGGCTGTTGCTGATATGGTTTCATAGGTATAAAGTATCGAAGTGTTAGGTGTCATAATTTTTATTCGGCTGTTTTGTAGTTGAAGGTCTAGTGGAATCTGATTGGTAATAGAGAAATGATAATGCAGGTGATGAAGTATCGTAGTTCTGGAGTTCGGGAGCTTTGATTCTTGTAGTATTAAGGTATCGAATTATATTGACTGTTAAAGTGTAGTAGTAGGTCCCGTGAAATCGGTGTTGATTGGGAGTACCGTTTGTAGAGCTTGGTGTTAAGCGATTTGGTGTCGTAGTTCTGGAGCAGTGAGTCTAGTTCTCTTTAGGTATCGAAGCTTGATATGTGTTGTGAATGTACTAGAGTAAATCAAGTAGTCTAGTTTATCGTAAGTTAGATTATTTCAATTCAGTACCGAACACACTACAAGGAAAGGCATGCGCTCTCTAGTTGAAAAATATACTTTAGTTTTTTTAGGAATCTACATTACTACTCTTAAAGTATTAATATATAATATTAAATAGGATGGAATTTATAACTACCCGTAAACTTTGTTTTGTCAAATTATATTCTTTTTATATTTAATCAGTAATTCTAGCAATGTTTAAAACAGTTACCCATGTTTGATTTTTAGAAAAACGTCCCTTTACTAGGGGATCCAAAATTTGATAAGATAATAGTAGAAAAGTTAGTGTAAAAATGTTTGTCATCAAAATTGAATAGAAGTATGTTATAATAAAGCTACCGTTTTTAGACTTTCAAACAAAACTCACAGTTAAGTTTTCAATAGATAAAATATATTGCTTTCACAAGATTACATAGTTAATATAAAAGATTTGTTATTATTATTACGTAATAAAATTTAGAGCGTTTTATTGTTTTTTTTTTAAACATGTCTTATTTACACTTGGTTAATTTAGCTATTTTTGTGAGTTATTTCCCTTGAATAAAATTTTGTTATTTGGATTTTCAAATGGGAGATAATTCGATGCATAACTTTACATTCCTTTTAAATTCCTGCACCTTAGGTTGACTGCTTAGATAAAAATACAACTTTAAGTTATTATTTGCTATTGTAAAAATTATATAGAGCTTAAGTTCTAAACTAAATAGTTTGGTATGTATTTTAGCATTATCAAATTGAAAAACGAATACATTATTAGCCGTTGTAGATTGCAATACTTAATGTTATTAGACATACAGTCTTAGTCAGTGTATCATCCAGACTTTTTTCTCCGGGGGGAGGCACTTGAAATTTTCGGAGGGGGGGGGGGCGGACACTAGTAAAAGTGTATGTTTACTATATAAAATCCATCTCGAATACCCCCCCCCCCCTTCCGTTAGCATGTCGTTAAGTACAAAGTAGACTCGTGGACTTAGCAATTTCAATAAAATGTAATTACGCTTGCCAACTGGAATTGAAGGAATTAGTACGAACTTTTGAGACGAAGGAGACAAGTAAAATTTGATTTTTATGTCTACTTATAAAGTGTATGCAATTGATAATAAATTACTATGTCACTTTCAAATAATTGTTTTCTTATACATATGTTTTAGTAATTAATTTGTGTGAAAGGGGGCGTTTTAATAAGTTTTGCCTAGGGTTCTAAATAACCTGGCGCCGGAAATGTATACACCATGTGAAACATGAAAACTATTTAAATTCTTATACTACGATTGCTTTAGCGTCTAATCGGTATTCAGCTAGTTTTGCAAAACAATATTAAACCAAATTTTTACGCCGAAGTTGATTGTAAAATTCAACAAAGAAGCTGAAGAATACATATAATCAAAATAATCAAGAATCAGTTGACATCGTGATACATATGACTCTGTTGTGAAAGATATGTATGCATCGAGTACACTGACCTCACAAGATTTTGGTAATAAAGATATGTAAGCATTGAGTACACTGGCCTTACAAGATTTAGGTAATAAAGATATGTAAGCATTGAGTACACTGACCACACAAGATTTTGGTAATAAAGATATGTAAGCATTAAGTACACTGACCTCACAAGATTTTGGTAATAAAGATATGTAAGCATTGAGTACACTGACCTCACAAGATTTTGGTAATAAAGATGTGTAAGCATTGTGTACACTGGCCTTACAAGATTTAGGTAATAAAGATATGTAAGCATTGAGTACACTGACCACACAAGATTTTGGTAATAAAATTAAGTAAGCATTGAGTACACTGACCTATGTGGTCAACGATTTTGGTAATAAAGATATGTAAGCATTGAGTACACAAACCACAGTGGTCAAAGATTTTGGTAATAAAGATATGTATGCATTGAGTACACGGACCTATGTTGTCAAAGATTTTGGTAATAAGTTATGTATGCATTAAGTACACTGACCTATGTTGTCAAAGATTTTGGTAATAAGTTATGTATGCATTGAGTACACTGACCTAACAAGATTTTGGTAATAACGAAATGTAAGCATTGAGTACACTGACCTCACAAGATTTTGGTAATAAAGATATGTAAGCATTGAGTACACTGACCTCACAAGATTTTGGTAATAAAGATATGTAAGCATTGAGTACACTGACCTCACAAGATTTTGGTAATAAAGTAATGTATGCATTGAGTATACTGATCTCACAAGATTTTGGTAATAAAGATATGTAAGCAGTGAGTACACTGACCTCATAAGATTTTGGTAATAAAGATATGTAAGCATTGTGTACACTGGCCTTACAAGATTTAGGTAATAAAGATATGTAAACATTGAGTACACTGACCACACAAGATTTTGGTAATAAAGACATGTAAGCATTGAGTACACTGACCTGACAGTGGTCAAAGATTTTGGTAATAAAGATATGTAAGCATTGAGTACACTGACCTCACAATATTTTGGTAATAAAGACATGTAAGCATTGAGTACACTGACCTCACAATATTTTGGTAATAAAGACATGTAAGCATTGAGTACACTGACCTCACAATATTTTGGTAATAAAGACATGTAAGCATTGAGTACACTGACCTCACAAGATTTTGGTAATAAAGTAATGTATGCATTGAGTGCACTCACCTCACAGTGGTCAAAGATTTTGTTAATATAGGCCACCACGTCCTCCAGAGACACGCCGGAGTCGACCTTGACATGGACCGTGATGGTGTAGCCCTGGGCGTACTTGGTCTTGAGGTACTGGGGCGTGCCCAGACACATGAGCCGGCCGTGGATCATGATGGTCAGCTTGCTGCACAGGAGCTCGCACTCTTCCATGCTGGACACAGGCAATAGAGAGAATAGGCATAGACTACGTAATACATTCAGGCACAGATGACGTAATACATTTAGGCAATGACTTAATACATTCAGGCATAGATTACGTTATACATTCAGGCATAGATTACGTAATACATTCAGGCATAGATTACGTAATACATTCAGCCATAGAGTAGGTAATACACTCAGGCATATATGACATTATACATTCAAGTATTGATTACGTAATACATTCAGCCATAGATGACATAATACATTCAAGCATAGATAACGTAATACATTCAGGCATAGATGACGTAATACATTCAAGCATAGATGACATAATACATTCAAACATAGAATGTCATAGTTTTCATAATACATTCAGGCATGTAACATTAGCCCCTAATACATTGGAATAGAGAAGAAGTTGGTCATAATAGACATGATATATTCAGATAGCCCTATGTAACAGTAGCCGCTCACTCAATGCAAGAGATGAGAATTTGGTCGTAGAATATATAATACGAGCCGACCCGCGGCGTATCATACGCCGCTATTTAGTTGTTTTATTTTCTATTTTTCATTAATTCATAATTTGTGAATTGGACAGTACCAATGCTGCCATTGAATATATTTGCTTTAAAACACTGTCAGTAGCTCGTTAAGGACGATAACCCCCCTCACCCCTCCTTTACCCAACCCATACCACTCCCCCCCCCCCCCCCCGTGAAAGCAGCCTCCTCTTAGTTACCTCCCCTAAGTTTAAAATCGTTTCAAACTAAATTATTTGCCCCTAATGCCCGTCACTAAAACCGGCTCTACGATTGTAAACATTTAGCGTGAACCACAGCTCACCAGAGCATGTAAGGGTGGGGGCGGTAGGAAGCGCGATTACAGCTTGGTGTTTTCTAGGGTCTCCAAGAAGAGAATTATATATATAGATTGTCTTGATGAGTTATCAAAACCAACCTTTGAAAGATGTATATCACCAAAACCAACCTTTGAAAGATGTATATCACCAAAACCCACCTTTGAAAGATGTATATCACCAAAACCAACCTTTGAAAGATGTATATCACCAAAACTAACCTTTGAAAGATGTATATCACCAAAACCCACTTTTGAAAGATGTATATCACCAAAACCAACCTTTGAAAGATGTATATCACCAAAACCAACCTTTGAGAGAGGTCTAGACAAGTCACACAACTATCTGAGGTAAAAACGAATAAATAAAAAAACCCACCTTTGTTAGTTCAAAATGACTGAAAACCCACCTCTGTGATGTGAAGATGAGGGTACTGCCCATAGAGCGGACGTCTTGTAGGATGGCCCAGATAGCCCGCTTGGCTATAATGTCCATCCCAGTGGTCGGCTCGTCCAGCAGAACAAACTGGGGGTCGCCGATCACACACACAGCAACAGACAACTTTCGTTTGGTGCCACCACTGGAGGTAACATGGAGAACACAGTCAGGGGGGGGGAGAGGTAAATAGGTAGTGATGTTGTGGGGTTTGTATGGGCTAGATGTAGCGATGTTGTGGGGTTTGTATGGGCTTGATGTATTGATGTTGTGGGGTTTGTATGGGCTAGATGTAGCGATGTTGTGGGGTTTGTATGGGCTAGATGTAGCGATGTTGTGGGGTTTGTATGGGCTTGATGTAGTGATGTTGTGGGGTTTGTATGGGCTTGATGTAGTGATGTTGTGGGGTTTGTATGGGCTTGATGTAGTGATGTTGTGGGGTTTGTATGGGCTAGATGTAGCGATGTTGTGGGGTTTGTATGGGCTAGATGTAGTGATGTTGTGGGGTTTGTATGGGCTTGATGTAGCGATGTTGTGGGGTTTGTATGAGCTAAATATGTAGCAATGTTAGTGGTTTGTATGAGCTAAATATGTGGCAATGTTATGAGGTTTGTATGAGCTAAATATGTAGCAATGTTAGAGGTTTGTATAAGCTAACTATGTAGCGATGTTTTGAGGTTTGTATGAGCTAAATATGTAGCGATGTTATAAGGTTTGTATGAGCTAACTATGTAGCGATGTTTTGAGGTTTGTATGAGCTAAATATGTAGCGATGTTATAAGGTTTGTATGAAGTAAATATGTAGCAATGTAGCAATATGGTTTGTATGAGCTAAATATGTAGCAATGATATGAGGTTTGTATGGGCTAGACGTAGCCATGTTATGAGGTTTGGAAGAGCTAATATGTAGCAATGTAATGAGTTTTGAGAGAGCTAATGATGGAGCAATGTAATGAGGTTTGGGAGAGCTAAAGACGTAGCGATGTAATGAAATTGGTATGGGCTAGACGTAGCAATAATTTGAGGTTTGTATGAGCTAAAAATGTAGTAATGTAATGAGGTTTGGGAGAGCTAAAGATTTAGCGATGTAATGAAATTGGTATGAGCTAGACGTAGCAATAATGTGAGGTTGGTATGAGCTAAAGACGTAACAATTGGAGCTAAAGACGTAACAATTGTGAGGTTTAAGGCCAGGGAGATGGGACAACTATGGGGAGCAAGCCACAGGGATACAAACAAATAAATACGGTACACAGTATCCGCCAAACCGCAAGTTTCAAGTGCCCCACCCCCTCGATGAAACTCTCTAAAAAACCATCTATTCCTGTTTGTCAACATGTTTCTCTCCAAGGATAAATCTCTAACAGAAACGATAGACACATACCCACCTTGACATCTGCGTCAGTTCGTCTGCATCTTCACCCCCTCCCCCTCCCTTTCGGGTTAGGGTTAGAAACATAACCCACCTGTAAATCTTGGTCTGTTTGTCAGCATATTTATCTAGTACGGCCGCCTTGATGAGGAAATCTGTCGTCTGCTTCAGCTTGTGTTCCTTGATTCCCCGCAGCCTCCCGTAGAAATACAAGACCTCCCTGCCCGTAAGATCTCCTTGAAAGAAATCGTGTTGGGGGCAGTAGCCGATCATACGGTATAACTGGGGATACAAGATATGGTTATCATATTGAGTATAGGTGTAATGGAGGCAGTAGCCTATCATAAGATACAGCTGGGTGTACAAGATATTGTTATATAGGGTATAGGTGTAATGGAGGCAGTAGCCTATCCTACGATATAACTGGGGATACAAGATATGATTATCATATTGAGTATAGGTGTAATGGAGGCAGTAGCCTATCATACGATACAACTGGGGATACAAGATATCATATAGGGTATAGGTATAATGGAGGTGGCAGCCTATCCTACGATACAACTGGGGATACAAGATATGATTATCATATTGAGTATAGGTGTAATGGAGGCAGTAGCCTATCATACGATACAACTGGGGATACAAGATATCATATAGGGTATAGGTATAATGGAGGTGGCAGCCTATTATATGATACAACTGGGGATACAAGATATCATATAGGGTATAGGTGCAATGGAGGCAGTAGCCTATCATACGATACAACTGGGGGTACAAGATAAGGTTATCATATTGTATACAATAAAGGGGTCAGTAGACTATCATACGATACAACTGGGGATACAAGATTTTGTTATCATATAGGGTATAGGTGCAATGGAGGCAGTAGCCTATCATACGATACAACTGGGGATACAAGATAAGGTTATCATATAGGGTATAGAAGTAATGGAGGCAGTAGCCTATCATACAATACAACTGGGGGTACAAGATAAGGTTATCATATAGGGTATAGGTGTAATGGAGGCAGTAGCCTATCATACGATACAACTGGGGATACAAGATAAGGTTATCATATAGGGTATAGAAGTAATGGAGGCAGTAGCCTATCATACAATACAACTGGGGGTACAAGATAAGGTTATCATATAGGGTATAGAAGTAATGGAGGCAGTAGCCTATCATACAATACAACTGGGGGTACAAGATAAGGTTATCATATTGTATACAATAAAGGGGTCAGTAGACTATCATAAAATACAACTGGGGGTACAAGATAAGGTTATCATATTGTATACAATAAAGGGGTCAGTAGACTATCATACAATACAACTGGGGGTACAAGATAAGGTTATCATATTGTATACAATAAAGGGGTCAGTAGCCTATCATACAATACAACTGGGGGTACAAGATAAGGTTATCATATTGTATACAATAAAGGGGTCAGTAGACTATCATACAATACAACTGGGGGTACAAGATAAGGTTATCATATTGTATACAATAAAGGGGTCAGTAGACTATCATACAATACAACTGGGGAAGATAAGGTTATCATATTGTATACAATAAAGGGGTCAGTAGACTATCATACAATACAACTGGGGGTACAAGATAAGGTTATCATATTGTATACAATAAAGGGGTCAGTAGACTATCATAAAATACAACTGGGGGTACAAGATAAGGTTATCATATTGTATACAATAAAGGGGTCAGTAGACTATCATACAATACAACTGGGGGTACAAGATAAGGTTATCATATTGTATACAATAAAGGGGTCAGTAGACTATCATACAATACAACTGGGGGTACAAGATAAGGTTATCATATTGTATACAATAAAGGGGTCAGTAGACTATCATACAATACAACTGGGGGTACAAGATAAGGTTATCATATTGTATACAATAAAGGGGTCAGTAGACTATCATACAATACAACTGGGGGTACAAGATAAGGTTATCATATTGTATACAATAAAGGGGTCAGTAGACTATCATACAATACAACTGGGGGTACAAGATAAGGTTATCATATTGTATACAATAAAGGTGTCAGTAGACTATCATAAAATACAACTGGGGGTACAAGATAAGGTTATCATATTGTATACAATAAAGGTGTCAGTAGACTATCATACAATACAACTGGGGAAGATAAGGTTATCATATTGTATACAATAAAGGGGTCAGTAGACTATCATACAATACAACTGGGGGTACAAGATAAGGTTATCATATTGTATACAATAAAGGGGTCAGTAGACTATCATACAATACAACTGGGGGTACAAGATAAGGTTATCATATTGTATACAATAAAGGGGTCAGTAGACTATCATACAATACAACTGGGGAAGATAAGGTTATCATATTGTATACAATAAAGGGGTCAGTAGACTATCATACAATACAACTTGGGGTACAAGACAAGGTTATCATATTGTATACAATAAAGGGGTCAGTAGACTATCATACAATACAACTGGGGGTACAAGATAAGGTTATCATATTGTATACAATAAAGGGGTCAGTAGACTATCATACAATACAACTGGGGAAGATAAGGTTATCATATTGTATACAATAAAGGGGTCAGTAGACTATCATACAATACAACTGGGGGTACAAGATAAGGTTATCATATTGTATACAATAAAGGGGTCAGTAGACTATCATACAATACAACTGGGGGTACAAGATAAGGTTATCATATTGTATACAATAAAGGGGTCAGTAGACTATCATACAATACAACTGGGGAAGATAAGGTTATCATATTGTATACAATAAAGGGGTCAGTAGACTATCATACAATACAACTTGGGGTACAAGACAAGGTTATCATATTGTATACAATAAAGGGGTCAGTAGACTATCATACAATACAACTGGGGGTACAAGATAAGGTTATCATATTGTATACAATAAAGGGGTCAGTAGACTATCTTACAATACAACTGGGGGTACAAGACAAGGTTATCATATTGTATACAATAAAGGGGTCAGTAGACTATCATACAATACAACTGGGGGTACAAGATAAGGTTATCATATTGTATACAATAAAGGGGTCAGTAGACTATCTTACAATACAACTGGGGGTACAAGACAAGGTTATCATATTGTATACAATAAAGGGGTCAGTAGACTATCATACAATACAACTGGGGAAGATAAGGTTATCATATTGTATACAATAAAGGGGTCAGTAGACTATCATACAATACAACTGGGGGTACAAGATAAGGTTATCATATTGTATACAATAAAGGGGTCAGTAGACTATCATACAATACAACTGGGGGTACAAGATAAGGTTATCATATTGTATACAATAAAGGGGTCAGTAGACTATCTTACAATACAACTGGGGGTACAAGACAAGGTTATCATATTGTATACAATAAAGGGGTCAGTAGACTATCAAACAATACAACTGGGGGTACAAGACAAGGTTATCATATTGTATACAATAAAGGGGTCAGTAGACTATCATACAATACAACTGGGGGTACAAGATAAGGTTATCATATTGTATACAATAAAGGGGTCAGTAGACTATCATACAATACAACTGGGGGTACAAGATAAGGTTATCATATTGTATACAATAAAGGGGTCAGTAGACTATCATACAATACAACTGGGGGTACAAGATAAGGTTATCATATTGTATACAATAAAGGGGTCAGTAGACTATCATACAATACAACTGGGGGTACAAGATAAGGTTATCATATTGTATACAATAAAGGGGTCAGTAGACTATCATACAATACAACTGGGGGTACAAGATAAGGTTATCATATTGTATACAATAAAGGGGTCAGTAGACTATCATACAATACAACTGTGATAACAAATATATTATCTTATACGTTACTAAGGTAGCCTATTCATAGATACATATGTCAATATTGTAAAAATGACATTGCATCAGGTTTTAGCACATGCTGCTTCATGTGAATAGGAGCCACAATTATCAGATTTATGTGAGTAGGAGCCACAATTATCAAATGCATGTGAGTAGGAGCCACAATTATCAAATTCATGTGAGTAGGAGCCACAATTATCAAATTCATGTGAATAGGAGCCACAATTATCAAATTCGTGTGAATAGGAGTCACAATTATCAAATTCGTGTGAATAGGAGCCACAATTATCAAATTCATGTGAGTAGGAGCCACAATTATCAAATTCATGTGAGTAGGAGCCACAATTATCAAATTCATGTGAGTAGGAGCCACAATTATCAAATTCATGTGAATAGGAGCAACAATTATCAAATTCGTGTGAATAGGAGTCACAATTATCAAATTCGTGTGAATAGGAGCCACAATTATCAAATTCATGTGAATAGGAGCCACAATTATCAAATTCATGTGAGTAGGAGCCACAATTATCAAATTCATGTGAGTAGGAGCCACAATTATCAAATTCATGTGAGTAGGAGCCACAATTATCAAATTCATGTCAATAGGACCCACAATTATCAAATTCATGTGAATAGGACCCAAACATTAAATTCATGTTAATGTACCCCCAATTATCAAATTTTAAACCTTTTATGAGCAAGCTCTCAAAATTTCATTGCTAGAAACCTACGAAAAGGATCTAATATTTAAATGTGTTGTTTTTTTCGTAACTAAACTCTAGTAGTACTTAAATTAGTTATGAAACGTCGATGTTCGTCAATTATTTTCGATTTCAACTCATTGCACTACAGCATTACGTTCCCTAAAATCCTCATACTGGAAAATAATAAAACCCAAAAGATTTAAAAAAAATAAATAAATAAATACACTGACCTTTGCCCTGTTGGTCTCCAAATTTAGACCACGGTAGAAAACATTTCCCGACGTACAAGGAATCTCGCCAATCAGCATCTTGAATGTTGAGCTCTTGCCCGCCCCGTTACCCCCCAGCAGACCGAAACACTCGTTCTTGGCGATACCAAGGTTGGTGTTTTCTACAGCGGTCAGCGTGTGGGTGTTGGACAGGTACTTCTTGCACAGGTTGACCATCAGAACCTCGTCTGAAAGGTGAGTATAGCGTCAGTCAAATAAAACAAGATAGATGTATCATCATTACATATAGATTTATTAAGTCAGCGAAGAGGATAAGTTCTTCTGACATCTGGGAATAGGACTAGTTCCGATGACATGAGGAGTATAGGACTAGTTCCGATGACATGAGGAGTATAGGACTAGTTCCGATGACATCTGGAAACATGACTAGTTCCGATGACATCTGCAAATAGGACTAGTTCCGATGACATCTGGTACAAGGACTAGTTCCGATGGCATCTGGGAATAGAACTAGTCCCGATAACATCTGGGAATAAGACAAGTTCCAATGACATCAGGAGAATAGGACATGTTCCTAAGAGATATGGGGTAGGAGAACGCCTCATGACATTAGAAGTTAAAACACGTCGATATGGGGACTGAAAAGTCATTAAGCCAAATGAGTAAATGTTGATTCGAGGGTACAGTGCGATTCCTCTGAACCCTATGAGATCTTCTTCAGGTCTAAACTATGTGACCATCACCGTACTATGGGTTCATCTTCAGGTCTAAACCCTAAACACTCACCTGGAACCATATTCAGATCTAAACCCTGATCACTTACCTTGTTCTGGGATCTTCTTCGGATCTGAACCCTGAACCCTGACCTTACTATGGGATCTTCTTCAGATCTAAACCCTGAACCCTCACCTTGCTCTGGGATCTTCTTCAGATCTAAACCCTGAACCCTCACCCTGCTCTGAGATCTTCTTCAGATCTAAACCCTGAACCCTCACCTTGCTCTGGGATCATCTTCAGATCTAAACCCTGATCTAGGATCTTCCTCAGGTCTAAACCCTAAACACTCACCTGGAATCTTATTCAGGTCTAAACCCTGCACCCTCACCTTGCTCTGGGATCATCTTCAGATCTAAACCCTGAACCCTCACCTTGCTCTGAGATCTTGATCTAAACCCTGAACCCTTACCTTGCTCTGAGATCTTCAAATCTAAACCCTGAACCCTTACCTTGCTCTGCGATCTTCTTCAGATCTAAACCCTGAACCCTCACCTTGCTCTGAGATCTTGATCTAAACCCTGAACCCTCACCTTGCTCTGGGATCTTCTTCAGATCTAAACCCTGAACCCTCACCTTGCTCTGAGATCTTCTTCAGATCTAAACCCTGAACCCTCACCTTACTAGGGGATCATCTTCAAATCTAAACCCTGAACCCTCACCTTGCTCTGGGATCATCTTCAGATCTAAACCCTGATCTGGGATCTTCCTCAGGTCTAAACCCTAAACACTCACCTGGAATCTTATTCAGGTCTAAACCCTGCACCCTCACCTTGCTCTGGGATCATCTTCAGATCTAAACCCTGCACCCTCACCTTGCTCTGGGATCATCTTCAGGTCTAAACCCTGAACCCTCACCTTGCTCTGAGATCTTGATCTAAACCCTAAACCCTCACCTTGCTCTGGGATCTTGATCTAAACCCTGAACTCTTAACTTGCTCAGGGATATTCTTCAGGTCTAAACCCTGAACCCTCACCTTGCTCTGAGATCTTGATCTAAACCCTAAACCCTCACCTTGCTCTGCTATCTTCTTCAGATCTAAACCCTGAACCCTCACCTTGCTCTGCGATCTTCTTCAGATCTAAACCCTGAACCCTCACATTGCTCTGAGATCTTGATCTAAACCCTGAACCCTCACCTTGCTCTGAGATCTTGATCTAAACCCTGAACCCTCACCTTGCTCTGAGATCTTGATCTAAACCCTGAACCCTCACCTTGCTCTGGGATCTTGATCTAAACCCTGAACCCTCACCTTGCTCTGGGATCTTGATCTAAACCCTGAACCCTCACCTTGCTCTGAGATCTTGATCTAAACCCTGAACCCTCACCTTGCTCTGAGATCTTGATCTAAACCCTGAACCCTCACCTTGCTCTGAGATCTTGATCTAAACCATGAACCCTTACCTTGCTCTGGGATCTTCTTAAAGTCTAAACCCTGAACCCTCAACTTGCTCTGCGATCTTGATCTAAACCCTGAACCCTCACTTTGCTCTGGGATCTTGATCTAAACCCTGAACCCTCACCTTGCTCTGGGATCTTCTTCAGGTCTAAACCCTGAACCCTCAACTTGCTCTGCGATCTTGATCTAAACCCTGAACCCTCACCTTGCTCTGAGATCTTGATCTAAACCCTGAACCCTCACCTTGCTCTGAGATCTTGATCTAAACCCTGAACCCTCACCTTGCTCTGGGATCTTGATCTAAACCCTGAACCCTCACCTTGCTCTGGGATCTTGATCTAAACCCAGAACCCTCACCTTGCTCTGAGATCTTGATCTAAACCCTGAACCCTCACCTTGCTCTGAGATCTTGATCTAAACCCTGAACCCTCACCTTGCTCTGAGATCTTGATCTAAACCATGAACCCTTACCTTGCTCTGGGATCTTCTTCAAGTCTAAACCCTGAACCCTCAACTTGCTCTGCGATCTTGATCTAAACCCTGAACCCTCACTTTGCTCTGGGATCTTGATCTAAACCCTGAACCCTCACCTTACTCTGGGATCTTCTTCAGGTCTAAACCCTGAACCCTTAACTTGCTCTGCGATCTTGATCTAAACCCTGAACCCTCACCTTGCTCTGAGATCTTGATCTAAACCCTGAACCCTCACCTTGCTCTGAGATCTTGATCTAAACCCTGAACCCTCACCTTGCTCTGAGATTTTGATCTAAACCCTGAACCCTCACCTTGCTCTGAGATCTTGATCTAAACCATGAACCCTTACCTTGCTCTGGGATCTTCTTCAAGTCTAAACCCTGAACCCTCAACTTGCTCTGCGATCTTGATCTAAACCCTGAACCCTCACTTTGCTCTGGGATCTTGATCTAAACCCTGAACCCTCACCTTGCTCTGGGATCTTCTTCAGGTCTAAACCCTGAACCCTCAACTTGCTCTGCGATCTTGATCTAAACCCTGAACCCTCACCTTGCTCTGAGATCTTGATCTAAACCCTGAACCCTCACCTTGCTCTGAGATCTTGATCTAAACCCTGAACCCTCACCTTGCTCTGGGATCTTGATCTAAACCCTGAACCCTCACCTTGCTCTGGGATCTTGATCTAAACCCTGAACCCTCACCTTGCTCTGAGATCTTGATCTAAACTCTGAACCCTCACCTTGCTCTGAGATCTTGATCTAAACCCTGAACCCTCACCTTGCTCTGAGATCTTGATCTAAACCACGAACCCTTACCTTGCTCTGGGATCTTCTTCAAGTATAAACCCTGAACCCTCAACTTGCTCTGCGATCTTGATCTAAACCCTGAACCCTCACTTTGCTCTGGGATCTTGATCTAAACCCTGAACCCTCACCTTACTCTGGGATCTTCTTCAGGTCTAAACCCTGAACCCTCAACTTGCTCTGCGATCTTGATCTAAACCCTGAACCCTCACCTTGCTCTGAGATCTTGATCTAAACCCTGAACCCTCACCTTGCTCTGAGATCTTGATCTAAACCCTGAACCCTCACTTGCTCTGGGATCTTGATCTAAACCCTGAACCCTCACCTTGCTCTGGGATCTTCTTCAGATCTAAACCCTGAACCCTCTGCCTCTCAGCGATGACCTCGTCGTCACAATCGGTGAGCGGCTCTAGGTTGGTGATCTTGGTGAGCGACTTCTCAAGCTTCTGGATGATGAAATCGTGCAGGGACCCGGCGGATGTACACCTGCGGGAGGGAGAGGGGGAGGGGGGTGTTTAGTAAACACACACATATACACCCACACCCCCACACACACTTAGACAAACGCTAACATATGCACACACCCATGTACAAACTAATAGATTTCCAAAACCCTTGCCCTGATCAGTAACCCTATCCCTAACTAATCCTTAACAGTTGCGTATGCATTGCTTTGCTTAAACGACATTAAGAGAAGGTAATTTAGAGAGCGGGTGCTATCCTACTGTACAGTGGCGTAGCGAGGTCTGGTGTCACCCGGTGCGGCACTTGATGGTGTCATTCCCAGAGGCGTAACGACCCTTCCCGGGAACAAACTTTCAATTTTCGATTTGCACCATCCCCCTCAAACTTTCGATTTGCACCTCTTAAAACAGTATTTAACACTCGAATTAATCACTTAATTAAGTGGAATTATCATTTTTCTATATATATTTTGCTATTTTTTGCCTTGGTGTCACCCCTTTAAATGGTGTCGCCCGGTGCTGTCTACACCCCCGCCTCCCCCTCGCTACGCCTCTGCTACTGTATATTAGGGAAAGGGGAGTTATTATAAGTGGATAATAATATATTGGAGGTGTTAACTGATGCGAGGGGATGGGTTCTAATCAATAAAGCTATGAAAACTCTAATTAGTTCTATATGTGCAAAATACTTTTTTAACTTTCATTCCCCCTTAGGTAGAAACAGTCTCTTTACGTCTTGAGCCTAGTTAAATGTATTCTATTCTCGCATAGCTTCAAAGCTAACATTGATGACACCTAAGATCTCAAACCTTTACTCAAACGTAATCGACGGCTAAAACTTTGAACAAACATCTTCGCTGGTATCAAAGTACTATGCCTGCGATTTTTAAGTATCGTACCTTTCATACCTTTAGCGTAGCGAGGGGGGGGGGGGGGACATATGTCCCCGGGCGCCGACCTTAGGGGGCGCCAACATGGGTTGGAAAAATAAATTGAAAGGTTGAGGGGGGTGCAAATCGAAAGTTTGAGGGAGGGTGCAAATCGAAAACTTGAGGGGGGGTGTGCAAATTGAAAGTTTGAGGGGGGGGGGTGCAAATCGAAATCTTGATCTTGAGGAGGGGGGTTGCAAATCGAAATCTCGAGAAGGGGTGCAAATCGAAAGTTTGAGGGGGGTGCAAATCGAAATCTTGAGGGGGGGTGGGGGGCGCAAATCGAAAGGTTTGTCCCCGGGAGCCGGGAAGGGTAAAATTAATTATTCCATATCGGTTATTAAATACAAGAGAAATTACCGTTTTCCACGATGCAAAAGGCTTTCAACGACGATTAGAAAAAACCAACATATAAACCAATGTATGACAAAGGCAAAAACGGCAGTCGTTGTTATTTGCCCAGCATCTGAAATACGAGTTCAAATCAATCATTACAAAAGATTATTATGGTTATAATATGGAGGATACTATTCACCTGATATGTGTAACTTTTAAATGCTGATAAAATGCGTATGCTTTAAAAACACAGTAGTACCTAGTGATACAAACATAGTACGTTCCTTAACATCCCCCCCCCCCCCCCATTAAAAATGACATCCATGTTTTGTCATTATTTTTTTTTAATGATCTATGAAAAAAGTGGCATAAAAGCATAGTATAATACAGAAAGAAGGAATAACTGGTTTTATAAAGGAAAAGTAAAATCATACAGTAAAATCTTATGGGGGGTCTGGCTTTTTGTGACGACGTGTGACGGAGGGGAGGGGGGGCTAAAATCGTCAAAAAAAGCGTGACGTCATTTATGAATGACCCCCTGTCGAAGTTGATAATATCTTCCTCCCTTTTAGAACCTAACGGAAATTAATTAAGACAAGTGCCAGTAAACATTTCCATTGAACGACCAGTTGTACTTCATCGGGGTGTTTGTTTTCCACGAATTTCAAACTCGTAGTTTCTCGTATTTCAAATCAAAACATCACCCACTCAAAATCTAAAACATCTCGTATGTCGAGGTATTCGTATGTCAGGGTGTCAAGGTACCCTTGTTCTGTCGTGACTTAACTTTCACCGGAATTGTAAAACTAAATTGACTGTTCCATTTAAATCTTCTTATAAATAACCCGGCTTTGTAAGTCGCTTTAGTAGACAATTTTATACTACCAAAGATACTTACTGTTTTGATGAAAACAATTGATAGGATATATCCTGAGTTAAGGTTTAATGGTTTTGATAAGACACTTAAATTATGTGATCTATACTCTTAAGAAGATTATTCAGATCATTTCTGAGGTACTTATTCATCGAAGAGAGGGTAGATTGCAGAGTGAATTTGTTAAAAATTAAGCATACTCTTATGGGTTGGTTTGTTAAAATTACACATAGTCATATTCAAATTTTCGTTGAATAATCTGTAACGTCTATTTTTTTTAAATATCGTTTACAAAGGTAACTAGCATAGGGAAGTAAAACAGACGGACGCTTCACCTGAATCAAATAGAAGAATTCTCGTGTGCGCAGCGTTTAATATCGTGTTTGGTGACGTCATCAAAAATGCGTGATTAACATATATAAGAAGCTTCTCATTAACATAATAAGATGCTGTAAAGTGAGCGAGCACTGAGGAAAAAATCATTATATATATAAATCTATATCTGTATAAACATATATATATATATATATGATAATAAAGGCCTACCTTTGCACAAAACGTAATGGATAATTTCATATATATATATATATATATATATATATATATATATATATATATATATATATATACATATATATATATATATATATTTATTTATTTATTTATTTATTTATTTATTTATTTATTTATTTATTTATTTATTTATTTATTTATTTATTTAATTATTTATTTATTTATTTATTTATTTATTTATTTATTTATTTATTTATTTATTTATTTATTTATTTATTTATTTATTTATTTATTTATTTATTTATTTATTTATTTATTTATTTATTTATTTATTTATTTATTTATTTATTTATTTATTTATTTATTTGTTTATTTATTTATATATTTATAGTAAACGAATTATATACTTACATATAATAAAATTGTTTTATATACCAACTTTTTACTTACTACAAAATTACTTACTATGTAAAAACGCATATGATACAAATATGAATACAGCCAGTGTAGGTTTGACGAAAAGCTTGCTGAAGATGTAGATGAAAGGCAGAACGTCCAGGATGAAGAGGAAGTGTATGGGTATGAGGAGGTGGACGTGTTCCTTGATGTTCTCCAAGGACTGCTGTCCCAGGATGCAAGCCCACTGGGTGGCGATGTAGAAGAGGAAGAGGGCGATGTCGAAGAGGTACATTGAGCCCCAGTACATGTAGGATGGGACTCCGCTGAGGAGGGTCAGGGTGTGGGCTCCCGTCTGTGGATCAGAGGTGGATTGATTATGCGGGAGGCGCGTGGGTTAGAGGAGGGTGAATGGGGATTATGTGTGAATGAGTTGTGGATAGAATTAGGATGGGCGTTACATGTGGATAAATTGTAAGACTATTTAAAAAATTGATGAGCGAACACTGTTATTTGTGAATGTAATACAATACTCAAACTTAATAATTAAAAAGGTTGTGGTTTTAGTTGGAAATATATATATATATATATATATATATATATATATATATATATATATATATATATATATATATATATATATATATATATATATATATATAAGAAAAACGATCTCTGGGAAAATTATATCTGACAGATTATCTCAAACAAAATGTCTTTAAACGAAATCTCACGGACAAAAATTTTCTAAGACAAATTATCCCACAAACAAGTATGTCGGTACAAGGATACCAATAAGTTGGATCAAAGAAAGCACGTGATCATAGTAGTTTTATCCTGAGTTCATTCAAGTTATTTTTCCAGTTATTGATTTTAATTTATCATATCTGTACCCTCCCCCTTGGTGTGCCTGCTTCAAGTTCACCATTTCATCTGAGACGTACTCTAGTTGTCGTCGATTGAGTTATACGTACACTTTTCTCTGATATCTGCTATAATTGGTATTTATTGGGTTATACATACTCTTATCTCTGAGACGTTTGACAATTGGGTTATACGTACACTTTTCTCTGATATCTGCTATAGTTGGTATCAATTGGGTTATACGTACATTATTCTCTGAGACCAGCATATAGGTACCACCAATTGGGTTATACGTACACTATTCTCTCATATCTGTTATAGTTGGTATCAATTGGGTTATACGTACATTATTCTCTGAGACCAGCATATAGGTACCACCAATTGGGTTATACGTACACTATTCTCTCATATCTGCTATAGTTGGTACCAATTGGGTTATACGTACTCTTATCTCTGAGACGTGGTGCTTCAGTTTGGGTTATACGTACATTTTTCTATGAGACATAATCTGGTTGCCATCAATTGGGTTATACGTACATTATTCTCTGAGACCAGCATATAGGTGCCACCATTTGGGTTATACGTACATTATTCTCTGAGACCAGCATATAGGTGCCATCAATTGGGTTATACGTACATTATTCACTCATATCTGTTCTAATTGGCATCAATTGGGTTATACGTACACTTTTCTCTGAGATGAGGTCATCAATAGGGTTATACGTACACTTTTCTCTATGAGGAAGTGCATCAGTTAGGTTATACGTACACTTTTCTCTGGGAGGAGGTACATCAATTGGGTTATACGTACACTTTTCTCTGAGAGGAGGTGCATCAATTGGCTTATACGTACACTTTTCTCTGAGACGAGCCAACTGAGGATCAGCGTCTCAAATGAGATGACCGCAAAGTGGAGCAGCAACAGGCTGATACCCTGGTTGTAGGACTGTAGCTTGATGTGACCGTACGGGTACACCCCAGTCTGGACCTGGAAGTCGTTGCCCAGGTACTCACGCACGTGTGCATTGAGCAACATTTGGACCTAAACACGCGCATGAAAAAAAATCGTCCACTTGTTAAATACAATATTTTAAATTTGTTCACTTCGGGGTCATCCATAAATGACGTCACGCTTTTTTTTGACGATTTTTACCTCCCCCCTCCCCTCCGTCATACATCGTCACAAAAAGCCAGAATCCCCACCCATAAAATGTCGTCACACCTCAGCCTACAACCCCTCTCAAAGTTGCTGTTGATTTTTTCTTAAAACATCGATATTTTTCCAAAATCTTGTCAGAACTCTGTCAACATAGAGTATTTTGATTAATTCCTATTACAATTTATTAAAACCGTTTTCTAAAACGCGAAATTATAACTGCTAAAACTCGTTTTCTAACATTGCTTTTTTATAATGCAAAAATGTGACGTCACACCATCTGAATCCCCTTCCACCCCCACCCCCATCATCACACACCGTCACTAAATTAAGGACCCCCCTCCCCCCTACGAGTGTGACGTCATTTATGGACGACCCTTTACTCAATGTGCGATCATTTTCATACATGAATACTACAATTATCTACAAAGCTTATACCATCAATAATTGTCTAAAATATTTGGAATTAACTGTTCCACTCTTTAGTTTTACTCACGACCTAGTGAATAAAAATAGCGTCCATCTTTCTAAACAAAACACTACAGTAGTCTCCCTTAATAATATTTCCTTCGCCTGTCGGTACTTAGATTTAAATATCACGGCTAACATTAGTAAATATAAGACTTATGTTGTAAACAGTTGTAAGGCTTTACGCCTTTCATTTTTAATTGACTCAATCAATATTTTAACCATTAAGGTATTGAACAATTGGTATTCTGCACACACAAAATGAATACATTAAATAACCTTTTTTGTAGTGTGAAACTAGCATTTAAACTCTCAGACTTCAAAAGAAATTGAAGAAACTAATGTAAATCAAGATAAGATAATCCACACATACTAAATAATACAAGATGATCCTACCCCAATAGCCTCGAGGTGAACAAAATCAGACTGGTAGTAAACAACACAAGGCTCTGGTGCTTTGCGGATCTCAAACCCTAACAGAAGTTGTCTTCGGTAGGTTTGTACGGAATTTCTTTCAGCCCAGTCAATGAAATATGCGTTAAATCCCTATAAAAAGTTATATATATATATATATATATATATATATATATACATATATATATACATATATATATATATATATATATACGTATATATATTATATAACAACATATATATATATATAAATATATACATATATTTTCATATATATATACATATATATATGAAAATATATGTATATATTTAAAACATAATTTATAATAAAATACACTTACACTTGTATTAACCCTAACAATACTTACCTCTGGGAATACCTCTTCTCTACTTACGCCTGTCATTACCCTCACTCTACTGCGTTGGTGTTTACCCCTACACTACTCCCACTGGGAGAACACTAACACTACTTTTATATGGGGTTACCCCAACATTACTTACCTTTGGAATTAATTTACATAACTTACATTTGGTAGATCCGTCACGGTGAACACCTGCATTCTCTCCTGTAGCAAAGCCCTTAACCTATTAGAAACTCCACGAAGATCTGGATCCGTCGGTTCCAGTACAGCGGCCAAGGTCCCTGGGATGTCTCTGATGTTAAAATCCAGTGGGTGAGTCGTGGCGATGTCGTGCGATTTGATGACGTACATCAGGGTCAAGGTGGCGTGGATGAGGGTGACGAAGAGGATGGTGCTGGTGTTCCGTCTCAGCATGATCCAGCGCTTGATGACCAGGGCTTTCACCTGCTGGGTGTGCAGGCGGATGCCCACGTTCTTTTGGTCGACCGGAGCTGCCTTCGTCTCTGTGGAGAGTTTGTGTTCAATTAGTGCAGGGGTCGCCAAACTACCCGCGAGGTCCTCTCACCCGGCCCGCGGAGATCTTTTTGTACACGGAAAAAAACGTTTGTTGTTGATGGCTGAGGAACTTTGCTCAGAAAAATCACGACATGCCTAGAAACAAATTGGCCCCCGAACTGAAATTTGATACTTAATGCGGCCCTCGGGCTAAAAAGTTTGGAGACCCCTGCATTAGTGAATGGGTTTCTTTATCTCGCGGTAAGGTGTGCTCGTGTAAACATGAGAGCTGTATGTGTACCGCGTAACAAATGAAAGTTAGAGACGTATAAGTGCATGTCAAACTTCAGCCAAATGAAATATTTATTTCAGACATGTATAAGTGTTGAAGGGGGAGAAGGGGGTAAGGAACTTTATTTTAGCACCACCCCCTCAGAGAGCATCCAATGCCACATCCACCCATAACAAATAAAGTAAAAAAATATAATGTGCATCGAAAAGTTTATGTTAACTAACGCCAGCTACTTCGCTGGAAAAAAGTGCACAGTTAAAATTGCCCACCCACCATCTTATAAAAATACCTTAAAGAAAACCGGAATAAAATAAAACTCGATACAGCATGTGAATCCCCTACGAAAAATAAAATAAAAACTTTATATCACTTATTTCAACCCTTAACAAATCTAACCCCCCCCCCCCCCCCATCATTACTCCAACCGGTGAATTCAGCTCATACAAGCATTACTATAAACAATATACACCCAAAACAAACGCTAACATACCCAAACCTCCAACCTAAAACAAACACAAATCTACCCAAACCTCCACCTAAAACAAACACAAACCTACACAAAACGTCACCTAAAAAAACACAAACTTACCCAAACCTTCACCTAAAAAAACACGAACCTATCTAAAACTTCACCTAAAACAAACACGAACCTACCCAAACCCCCACCTAAACTAAACACAAACCTACCCACAACTTCACCTAAAACAAACACAAACATACCCAAACTTCCACCTAAAACAAACACGAACCTACCCAAACTTCCACCTAAAACAAACACGAACCCATCCAAACCCCCACCTAAACTAAACACAAACCTACCCAAAACTGCACCTAAAACAAACACAAAACTACCCAAACTTCCACCTAAAACAAACGCTAACATACCCAAACTTCCTCCTAAAACAAACACGAACCTACCCAAAACTTCACTTAAAACAAACACAAACATACCCAAACTTCCACCTAAAACAAACACGAACCTACCCAAACTTCCACCTAAAACAAACACGAACCTACCCAAACTTCCACCTAAAACAAACACGAACCTATCCAAACCCCCACCTAAACTAAACACAAACTTACCCAAAACTGCACCTAAAACAAACACAAACCTACCCAAACTTCCACCTAAAACAAACGCTAACATACCCAAACTTCCACCTAAAACAAACGCTAACATACCCAAACTTCCACCGAAACCAAACACAAACCTACCCAAAACTGCACCTAAAACAAACACGAACCTATCGAAAACTTCCACCTAAAAAAAAAGGCTAACATACCCAAACTTCCACCGAAACCAAACACAAACCTACCCAAAACTTCACCTAAAACAAACACGAACCTACCCAAACTTCCACCTAAAACAAACACGAACCTACCCAAAACTTCAGCTAAAACAAACACGAACCTACCCAAACCCCCACCCTAAACCAAACACAAACCTACCCAGAACTTCATCTTGAACTGATCCCATCACGGATTCAGCGCCATCCTTCTTGAGGCTTTTGATGGTTTCGCTGCTCCGTCTAGAGACCATATCATTGCGCGGCTGGGTCTGGGGGATGTTGTCCACTTTGCTGGAACCTACCTCCACCGTGGAGCCAGTTTTTGGCTTCTCTGACGACAGTTCTCTGCCCAAGACACAGTCATAATGTATAAAGAGTCATGGTATTATCATTATCTTTTCCATTTCGTGCCCAAGAAACACTCATATTGTATAAAGTCATACTCATGGTATTATCTTTTCCATGTTGTGCCCAAGACACAGTCATACCCTATAATGAGTCATACTCATAGTATACTCATAGTATCATCATCATCTTTTCCCTTTCGTACCAACGACACGTAGGACAGATGAAGTTGAGTCCATATGTTTTACATACCTCAGCATATGAAACGATAGTGCGGTCAGTACTATGTCCAGTCGCCTTTGCTTTTCCTAACGTGAGTTAGGTACCCATCAGAGCTGGGTGAACTCACTTGAACAACGATTCGAACTCGAGACTTTTGAATAAGTAGTCTAGCTCTCTATCGCTAAGCCAAGTCGCCCCATATACCCATGGTATATTACACAAACATGACTTTTCTGACGTGTATGCCAATAATACTATTTTTAAAATTGACATTAATAACATACCAATATGTAGCCTACAGTGTAATTCGGGACTTTCAAAACGCAAGAACAAACTGAATCTTTCTAACAGTACTTTCCTCACAACCCATGTACAACTGGCCGTTTTCAACAGAACTTACGTATTTGCCTTTGAATTTTTTCCAGATTCTTTTTTTTCGACTTCGCTGAAAACGGAAAACGGAGATCTTACATATTTGTAACTTAATTCATCATATTAAATATTTTCTCAACTTTGCTCAAAAAGCTGAATATATATGTTTTTAAGAAAACAAGAATACAATAATAGACTAGCCTATACTTAATTTTCACGGATGCCTGACGGTGTCTTAAATAAGGCGTTTGTTTGATTAGGCCTACTGCTAAAAAAGAACGAATATATGAACGCGGCATTGGCCTCAACCCGAATCAATCTTCTTTAGAAAAAATAAAAATGTCAAATACAAATAGAATATGTATTTGATTACATATATTTTAAAATTAACACAAGTCTAAGCATCGATAAACAGAAATAGATTCAACACAGCTTTATCATAAACCTGATAGGTTTTGGTAAAATGTCCTAAGGGTCGGGCATGTGTTTCGGGTATTTGTCGTACCCTCTAGTTTATCCATCTGCCTTTCACACACACACACACACACACATATATATATATATATATATATATATATATATATATATATATATATATATATATATATATATATATATATATATATATATATATATATATATATGGTTTGTGCAACAATATCAGACAAAGGAATATAAGTGTGACATAGATTTCCACGAAGTTGAATGTAGAATCAATAGGTAGACTAGTACAACATTATATACATTAGCAAGAAGTATTTTTTTTCTCTCCAATACCAATACCAATAATATATCCGACTTACACCGGCTCTTGATCCATCTCAGTCTGCAAGATGTGTCCCATCCTGGGGATCGATCAAACAAACATTTTGTTTCAGATATTCAAAAAATAATTCAAAACAATCACGCGACATTATCAGAGTTAAATTAATTATAAATATCTTCACATTTTGGTTAATGAAATGTATATTTTTTTTAAATACGATAGAGCGAATGTTAATTCAACCTAGAGCTGGTTTCTTGAAGTTTAAAGTACGTATAATACGTTTAATTCTAGTTGCCAACTTTAAATTAAAAAGTTAAAAGTAGAATTACTTACGATTCTGCTTTGGATCGTTTTTTAATTTCAAATCTTTCGCCCACTCTAAAAATGTACAGAAAATTGTTCTATAGGAAATTTTACAATTAACTTAATAAATATTATGTGTATTAATTTTTATCTTAAAATTAATAGGCCTAGATGTTCCTGTCAATTCAACACGTTTATTTAGTTATTTAACAAAGCTATTCTTACAATATTCAGCAATAAAAATACACTAATTAATTATTCTGTATAAATACAAGAAAAAAATGTAATTTAATTACACAAAAGGTTGTATAATATATATTATATTATAATCGTATAAAAATAAAGTTAAAATGTAATAAAACAGAAGGTTATATATAGTCGCATAAAAATAAAAGTTTAAAATTTAACAAAACAGAAGGTTATATAATCGCATACATATGAAAGTTTAAAATTTAATACAACAGAAAGTTATACAATCACATACCAATGAAAGTTCAAAATTAAATAAAACAGAAGTATATATAATGGCATGCAAATAAAAGTTTAAAATTTAATACAACAAATATAATTGCATACAAATGAAAGTTTCAAAAATCTTCATCATTACCTGAAAAACACGTCTTCAATTGATGTGGCAAAAAGCCCATACGACTCCACATTGAGAGTCGCAAGACTACTGTCTAGGCTCTTGAGTAACTTGGGGAGGTCACTGAGGGTCTGGTCCGGCAAACGGAAGTTGATCTCTGTGCGTGTGGAAGACTGAATACAAGTAGACATTGATCAAACAGTCGAGCTGGTTATAGTTTTAAGTTAATTATCTTTACGGATGTAAGCGAGTAGGTTTTTGAAGTCTACCGGGCTAGACCACTAGACCACTAACCAATAATACGGATCAACCCAAACATAGATTGATAGTCCATAAATCATTAATTACAAGACATATACATTTACTTATAATTGTCAATAATCATTCTATAATGGATCAGTTTCCGTGCACCATCATTCATTGACAATATTCATCAATAATTCTCCATGCACTAACATTTAACTTTCATTGACAACAGTAACCTCCATATCTATATTCAGCATCATTCGTTAAAAATATTCACCAATAATTTTCCGTGCACCAACATTCGTTAAAAATATTCACCATTAATTTTCCGTGCTCCAACGTTCATTGACAACATTCAGTAATAATTTTCCGTGCACCAACATTCGTTGACATCTGACAATATTCAGCAATAATTTTCCGTGCACCAACAATCATTGACAACATTGAGCAATAATTGTCCGTGCTCCAACAATACTAATACGTACCTGATAAATAGCAGACGGAATATACTCCATCAGGTGTTTGATGACGTTATATTCCTTACACTTTGGTCCCTTGATGAAGGTTAATTTATAGCCAATACCTATAATATGTTTAATTATCAATAATAGCTGTTTCTGATAGGGTTGAATCAACAGCCAAATAGATAAAGTATTAATTACTTAAAACATGTGTAAAACAAGTATACAAATTCTTTTAAATATTATGTTTTTAATTTACAGATCTACTAAAAAAAAATATTTTTACTCTGTGTTTTCAAAAGTAACTGATTCCTTATACCACTTCAGCATCGAATATAAGTGAAACTTTTAAATACAATTACTTAATTAATTATTGGTTACAATTAAATTAATTGGAAATTTAATTGCAACATTTGGGATATTTTAAGTAGCAGCATCCAGACTAAGGTAAGGAAAAAGTGGACATTTTTACTAACATTTTTTATAAAATCGATATTCTATTATAGATAATTTTTCGAAACCTTAACTTTTGATTATAATTAATATTGTAAAAATGTATGTGTGTATGTTTAATCGTTATTTTTTTGGGCGGATTTGTTTTGATACTGTCCCCTAATTTAAACAAAACGAATCGTGATTTTAGACAAGCCTAATAAGAGACTGCTAATAAATTAAACTTGGGGTCTAATTATTCACTTTAAATGTATGAATATAGATCTAGAATGAATTGTAGGTCACATTTTTCTTAATTATATACCGGTTTTAAAATCTAACGCAAAAATACAATATTTACCGTATATCTGACTTATATATTGGTTTAAAATCTAACGCAAAAATAAATTATTTTCCGTATATCTTACTTATATATTGGTTTAAAATCTAACGCAAAAATACAATATTTACCGTATATCTGACTTATATATCGGTTTAAAATTTGCCCCAAAAATACAATATTTACCGTATATCTGACTTATATATTGGTTTAAAATTTTCCCCAAAAAGACAATATTTACCGTATATCTGACTTATATATTGGTTTGAAATTTTCCCCTAAAATACAATATTTACCGTATATCTTATTTCTATATTGGATTAAAATTTGCCCTAAAAATACAATATTTACCGTATATCTGACTTCTATATTGGTTTAAAATTTGCCCCAAAAATACAATATTTACCGTATATCTTACTTCTATATTGGATTAAAATTTTCCTCAAAAATACAATATTTACCGAATATCTTTTTCAAATACGCGGACGTCCCGCAGCACTCCACCACGCCCCCTGCCAATATGGCAATACGGTCACTCAAGATGTCCGCCTCGTCCATGAAGTGTGTCGTCATCACTATAGTCCGGCCAGAGCGCCGGTTCTTCAGGAATCTCCACAGGTCTCGTCTGGCACTGGGGTCAAGGCCAGTGGATGGCTCGTCCAGAAATATGGTCTGTGGATAGAACAGAATAGTCTAGATTTTGACATCATTAAGTAGATTTCAGATTCCTGTTAAGTCTAGTTCAGGGGTCTCCTAACTTTTCAGCCCGAGGGCCGCATTAACTATCAAATATCAGTTCGTGGGCCAGTTTCTTCTGGGCATCTCTTTGGGGTGGCGGAGCCCCACCCCCTTCCCCACCGAAGAACATATACCCCCCTTTACCTTACCCCCCCCCCCCCCCCCCAACGAAATATAAATTATATAGAAATATATGTACATTTCAGCGACTCATCATTGCAATTGAAAAATGGCAAAACTTGCATGCATTTTTCACTGTTTGAGTCACAATGTTTTCATCAATGTCTGCAACACGGTGAGCAACGGTAGTTGCACCCAAAGCTACATTTTCAAATCGTTTTGAATTTTTCTGGGCAAAGTTCCTCAGCCACCTCCAACAAACAATTTTTCCGTGGACAAAAATATCTCCGCGGGTCGGATGAGAGGACCTTGCGGGCCGCATCCGGCCCGCGGGCCGTAGTTTGGAGACCCCTGGTCTAGTTCATGGCTCGTCCAAAAATATTGTCTGTGGATAAACCACAATAGTCTAGATTTCGACTATTAAGTAAGTTTCAGATTCCTGTTTAGTCCAGTTGAAATAGAAATATGGTCTAAGGACAGAACAGAATAGTCTACATATTCGTTTTTTTTTACTTTCTCGTATATACGAAGTATAGAGAAAGTATTGTAATCGTGCACAAAAATCACTTGAAATTTTAACAATTTTCACCGTATTACACCTCAGTCCTTCATCACATCCGAAGTATAGAGGACTTATTTTAATCGGGCAAAAATTATCAATCCAGATTTATTAAAATTAAGAGGTTTTATGCGTAATCCAGTCTGAAAAACTGGGCTTTGCAATTCTGTCCGTATGTCTGTGTGTGTGTGTGTGTGTCTGTCCGTGTGTAAACACGATTACTTGAGTACCGTTACAGCTATGTTGATGAAATTTCATATATAAGTATTTTATCAAAATCGTAGATTCGTATCAACTTTTGAGCGATTTCCGATAACCGAAAGTGGTACTTTTTCTACTTTGAATTTTTCAAAAGCCTATAACTTGAGTTCTATTTCAGATAGATAAATGACATTAGAAGTAGTAATTCACGCTACTTCCGATTTCTCAAAAAACTAATGTACATTTTTAAAGTACTAATAATATTGCGTACTAATATGCACTTTTTATTTGGAGTTCACTTGGTGTGCAGTTCTTTTGTCTACGAGATTTTATTCTATTTTTAAAACTTTAAGTATTTAAAATGGATTAAAAATCTTGTCTATAGCCCGAGTTCCCATCCCCTGTTGTTTTATATTAGAATATTCGAGAAAGTTTAGGGGAGATCACTCCCGGTTTATTTCAGAAAGTATCAAGGTTTGGTTGAGTTTTATTGATAGCTCGATCATAATTGTTTATTATAAATAGAAATAGAATAGTCTTGATTGTGACTTTCGTCATTAGGTTACAGGCTTTGGTAAATATTCTTTATCGCTAGTCCAGAAATATTGTCAGGGAACAGTAACAGAATAGTCTAAATGTTGACTTTTATGAGTAGGTTTCGGGTTTCTGTTAAGTCTAGTTGATGGTTTGTAAAGAAATATTGTCAGGGGATATAAGGATATAAAAATCGTGTTCTTTACCAAAGGAATACAAGTAGTAATGGTGCAATTACATCTTACCTAGGCATTTGTCAGTGGCGAACAGACAGTGTAAATTTTATTACCTTTTACCTTAACAGGCGAACAGGTAGAATAACCTATTACCATCCCAGGTACATAAGTGTACCGTAGTGGGTAACCTTGTAGTGATGTTAACTCTTGATATTATTGACATAAGTGAACCGTAGTGGGTAACCTTGTATTGATGTTAACTCTGATACTATTGAGATAAGTGTACCGTAGTGGGTAACCTTGTAATAATGTCAACTCTGATACTAATGAGAAAATTTTACCGTAGTGTTCCCAACAAAAGCGATTGCGACGGCAAGTTTCCTTCTCTGGCCACCGGAGAGCTTGCTGGGGTTGACCTGAGCCTTGTCCTGTATCCCCAGCTGTGAGAGAAGTTCGTTGATCTCGTCGTACTTGATCTCTTGGTTTCGTATCTGTGAAACATATGTTGGTACAAGGCCGAATGGGACGAAACAATAGCGTGGTCTGATTTGCCAAACTCTGCTAACAGAAGTCTATCTCGGAATATATCTGCTAATCAGAGGTTACCTTGGAATAAATCCGCTAGCTAGAGGCTACCTTGGAATAAATAAGCAAAAGGCTACATTGGAAAAATTCGTCTAGCTAGAGGCTATCTTGAAGTGAAATAAATGAGCTAAAGAATAATGGAATATTTCGGCTAGCTGGAAGCTACCTTCGGCTACCTTCAAGGCTTCCTTGAAATAACTAGGCTAGCTAGAGGCTACCTTGTAATAACTCGGCTAGCTAGAGGCTACCTTGTAATAAATGTGCTAACAGAAGGCTACCTTGGAATACATGTGCTAACAGAAGGCTACCTTGGAATACATGTGCTAACAGAAGGCTACCTTGATAAAACTCGGCTAGCTAGAGGCTACCTTGGAATAAATGTGCTAACAGAAGGCTACCTTGAAATAACTCGGCTAGCTAGAGGCTACCTTTAATAAATGTGCTAACAGAAGGCTACCTTGAAATAACTCGGCTAGCTAGAGGCTACCTTGGAAGGAATGTGCTAACAGAAGGCTACCTTGAAACAACTCTGCCAGCCTACCTTGAAATACCTCTGCCGGCCTACCTTGAAATACCTCTGCCAGCCTACCTTGAAACACCTCTGCCAGCCTACCTTGCAGTAGAAAACCAGGTGCTCCATGCAAGTCATCCTAGGGAACAACATTTCACGCTGGGGACAATACCCCAGGGTCCGTCGCAGGTCAGATATGTTAGAGGTGACGTCATTTCCGTCAATTTCCGCCCGCCCACATGTAAGTGGAGTTAAACCTGTAATATGCATCATTCTAATATAGTTAAACCGTAAATGATACCACATCATTATTGAATTATAGTGACAGATCAGTTAACAAAACTCATTTTAACGCTAAGAGCGTCTTCTGATATTTGACTTTAATGTATGTTACGGGTCAGTTGTAGGTCAGATTAGAATAGGATAGAATAATCTAGAACTAGGGGAGAGTGCGTGTGTGAGTGGAGTTCACCCTACTGTGTAATAACCCTTGTGTGTTTATGTATTGTTATCCCAAGGTCGAATGCGAGTATAAAAGCGGGAGTGAACGATTGTAGGGGGGCAGTCAGCGGGTTAGTTGCTAGCGATTAGGACGAGGGCTACGCTTGAATGTATTTGAGATGAAATAGAAATAAAGAACGTAACAATGTAGGAGACATACCAATTTATTTATATTTTTTTTTCTTGAATCACAGCTATAATTGATGCCATATAAATAAGTATATGTAGTCTTACGTTATCTTATAAGAAAGTCTTTGCATTATATAAAAAGTATGTCTATGGAATCTATATCAGTGCATTGTGACATTGGAGGTGAATTTGAATATTTGAATGAAGAGGTCGGCGAAAAGTCTCGAGTTCGAACCCTCGGGCAGTTAAGGCTCGTTAGCTAGGGACACCAACTCTTCTAGGAAAGACAACTCCAAAATCAAACAACTGTTGCCTTGTAGTTTGTTCTTAGTTGGACGAAGGCTATGGAAGCAAATCCAAAAAGAAAAGCAACAACGCAGAAGTAGGAAATGACTGGCGAATATAAAAGGGGGCTAGAAAGGGGAAATATTGTTTTAGTGTACAAAAGGAGCAAACTGGAAGAGAAAGCAGGCTGAAATTTGAATAAGCTGACCATATGGTGCAAATATCTTTACACAATAATGACTACGAGCCGACCCGCGGCGTATCATACGCCGCTATTTAGTTGATTTATTTTCTACTTTTCAGTAATTCATAATTTGTGAATTCGACAGTACCAATGCTGCCACTGAAAATATTTGCTTTAAAACACTAACCCCCCTCCTTTCCCCTAACCCCGACCCTACACCCCCCCCCCCCCTGAAAGCAGCCTCCTCTTAGTTACCTCCTGTAAGTTTAAAGTCGGTTCAAACTAAATTATCTGCCCCTAATAGCCGTCACTAAACCTGGCTGTACGGTTTGTAAACATTAACGTGACCACAGCTCAGCAGACCATGTGGGGGTGGGTAGGGTGGTACTGATAGTGATAGAGAGAAAGAGAGGGGACTGTAAGGAGGCGCTTGCAGCTTGTTTTCTAATGGCTCGCAGAGGAGAATTATATATATAGATTGTTTGCGAATATCCCAAAAAGAATGAACCGGAAAAAAAAGTGTACCTAATATCGTGGTGATGGTTGACGTTTTGCCCGCTCCGTTGTGGCCCAGGATGATCGTGATCTGGTCCTTGTAGAATTCTAGCGTGATGCCAGCGACTGCCACCTCATTGCCGTACATCTGAGAAAACAAAATTCTAGCGTGATGCCACCTCATTACCGTACATCTGAGAAAACAAAATTCTAGCGTGATGCCACCTCACTGCCGTACATCTGAGAAAACAAAATTCTAGCGTGATGCTAGCCACCTCATTGCCGTACATCTGAGAAAACAAAATTCTAGCGTGATGCTAGCCACCTCATTGCCGTACATCTGAGAAAACAAAATTCTAGCGTGATGCTAGCCACCTCATTGCCGTACATCTGAGAAAACAAAATTCTAGCGTGATGCTAGCCACCTCATTGCCGTACATCTGAGAAAACAAAATTCTAGCGTGATGCTAGCCACCTCATTGCCGTACATCTGAGAAAACAAAATTCTAGCGTGATGCTAGCCACCTCATTGCCGTACATCTGAGAAAACAAAATTCTAGCGTGATGCTAGCCACCTCATTGCCGTACATCTGAGAAAACAAAATTCTAGCGTGATGCTAGCCACCTCATTGCCGTACATCTGAGAAAACAAAATTCTAGCGTGATGCTAGCCACCTCATTGCCGTACATCTGAGAAAACAAAATTCTAGCGTGATGCTAGCCACCTCATTGCCGTACATCTGAGAAAACAAAATTCTAGCGTGATGCTAGCCACCTCATTGCCGTACATCTGAGAAAACAAAATTCTAGCGTGATGCTAGCCACCTCATTGCCGTACATCTGAGAAAACAAAATTCTAGCGTGATGCTAGCCACCTCATTGCCGTACATCTGAGAAAACAAAATTCTAGCGTGATGCTAGCCACCTCATTGCCGTACATCTGAGAAAACAAAATTCTAGCGTGATGCTAGCCACCTCATTGCCGTACATCTGAGAAAACAAAATTCTAGCGTGATGCTAGCCACCTCATTGCCGTACATCTGAGAAAACAAAATTCTAGCGTGATGCCACCTCATTGCCGTACATCTGAGAAAACAAAATTCTAGCGTGATGCTAGCCACCTCATTGCCGTACATCTGAGAAAACAAAATTCTAGCGTGATGCTAGCCACCTCATTGCCGTACATCTGAGAAAACAAAATTCTAGCGTGATGCTAGCCACCTCATTGCCGTACATCTGAGAAAACAAAATTCTAGCGTGATGCTAGCCACCTCATTGCCGTACATCTGAGAAAACAAAATTCTAGCGTGATGCTAGCCACCTCATTGCCGTACATCTGAGAAAACAAAATTCTAGCGTGATGCTAGCCACCTCATTGCCGTACATCTGAGAAAACAAAATTCTAGCGTGATGCTAGCCACCTCATTGCCGTACATCTGAGAAAACAAAATTCTAGCGTGATGCTAGCCACCTCATTGCCGTACATCTGAGAAAACAAAATTCTAGCGTGATGCTAGCCACCTCATTGCCGTACATCTGAGAAAACAAAATTCTAGCGTGATGCCACCTCATTGCCGTACAACTGAGAAAACAAAATTCTAGCGTGATGCCACCTCATTGCCGTACAACTGAGAAAACAAAATTCTAGCGTGATGCCACCTCATTGCCGTACATCTGAGAAAACAAAATTCTAGCGTGATGCCACCTCATTGCCGTACATCTGAGAAAACAAAATTCTAGCGTGATGCCACCTCATTGCCGTACATCTGAGAAAACAAAATTCTAGCGTGATGCCACCTCATTGCCGTACATCTGAGAAAACAAAATTCTAGCGTGATGCCACCTCATTGCCGTACATCTGAGAAAACAAAATTCTAGCGTGATGCCACCTCATTGCCGTACATCTGAGAAAACAAAATTCTAGCGTGATGCCACCTCATTGCCGTACATCTGAGAAAACAAAATTCTAGCGTGATGCTAGCCACCTCATTGCCGTACATCTGAGAAAACAAAATTCTAGCGTGATGCTAGCCACCTCATTGCCGTACATCTGAGAAAACAAAATTCTAGCGTGATGCCACCTCATTGCCGTACAACTGAGAAAACAAAATTCTAGCGTGATGCCACCTCATTGCCGTACATCTGAGAAAACAAAATTCTAGCGTGATGCTAGCCACCTCATTGCCGTACATCTGAGAAAACAAAATTCTAGCGTGATGCCACCTCATTGCCGTACATCTGAGAAAACAAAATTCTAGCGTGATGCCACCTCATTGCCGTACAACTGAGAAAACAAAATTCTAGCTTGATGCCACCTCATTGCCGTACATCTGAGAAAACAACGGCAGTTCATCGTCCAGATTTCCTGGCACAATGTTGGTAAGATTTTATTTTCTCTGCAGTCATGGGAAATAACTCATGTATGTTTCGCCTAATTGTAAACTTCTAATTACCTACCGTTGTAACTCATACCGCCTCAATCTACAATGCTAATCGTAAATAATTTTCTAGTGTATTTCCTTTTGTCCATCATAAATTTATAATATGTTACCGCTTCAGGCTTGATGGTACGTATGTTAGGTGAAGTAGAGTTCATCTAGATTACCTTGACAAATAAACGGATTGTGCGATAAGGATCAGATTTGAGTCGTTCAAGTTAGCAATCGTTTGATTTATCAATGATACCGATTTTTTTTAAAAATCAACTGTTAGTTAACAAAGCTATTTGGTGTATTGACTAGCTCCGCAACCGTGTAATACATTAATGCAGTGGTTCTTAATCTCAGTTCGATCGAACCCAATGGTTTCGGTTACTCAGATGTTCGGCAGAGGTAAAGACACACATCTGACTCGAATTATTTGCGATTGTATTATGTCAGTGCGGACGATAGAACAAACTAGCGGCCGCAGCCGATGACAGGATATATACGACATCGCGACTTGGTAAAAGTGTGCCAGAACCTGTCGCCCCTCCTGGGACATAGTCTGCTGACAAAAGCTTTCCAGACATCTCTGTCCTGTGCTAGTCTCTCCAACTGTCCCCAGGTGTATCCTGTCCTGGGCTAGTCTCTCCAACTGTCCCCAAGTGTATCGAATCTTCATAGTGTTCTTCCAGGTCACGTATCAAGGTCTTCCTTGGTTGGCCTCTTTTCTTTTTACTCAGTGGATTCCAGGTGAGGGCCTGTCGTGTTATGCTGGATACAGGCTTCCTGAGTTTGTGACCAATCGATCTCCATTTTATCTGTAGGATCTCTTCTTCAGCTCATAGTTGATTTGTCCGTTACCATAGTACCTCATTTCTGATGGTTTTAGGCCAGCGTATTCGAAGGATCTTTCTGAGGCACACGTTTATAAATTATTTTATTTTCTTGTTGTTGACAGCTATTCTCCATGTCTCAACCCTGACGAACACCAGAGTGCACTCAAGATATACCAGCAGCTGAAAGTGATCTCCCTATACCAGAGTGTACGCAAGATATACCAGCAGCTAAAAGTGATCTCCCAATAGACTGTAACCCACCTTCAAAAGACGAGATACACAAACCTATGCAGCAACTGAAGTGATCTTCCTATAGACTGTAACCCACCTTCAAAAGACGAGATACACAAACTCATGAAATAGCTGAAAGCGATCTCCCAATAGACTGTAACCCACCTTCAAAAGACGAGATACACAAACCTATGCAGCACCTGAAAGCGATCTCCCTATAAACTGTAACCCACCTTCAACAGACGAGATACACAAAAGAGGAGATACACAAACCTATGCAGCAACTAAAATGATCTTCCTGTAGACTGTAACCCACCTTCAAAAGACGAGATACACAAACCTATGCAGCAACTGAAGTGATCTTCCTATAGACTGTAACCCACCTTCAAAAGACAAGATACATAAAGCAATGCACAGGCTGAAAGTTATCTCCCAATAGACTGTAACCCACCTTCAACAGACGAGGTACATTAAGCTATGCAGCAACTGAAGTGATCTTCCTATAGACTGTAACCCACCTTCAAAAGACGAGATACACAAACCCATGCAGCAACTGAACCCTCACCTTAACCAAGTCGTATATCGCCACCCCTGCGTCCTCGTTCCCCGCTGGTTGCTCAAAGTACGTTTCGTCTTGTTTGGAAAACCCAGCGATTGTCTGTTTTCTTTCATTCTGAGCAACAACAAAAAAATGTTTTACCACATCTCTATAACAGAGTTTCTTCCAGGCATCTCATCGGGGGGGGGGGGGGGACAAAGTTCCCCCCCCCTCCTGAAAAAATTCTACCGCCCCCCCCCCCCCCCCGAACGAAATGAAATTTATATAATTTATATAGAAAATATATACTTTTAACAGTGTCCGCCCCCCCTCCCCGAAGAAAGTCTACCGCCCCCCCCCCCTCCCGAAAAAATTCTACCGCCCCCCCACCCCCCGAACGAAATGAAATTTATATAATTTATATAGAAAATATATACTTTTAACAGTGTCCGCCCCCCCCCCCTCTCCCCAAAGAAAGTCTACCGCCCCCCCCCCCCCCAAAAAAAAAATTTCAAGTGCCCCCCGGGGAAAAAAGTCTGGAAGAAACACTACTCTATATACGTCAACATTCAATTCTTTACAATTGTCTATGCAATCTGCACAAATTTTCATTCCATCTTTGAGTACTTAGCGAAGTAATGTACACTAAACTCGATGTATAATTTCTCCTTACTTACATTAATATCAAACCAATGACGTCAGAATCTCGGGCGTCAGTCGGGACTCTCTCTGAGAACGTTACCCCAACCTCCGCCCCCCTCAACAATATAGCATTTTCGGTTTGGTGTCACCCCAATTCTTACTACTTTATCAATTTTTTACTTTTAACTGACTAGAACATTGTTTTGGTAGTCTATTGTAAGATTTTGTATTTGATGTCCACCCGAATGTCAATGTTTTGACGTAGGACATTGTATAAATCTGTGCACTGAAAATCACACAACATTCATGCGGTTAATTAACTGACTAAAACTCTCTAATTAAATCCTAGTATCAAATTGATAATTAATCTCGTTTTAAACCTCGTCATCTAATTAACCTCATAATTTTAATCTCGTAACTAAACCTTTTAAAAATACTAAAGACGGTTTATTTTTTTAAACTCACTATGGGAACTAAAGTTTCTTCCCGGCATCTCTTCGTTGCGGCTGAGCCCCCCCCCCCCCCCAAAGAAACTCTAATGCCCTTCCCCTCCCCCCCCCCAACAAAAAGGAATTTATAATGATAATATATACTTTTAACAGTGTACGCCCCCCCCCCCCCCGGAAATTTTAGTCTGCCCCCCCCCTAAAATTTCTAGAGCCCCCCCCTTCTCCCCGGAGAAAAAACTGTCTGGCAGAAACACTGAAGAGGACACATTGATTTACATAATAAAAAACAATCATCGAAAAAAAAATCACGAATCACTCTCTGGGACTATTTAAAAACAGCTTGGCTACCTTCCTTGGGGATAAGTTTTCAAATTTCGTCTGTTCGCTGTTGATAATTTTCTCAATGATCCACAAGAGAAGACAGTTGAAGAAACTGTTTAAAACCATGTACGCCGTCCCTTCCATGAATTTGGTGTTGTAGGTCGATGTTCGGTGACCTTTATCCCAGCTGTTCACTGCAGAAAATTAGAACCTACATACAAACATATACACACATATGTTCGTATATATACACACACACTATATATATATATATATATATATATATATATATATATATATATATATGTGTATATATATATATATATATATATATATATATATATATATATATATATATATATATATATATATATATATACATATATATTTATATATATATAGGCCTATATATATATATATACACACACACACATATATATGGATATAAATTATATATATATATATATATATATATATATATATATATATATATATATATATATATATATATATATATATATATATGATTCCATGAAGAGTGATCTCATGACAAAAGATCTGAGACAAATATCTCAAGGATAAATAATGATTTTACGGACAAAATATTTCAGAGACAGATAATATCTGGACAAAATCTATCAGGACAACAGATATCAAAGACATATCTCAGAACACAATATATCAATGCAAAATGCCAATAGTATCTCTGCAATATTTTTTTTAAACTAGAAAAATGCATAGTTTTGGCATATTACTCTAAATATTTTAGTAACATTTTAAAATTGTTATTAGTAGTATCAAATATACATGTCCTTCGGTTACTTTCATGGCTCTGACTAATGTAAAACGTGAGAAGATACTTACTTGCATATTCTTTGCCGTAGAGACTGAGAGTGCAGAGGTTTATACCGAAAGAGAACATGGTCGGTCCCAGGATGTAGAAGAGGTAGCTGTTGTTGCCAACTACATACAGGCTGGCCATGTAGTTGAGAATACCATAAGAGAAAATGGTGTAGACAGCAGTGAATCTAGCTGTAAGCAAACGTAAAGCGTGTACATAACTGTAAGCGAAAGTGTGTAAATAGCCGTGAAACCAGCTGTAAGAAAACGATAAGGGTGTACATAGCCGTAAATCTAGTTGTAAGCAAAACTAGTGTGTACATATCTGAAAGCAAAAGTGTGTACAAAGCAGAGAATCCAGCTGTAAGAAAACGATAAGTGTGTACATAGCCGTAAATCTAGTTTTAAGCAAAACGAGTGTAAGTACATAGCTGAAAGCAAAAGTGTGTACATAGCCGTAAATGAAGTTGTAAGCAAAACTAGTGTGTACATAGCTGAAAGCAAAAGTGTGTACATAGCCGTGAATCTAACTGTAACTAAATGTAAATTGCATTGAATTGTAAGCAAATGTGTGTAAATATTTGTGCTTCTAGCTGTAAGCAAAAGTGTTTAATTAACCGTGCATTTAGCTTTAAAGAAAATTGTGTAAATAGCAGTAAATCTAGCTCTAATCTTCATTAAAATACCCCTATCATTACCGTCATTTAGGAGACTGGACAACACAAAGGCGAAGGTCACGTTGTCAATGGCCATGACGACCAGCCAGATAAAGAGGAACATCTGGTTCATATTGAAGAGTGGACCATGGCCAAAGTTCACCGTCCAGACGAAGGATGCAATGAGGGAAATGATCGTACCTACGAGAAGTCGAGCTAAAAACCAGGAGGTCCAGTACACGAATTGACCAACTCCAAGAATCTTTAAAGTTTCCTGCAAACATAGATTAATTGACGCTTTAATGTAAATGTTAACTATTTTAGAAATATTACTTGGTGAAGATTATTATGTCTGCATGATAGTTCTATAGAAAGCAACCTTTGCAAAATGAACCAAACGTAAGAGCCCCGAGAACCCGACCTCATTGCATGACGTCAAAATAAGAGCCCAATGACCTCTTCTAAATGTCAAAATTAGAGTTTTGAAGAACTAACAAAAGTAAATGACGTCAAAATAAGAGCCAAGTGACCTCTTCTAAATGTCAAAATTAGAGTTTTGAAGAACTAACAAAAGTAAATGACCTCAAAATAAGAGCCCAGTGACCTCTTCTAAATGTCAAAATTAGAGTTTTGAAGAACTAACAAAAGTAAATGACCTCAAAATAAGAGCCCAGTGACCTCTTCTAAATGTCGTCAAAATTAGAGTTTTGAAGAACTAACAAAAGTAAATGACGTCAATATAAGAGCCCAGTGACCTCAACTAAATGACGTCAAAATTAGAGTTTTGAAGAACCAACAAAAGTAAAAAATGAAGTCAACATAAGAGCTCTAGAGAACACACCTCAGTAAATGACGTCCAACCTCTCGAAATGACGTCAAAATGATAGCCCTAGAGAACCCACCTCTTGAAATGACATGAGAGTTCTAGAGAATCCCGACCAGAGTTTGTTCCAGGCGTCTCTTCGGGATGGGGGGGCTAAGGCCCCCACCCCCGAAGATTTCAAGCGCCCCCCCCCCCCCCCGAAGAAAAAAGTCTGGAAGAAACACTGATCCCGACTCAGCCAATAACAACTACATGAGAGCCATATCTCTGTGACATTAAGAGCCCCAATCTCAGCACAGAAGGACCAACTTTACCTTGATCCTCGAGACTTTCTCCTCTACAACCAACAATGTGGTGAAGAGAGTGAGCCAAATGTAGATGCAGGGCATGTATTTGCTCATCATCTCCAGGGAATCCAACTTCATGTGGTGCCCTGTCTCCTGCTGAGGCATCAGCTGGGTGCTGATGGCGATGTTGGGGTTGAAGGTCAATGTCGGGTTCTGTCTCTTCCAGTAGGTCAGGAACATCTGGGTCACGGTCAGTTGGGCTGTGGTCAGACTGGTGTTTGTGTAATCTGTAGAACACAAGGGTGGAATTAGTGTTGACCAAACTGTAAGTTGACCACTGGTCTGGCTGGTGTTTATGTAATCTGTAGAACACAAGGGTGGAATTAATGTTGACCAAACTGTAAGTTGACCACTGGTCAGGCTGGTGTTTGTGTAATCTGTAGAGCACAAGGGTGGAATTAATGTTGACCAAACTGTAAGTTGACCACTGGTCTGGCTGGTGTTTATGTAATCTGTAGAACACAGGGTTGGGTGTTAAAGTTGACCACTGGTCAGGTGGTGTTTGTGTAATCTGTAGAACACAGGGGTGGGATTAATGTTGACCAAACTGTAAGTTGACCACTGGTCAGGCTGGTGTTTGTGTAATCTGTAGAACACATGGGTGGGAGTTAAAGTTGACCAAAGTGTAAGTTGACCGCTGGTCAGGCTGGTGTTTGTGTAATCTGTAGAACACATGGTTGGGAGTTAAAGTTGACCACTGGTCAGGTGGTGTTTGTGTAATCTGTAGAACACATGGGTGGAATTAATGTTGACTAAACTGTAAGTTGACCACTGGTCAGTCTGGTGTTTGTGTAATCTGGAAAATAGAAGGCTGGGGGTTAAAGTTGACCAAATTGTAAGTTCAGACTTGTGTTTGTGTAATCTGTAGAACACAAGAATGGGAGTTAGAGTTGACCAAAGTGTAAATTGACCACTGGTCAGACTGGTGTTTGTGTAATTTATTCAATAGACTGTTGTTTGTGTAAGTTGTACATTACAAGGGTATGAGTTAAAGTTGATTGAAATAGGGTTGACCTGCAGTAAGGTTGCTGTTTGTGTAATCTTTGCAATACAAGGATGGTAATCTTTGTTCAAAAGATTAACTGTTCAATAGATACAACAAACACCTAAAACGATGTAGGTTAGCACACATTTAAAAAACATGCAACGTACAATATCTAAATATGTTCTTCTACTAGATACTACACCTGTCTGCGGAAATCGCCGTCGGAACATACCGTAATTATCTCCGGAAACCTGTGTCGTTGGCACGGCATCATTGACGACCACTCGGAACTTGAGTTGCCGTGGGACAGCGTCAACTGCCCCCTGGGTCGGGTCAAATATGACAGCGTGAAACTCAGAGCTCCTCTTCGAGGAGGAAGCTTCTCCAAAGCCCAGCTGCTCTTTGAAGTCGTGGAGGTGTGAGATGCCAAGTAGATGCTGGGGGTCTGATCAGATAAAAATACATTACATGCAGTGTTTCTTCCGGACTTTTTTCTCCGGGGGGAGGGGGGGGGGGTGAAATTTCCGGGGATGGGGGGGGGGGGCGGTCTACTTTTTTCGGGGGGGCGGACACTAGTAAAAGTTTACGTTATCCTCTTCACCAGATCATTCAGGGATAAATAAAGGATAAGTGAGGATTAGATTTAGCGTTAGGATAGGGTTAGGATGAGGGTTAATGTAAGGTATAATATGTATACGAAAATGGGAGGGGGTAATTGGAAAGAAGGGGATGGAGTGGTCTAGCGGTAGAGAGCTGAACTGCTAACCCGTATGTCTCGAGTTCGAATCCGGGTTCAAATCAGTAGACCGTCCGTGAGTCCACCCAACTCTGATGGGTACCTAACTCACGTTAGGGAAAGTAAAGGCGGCTGGTATAGTGCTGACCACACTATCTCTTCATATGCCGAGGTCACAGAAACAAGTGAAATTCACTTGCCCTTTAGACCGTCAGGTTTGAATGGGAAACTTTTTCTTTTTTTAATTAGAAAGAAGGAGGTCATGGATCCGCATTTAATGCCGGTGGGAATACAACAGAGAAGGTATAGTCAGGTTAGTGTCACCTGTCTATCGTTTATCTATTCTTTAATGTCGTCACACGCAAAAAAAACTGTCCACAAAACATTACAAAGCGAAGTTTTATTAGTTTAAAAAAACAGATTAGAATGATCTTTTAGTAAATAGACTTTCCGAAGAGCCTGGTATGTCGGACTCCCAAATCCCCTACATTATAGCGTGGGGGAGGTGAGGTGCAAGACTGCCGGGAACCAAAAGGGATCTGCTCTCGACCCTAACCAGATATTTTGACTTTAAGCTGCGGCCTTCACGTGGCTTCGGAAGAGTGCCATTAGTCGGACCAAGCTCATGACCCCCCCTAGTGGGTGCGGATTGGCTAGTGGTAGCCAACAGCAGCTAGAGGTTTGTGATCTGGCCGAATGCCCCCCACGATCAAGCTGGGTACCAGGCGGTAGGACGACGTCCTGCGTCTGGTGGGTGGGGAAGGAAAGCCCGGTGAGAACCGACGGAGAAGCGACCGATGTGTAGCGATCTAATCGACACTAAACGACTTGCTACTACCACCATGTGTCGGAGTCTGCTACACTGAGGCCTGCCTGTTTAATGGAAGTCAACCTTCTGAGCCGGTTTCCGTATAGAGAGAGAGAGAGAGAGAGAGAGAGAGAGAGAGAGAGAGAGAGAGAATAGACTATTCTACCTGTATGCCAGGCGTTTACCCCTTTTCCTATTTTAAAAAATAATTTTTTAGACTTGGCAGGGTTAATCAGTTGAAATAAAGTGAACTTTGCTTTTTAGTTTTAGTAATCACAATAACCTTTAAAAGGATGATTTTAAAGGATGATTTGTGATAAAGAATGTTTTTATTGGGGTTTTCATAGATTAAGTTGCGGAGCATACATTTAAAACAAACAACTAAAAATCCACAATTTTTTTGGTCATTGCTTCATACGTACGTGTTTGTCGGTCGTTCCCTTCTTGCAAGAGAGTTCTAAAGCCAGCTGTATCAGGCATGAAGGCTATGGTATTCTTCCGGGCTAGTGGGTTGAGTACATTGCGTCTGGCAGAGAACTCAACATCAGGGGTGGAGATATTGAACATGACGAACAGCGAGATGGTAAAAATTGAGACCGCTGGTGGGAAATATAGAGTATCAGATGGTTGGTGGGAAATATAGAGTATTAGATGGTTGGTGGGAAATATAGGGTATTAAATGGTTTTTGGGAAATATGGTAGTTTTAGTTGGTGGGAAATATAGTGTATTAGATAGCTGGTGGGAAATATAGTGTATCAGATGGTTGGTTAGAAATATACGGTATTAAATGGTTGGTGGGAAATACAGGGTATTTAATGGTTGGTGGGAAATACATGGTTGGAAATATAGGGTATCAGATCGTTGGTAAAAAATATAGAGTATTAAATGGTTGGTGGGAAATATTGTAGTTTAGTTGGTGGGAAATATAGGGTATTTGTGATGACGCTAGTTTAGGTCTATTTTCATTACCCCCACTCACACATGTGAGTGTTGTTGTTTATTGACCCTAACAGTATTAGATAGCTGGTGGGAAATATAGGGTGTTAGATGGTTGGTGGGAAATATAGGGTGTTAGGTGGTTTCTGGGAAATAGAGGGTGTTAGATGGTTGGTGGGAAATATAGGGTGTTAGATGGTTGGTGGGAAATATAGGGTGTTAGATGGTTGTTGGGAAATATAGGGTGTTAGATGGTTGGTGGGAAATATAGGGTGTTAGATGGTTGGTGGGAAATATAGGGTGTTAGGTGGTTGGTGGGAAATATAGGGTGTTAGGTGGTTGGTGGGAAATATAGGGTGTTAGATGGTTGGTGGGAAATATAGGGTGTTAGATGGTTGGTGGGAAATATAGAGTGTTAGATGGTTGGTGGGAAATATAGGGTGTTAGATGGTTGTTGGGAAATATAGGGTGTTAGATGGTTGGTGGGAAATATAGCGTGTTAGATGGTTGGTGGGAAATATAGGGTGTTAGATGGTTGGTGGGAAATATAGGGTGTTAGATGGTTGGTGGGAAATATAGGGTGTTTGATGGTTGGTGGGAAATATAGGGTGTTAGATGGTTGGTGGGAAATATAGGGTGTTAGATGGTTGGTGGGAAATATAGGGTGTTAGATGGTTGGTGGGAAATATATATATGTATATATATATATATATATATATATATATATATATATATATATATATATATATATATATATATATATATATATATATATATATATATATATATGATGTTGATGGGAAATATGGTACATAATGTAGTTGGTGGGAAATGTGGTAGGTGATGTAGTTGGTAGCAAACAATATGGTAGATGATGTAGCTGGTTCGAAATACGGTAGATGATGTAGTTGATATGAAATACGGTTGATGATGTAGTTGATATGAAATATGGTAGATGATGTAGCTGGTGGAAAATACGGTAGATGATGTAGTTGATATGAAATATGGTAGATGATGTAGTTGATATGAAATATGGTAGATGATGTAGATGGTGGGAAATACGGTAGATGATGTAGTTGATATGAAATACGGTAGATGATGTAGATGGTGGGAAATACTGTAGATGATGTAGATGGTGGTATTTAGCTTGTAGGAAATTAAACAAATGAGGTCGCTGGCACGAAAAACATTGTATTAGACAGCCGCGGTAAAGCCAAATGTTTAAGAAAACTGATGTGAAATGTGGTATATGAGATAGTTGTTGAGAAATACGATTTATGAGAAGGCTGGTTGGGAATACAATATATGAAATATCTGGCATTACACAATCTTAGATTACTGGTGGGAAATACAAAAACGTTGCTATCTAGTAGGCAAAGACAATGTAATTATCTTTAGTCAAAGCAGAAGATGGGGGTTGAAACCATTGTTTTCGTGAAATACACGTTTACTCTTGTAATGCCCCTAGAGGCGTAGCGACCCTTCCCGACACCCGGGGACAAACTTTCCATTTGGCGCAATTTCGATTTCCACCCCCCCCCCCCCCCCTCAAACTTTCCATTAGCACCCTCCCCCATATATTTTTTATATTTATAAAGCAAACATGCAGCTAAAATAATATTTTAATTTCCTTTTCCAACTCATTTTGGCGCCCCCTTAGGTCGGCGCCCGGGGAAATATGTACCCCCTGCACCCTTTCGATACGCCTCTGAATGCCCCATATTAGAATTGGTATATGTATTGTCTGCAAACAGTAGTTTACAACTCAGCTGACTCACCGATTTCTAGCAGAATCAAACAGTAGTTTATAACTCAGCTGACTCACCGATTTCTAGAGGATCAAACAGTAGTTTATAACTCAGCTGACTCACCGATTTCTAGCAGAATCAAACAGTTGTTTATAACTCAGCTGACTCACCGATTTCTAGCAGAATCAAACAGTAGTTTATAACTCAGCTGACTCACCGATTTCTAGCAGAATCAAACAGTTGTTTATAACTCAGCTGACTCACCGATTTCTAGCAGAATCAAACAGTAGTTTATAACTCAGCTGACTCACCGATTTCTAGCAGAATCAAACAGTAGTTTATAACTCAGCTGACTCACCGATTTCTAGCAGAATCAAACAGTAGTTTATAACTCAGCTGACTCACCGATTTCTAGCAGAATCAAACAGTAGTTTATAACTCAGCTGACTCACCGATTTCTAGAGGATCAAACAGTAGTTTATAACTCAGCTGACTCACCGATTTCTAGCAGAATCAAACAGTTGTTTATAACTCAGCTGACTCACCGATTTCTAGCAGAATCAAACAGTAGTTTATAACTCAGCTGACTCACCGATTTCTAGCAGAATCAAACAGTTGTTTATAACTCAGCTGACTCACCGATTTCTAGCAGAATCAAACAGTAGTTTATAACTCAGCTGACTCACCGATTTCTAGCAGAATCAAACAGTAGTTTATAACTCAGCTGACTCACCGATTTCTAGCAGAATCACACAGTAGTTTATAACTCAGCTGACTCACCGATTTCTAGCAGAATCAAACAGTAGTTTATAACTCAGCTGACTCACCGATTTCTAGCAGAATCAAACAGTAGTTTATAACTCAGCTGACTCACCGATTTCTAGCAGAATCAAACAGTAGTTTATAACTCAGCTGACTCACCGATTTCTAGCAGAATCAAACAGTTGTTTATAACTCAGCTGACTCACCGATTTCTAGCAGAATCAAACAGTTGTTTATAACTCAGCTGACTCACCGATTTCTAGCAGAATCAAACAGTAGTTTATAACTCAGCTGACTCACCGATTTCTAGCAGAATCAAACAGTTGTTTATAACTCAGCTGACTCACCGATTTCTAGCAGAATCAAACAGTAGTTTATAACTCAGCTGACTCACCGATTTCTAGCAGAATCAAACAGTAGTTTATAACTCAGCTGACTCACCGATTTCTAGCAGAATCAAACAGTTGTTTATAACTCAGCTGACTCACCGATTTCTAGAGGATCAAACAGTTGTTTATAACTCAGCTGACTCACCGATTTCTAGCAGAATCAAACAGTAGTTTATAACTCAGCTGACTCACCGATTTCTAGCAGAATCAAACAGTAGTTTATAACTCAGCTGACTCACCGATTTCTAGCAGAATCATGGCCTTTGACCTCTGAATAAGCTTGGCATTTTTGTACATCAGGGCACTGAACTGTGACCTCAGCTCGACGGCGTCGGGCATGATGGGTGCGTGACGTCAGCTTCCGGTTTCTTTAGTAGTCTGAGGGCAGTACTTGGATTTATTTCGGAGACAAAATTGTAGGGGTAATGGGTAAAACAGTTGGTATCGATAACCATAGTTCTCTATAAGGCTAATCTCAATTTCAGCTTACTTTAAAATAGGACTTTCATTAGCATCATCCACCAATATATATATATATATATATATATATATATATATATATATATATATATATATATATATATATATAACCAGCATCATATATAAACAATTATACAACAATATTTACTTGCCCTCATCCACCATCCTACTGATATAGCCCACATACTGTCAAATGTTATTCATATACTTTTATCAACAAAAATACATCCGGACTCTACCCAGGTAAAAACAAATTATTCATGTGTACACTTTACGCTGAACTGATTCCGATGAATGCGTGAGTATAATCTCAATTATACAAAACTGTGTTTGGATATATTTAGTAAAGTGGAGTTTATGTTTGTTTCATAAATTAACATATGGAATCTATTAAAATCTAGACATTTCTTACCTTGTACCTTAAACTTAAACAGAAACATATCTACACTGTTTATTCAACTAGGTGTCATCACTATACTATTTTAGTCTCATTCTTGGCATATCCATAGAAACAATATGGCAAGCTTTAAACTTCACATTGTGTGCAGCTTTTGTCTAGTATCTTTTGTATCAGTCAATACACTGGGAATTACATGGTTTTCTAACACTTCACAAATACATTCTGAGCTATATCAATTTTGGTAATCATATTGACGTAGTTTTTCTTCTTTTTGTTTAGATACAAAACAGAAGTTACTTCCGTTCCAGAGTGGTTTACATAAACGAGAAAAGATAAATTGGGAATACCCGATCTTGGAGCGCAATATTCAGCATATTACTTAATCATCGTTACTCCCTGTGGAGTATAGGGTAGCAACGAATCTCCGCCATTCCACTCTGTCTTGGGCGAGCCACTTCAGTTCATGCCAGGTCTTGCCAGTAGCCTTGGCTTCTTCTTTTATCTCTCTCCTCTATGTACCCAGTGGTCTTCCTCTATTTCGTTTTCCAGGTAAACTCCATTTTAGCGCTATGTTCGGTAGTCTTCATGACATGACTCAGTCATATGTATTCGGCATAGTATGGTACGTTTATTCCTAGAGCCGATTATTTAACACAACTAAGTAGTTAGTGTCAACATGTCAAATATATGACCCGTTGACTCTATCTCCAGCCTGTTTTTCTTTCTGAATGTGCTTCCACAGCCTTAGTCAACCCTAGTAAAACCTGAAAGGCAACTTTTTGTTTTGGAAAAATCTCTCTTAGATGGGTTGATGTCGTCCCCCCCCCCCCCCCAAACGAAATTGAATTTAGATAGAACATATATACTCTTAACAGTGTCCGACCCCCCCCCCCTGAAATTTTACTCTGCCCCCCTCCCCTTCACCCCCCCCCCCCACCCCCCGAAAATTTCAAGTCTGGAAGAAACACTGACAACAATTGTCACCATGCTATCTTGACTGGACCGTAAACATTTCGACAAACTGTGTAAAATCTTCTAAAATTGATTATTTTATTGAAATCTAAATTATTTCCTCTATGTCAAACAAACTTTTTTTTAAAAATCATATTTATTTTTCTACTTTTATTTGTGCTGGGTTGTAGCCTTGCTAAAATATATTGTTTCGTCCAACCTTGACTATAGTTTAACAATGGTCTAAACTATTACCTATAGTTAGAGTATCGTTTCCCTCAATTTATATGTGTGCGTGTCTGTGTGATAGAGAGCGGCTACCACACAAAGAGACAGAGAAATGGCCAGTATCTAATAACAGAGATCTCATATACACTAGAAACCTGCTCGTTAAAAGATTTAACAAAACATTGTACTTTTGCCTGGTAAGCTGTCCAGCTAGGAACTTATTGAAGCTTCCATTTTGATATTAAACAATTAATTAAATTACAGAATAAAAACGGTTTTTACAAGCTTTTATTTAACTTGCTTCCTCTGTCTGTCTGTTGACGGTCTGTCTGTCTATCTGTCTATAAAGAATATAATTTATTTCCTACTTTTTAGGACATTATAACATAAAAGCTTTCTATTGAAACGTTTTCTGTGAATTTTTATCATCATTAGACCGTTCGTGCCTTAGAAACGCGGGGCAGACAAAGCAGAGTTTTCCTGTTTTAATAAATAATAATCATTAAAAAAGTTTTAAAAAACCCACGTTTTCTGATTGAACTAAAAAGTAGAAAATAAATGCTATAGGCCCTACATCACAATAATGCAAGCGATCACTCTACTATAAGCGATGAAAAACGTGGGGCGCCGAAGTAAAAGTTATATTACTATTGATTAGATAATACTATTGACTTTTATTAGGGAGCTTGTAGAGAGTCAACAGTATTAGAAACTGTAAGAAAATCACGGCGCCCCACGTTTTTGCTCGCTTATAGTAGAGTGATCGCTTGCATTATTGTGATGTAGGGCCTATAGCATTTATTTTCTACTTTTTAGTTCAATCAGAAAACGTGGGTTTTTTAAAACTTTTTTAATGATTATTATTTTCTACTTTTTAGTCTTTGTCTGTTTGTTTGCATTAAAATCTTGCTATCGATTTTATCTTTTCACTTTTTTTGGGTAAACGAAGACAACTCGTAAAAAGACAACTCGTAAAAAGACAACTCGTAAAAAGACAACTCGTAAAAAGACAACTCGTAAAAAGACAACTCGTAAAAAACACGTTGTTTGAATACGTTACTGACTAGAACACATAGATTTGAACCCGTGTCGAGTGGGATAGCAATCGTGTGCCCAACCACTCGACCATATCGTCTCCCCCAAACTGGCCTACCTCCTGTAAGTTTAAACTCGGTTCAAGCTAAATTCTCTGCCCCTAAGCCTGTGGCGACATGTGATCGTTCGCTTCACTGCGCGCGAGGTACGCGTCGCTGGTTTTTTTTGTAATGGCTAGCAGAGGAGAATTATATATATAGATTATATAGCGGTCTAAAATGCTCAATAAAATGTTTCCATTGATCAATTTAGTAATAATAACAATTGAATATTCAATGGTCATCCAAAAGAAAGCTTCCCTGAAAATTTCAGCGCGCTAGCTAACTGGGAAGTGCCAGAAATTTCGATCGCAAGATTGGATTGGAAAGACAAACAAATAAATAAATAAACACACAGAGAAAGCAAGTTAAAGAAAACGTGGGAAAATCGGCATGCAAGGGGATAGTGTAGTCAGAAATATGCCCAGCCGCCTTTCTTTTCCTAACGTGAGTCAGGTACCAATTAGAGTTGAGTGGACTCTGGGACGTCCTTCAGACTTGAGCGTGGGATCCGAACTCGAGACTTACGGCATAGAAGTCGTAAACTCTACAATCCGACCACATCAACAGCCAAGTTAACACGGTGAAATAAAGTATAATTCTAAGGATTAGCATTTGTAAGCGACTTACACCATTGTATTTAAGGTAATATAAATGATTTTAATGAGCTTATAATTTTAAAAGATGGATGTGATGTGTGTATACTCAGAGGCGTAGCGGGGGGGGGCGGGGGTGTGGACCGCACCGGGTGACAACATTAAGGGGGGGGGGGGGGATGACACCAACGCAAAAAATAGTAAAATATATAGAGAAAAATTTGAGGGGGGGGGTTGTGCAAAACGAAATTTTGAGGGGGTAGGTGCATATCGAAAGTTTGACGGGGGGGGGGGTTGCAAATCGAGAATTGAAAGTTTGTCCCCTTGAAGAGTCGCTACTCCTCTGGGGGGGGGGGGGGGGGGGTGACACCATTAAGTGCCGCACCGGGTGACACCCAACCTCGCTACGCCACTGTGTATACCCATTCCTTTGTACGGTCAGCAGATGAAAGTATAGCTACACATTTACGTAACTGATACATTATCAGGCTGTTTTCTTTGATACTATACTTCAAAAACTACAGCCGTGTTAGTTATATAGAAAATGTGTTGTACATTCGTTATTCGATACTTGTTAGGTGTTATCACTTTACATAGGTCATCGTTAACTGTAACTTTAGCTTTGACGCGTGACCCAAGAAGCGGATTGAGTTCAGCTAAATGGTTATATATACCCAGGTATTACTTAGTCAATTTACTCACCTCGACGCTAAAACATTTGTTTCAGAATAATTTACAAAAGGTAATTTAAAAATATTATTTTTTTAATGCAGACTATGCAAATATATAGCCTTGAGTAACTAATTTTATGATAATCTTTAACTGATGTACTAGCGGTGTTTATAATTTATATATTTTTATTAATGTTTAAGTTGGCTTGTTCTACTTACTCAAAGCAGTTACATGTACTAGGTATTTTTATTTCATTTTACATATTAACAGGCCGTATTAAGTTTAGTATATGTAATGATACACCATTAAAGTGCATGCTTAATTGCAGTGTTTCTTCCAGATTTTTTTCTCGGGGGGGGGGGGGGCACTTGAAATCTTCGGGGGGGCGGTAAACTTTCTTCGGGGGGGGGGGGGGCGGACACTGTTAAAAGTATATATTTTCTATATAAATGATATAAATTTCATTTCGTTCGGGGGGGGGGGGGGGGGGCGGTAAAAATTTTTCGCCCCCCCCCGAAGAGATGCCTGGAAGAAACTCTGCTTAATTGTAACTCACATTATAATTGCTTGATGGAATATTCAGTTGCCGTGTTGAGAGTTTGTAAGATACTCCAGGCTACAGTAATTTTTAGCGCAATTTCCATTCTGGAGAATTGCGTTTATTAACTCGTCATTTCTGGGAATGGATGGATGAATGAATGGATGAATGAATGTATGGATGTATGAATGTGTGTCCGCAGCTTTAAGTCGTATCTCCTCCTCAACAAAGCAATATCGATGACTAGTTCCAAAAGCAATTATGTTAAGCAAGTTACGAGGATGAGCATAGGTCATAAAAATTCCGGGTTTCTTTCATGTATTTCCCGGAAAAGCCAAAAAACCTCGAAAAAATAAAATGCAGTTTTTGGCCCCTATCTCGGCAACCAGACCACTTAGCGACTTGAAAAATGTACCAATCGATTCATGCCATAATTTAGAACAATATTGCCGAAGAAAGTTTTCAAAAATATCCTTTCGTTCGGTCACAAACATTTTTTTTAATTAATTAAAATTTGAACCGATTTAGTAGGCATTTTTTTCCAACCACACCACACGCGTCATCACGTTCAATAGCTGCGCCATCACGTTCAATGGCTGCGTCATCACGTTCAGTAGCTAGGCGCGCAATGGTTTTAGTCATGTAACTCTATTGTAAATAAAACATGTAAAATACTGAATTTTTTTTTAATAAAAAACGTTTTAATAACTAACCAATGGTTTTACTAACCCTGCTCTTGATTTACGCTACGACAGAGCTATTTTTAGATAACATAAGGAAATTGCGCTTAAATTGTCACAAGACTTTTTAATTACCTTGTTTATGAGTAGTTGGCGTAAATTTGAAGTGGCTTAGCTGTCCGCGAATTATCTTTTGAACAAAACACATTTTTGGTCAAAGCTAAACTGCGATAGATGAACTTATTTCATATTCGTGATAATTCACGAAGTAATCTTTTCTTAAACAAATAAGTTAGTATAACAAAGTATATTTTAAGTCCTGAGTGGTTTGAGGGCTTATGCTATAGAGTAATTTTCTTTCCAAATTGATTGTGGGCCTATCAATGCACCAAGCCTCTTATACGTTCCCAAACTCTGTCCAGGTACTTATTAGAACTGGGTGAACTAAGGTGCGTACTACAACACGTAGACGTATACAAAATACAAACTCACACATTTTGATATAGCAACGTGGTTACTTGCAAAGAAAACTATGGACTGGAAACCACAGGGAAAAGGAAAGTAGGTTGGCCAAGGAGATCATGGAGAAGAAATGTAGAGGAAGTGGCCAAGACCGCTAGGATCACGTGGGCACAGATAAATGGAACAGCCCAAAGCCGAGTCGGGTGGAGAGGTGTAACTGCAGCCCTTTGTTCCCCAGGGACCACAAAGGAAAAAATTATAAATGATGAACGTGGTTTCTAACCCTCCACCACGCGGTTCCGTAGCGTGTTAGTAAACGAATAAATACAATTGTAAGCAGACTGGTTTGTTTTAGTAAATAGGGTAATGTGGAAAACTCAAAACCTAAAATGAGTACGAACATCAATTGTAACATTCTCTCTCTGCATATCTGACAAACATAAATCATACGACCACTTTCGATTTCAGAGACTATCAGTTACCATGGCAACAAGACTCGGATTCGCTGTACTGGCCCTTCTAGTGCTGGCATCTCTTCCTCAAGATTCCGAGGCGGGGCTGATCAGAACGTGTTTTGACACCCTAGCGACCTGCAACGCGTAAGTTGGTCGACCTAATTATTTCATAATGATCCTTTTAAAAAAAAAATAACTTTTTAGATTACTAATTACAATTAATATTTAAACGCAAAATACAAAAATGAAAATACAAAATTGGTAATATATTTAAAATTAATAAATTAAAAATACAACTAGGTAAACGACATACATAAACAATGTCCCTCAGATGTCATGTCCTACAGACACGATACACTAAGAACTCTTTTAGTGCAAGCACATTTTCTTACTGACACATTACCCTACACACATAATGTCCTACATATATAATATCCTATAGACATATTGTCCTACAGACACAATATCCTAAACACATAGTGTCTTAAAGACTGGATACACTAAGGACACTTCTCGTTCAAACACAATATCCTACAGTCTCACTATCATACACACATGTTCTAGAGATATAATGTCCTATAGACAAAATGTCCTAAAGATATAATGTCCTACAGACACAACATCCTACAGATATGTCCTATAGACACGATACACTAAGGACTCACACAATTTTCTACAGACACAATATCCTACACATAATGTCCTACAGATATAATGTCCTATATAAATATTATCATAATGAGATAATGTCCTACAGACACAATATCCTACACATATAATGCCCTACTTATAAAATGTTCTACAAACACAATATCTTAAAAACAGAATATCTTACAGATGTAATGCATCAAAGATAAAATTCCCTAAAGACTCCTTGTCTTACAGTCACCATATAGGCTACTTAAGACTCGTTTCATTAAAAACAAAACCAATATATTGCATATGCAATGTTCTACAAATATCCATCTTTTCGAACCAAATCCCTCAAACCCGTTCTTTTAAAAATACACCAGTATCTATCAAGGAACTAGTTACACCAAACTAATATCTGTTGTGCCCTGTCCCACAGGTTGATCAATTCAGTACCTAGCTTACCTGGCCTGTCCAGCTTACCAGCATTACCCGGCGTACCTGTGTCTCTGAGCGCCTGCCAGAACTTCTGTGCTCTAAAAGGAGCAACAGGCGGCATCTGTACTGCCAACGACTGCTCCCTCACTCTTGGTCTGTTGACGGGAGCTTCATGCACGTGCAACTAAACATGAAGGCGGACACCATCGATGAAGATAGACGATAAGGGGAAATAAACTACTACATAGCAGTTTAAAAAGTACATTAAATTTGTCTCAAATTAATAATTCAGAAAAAAAAACTATAATCAAGAAACAAAAGTAGATTAAATAATGAAATAAACGTTAACAGTGTTTGTCGATTGTTACTTCATTATTGTATCGTGTAACCTAATGTATAAAAGCCATGTGCGCACTTCTCTCTTTCTCACTCTCTCACTCTCTTTCTCTCTCTGTCCCAGAGTTTCTTCTAGGCATCTCTTCTTTCCCCGAAGAAAGTCTACCGCCCACCCCCCTGAACGAGATGGATTTTATATGGTAAACATACACTTTTACTAGTGTCCGCAACCCGAAAAATGTTGACCGCCCCCCCCTACCCCACCCCCCCCCCCCCCCGAAAATTTCAAGTGCCCTTCCGGAGAAAAAAGTCTGGAAGAAACACTGCTCTGTCCGCACATATTTTCCAAGGCTTTGAGATCAGTATCTTCAGCGATATATGGAGAAATATGATGATACAGATTTTTTTTAGTATAATATATTGGATTTATTAAATTTCTAAACAAATTGTTTTTAAAGAAGGAAAGTAAAAATAAAGGCATATTTGAATGTAAAAACACATTTTTTAAATTATGCAACCTGAAAAGTGTTTATGGTTGTGACAAAAAATGCATAATACAATGACGTCAAATCACATTTAAATTACGAAAAGTACTAAAACTAATGGCGACAACATCAAGTTTTAGATTACGATGAAATTAACTATTTTTTATTCACATTTTATTTCGATCTATAGATCGACTTATAGTTAATAAAGTGACCCACGTTTACTTTGTAGCTATTTAAATAGTAAAGTGTCATTAATTTTCTACTTTGTAGTGCATTATTACATAAAAGCTTGTGATTTTAGTACTTAACTTTTTTAAAATTTTACAATACAGTTGCTTGACTAAAAGTTATTGCGCACATAATGAACATGATAATGCGCGTATAATTGTGCGGAATAGTTGGATAAGTCTGCCTACTAAAAATGTCAATACTTTCATAAAAAATAATTAGGCATGCAATTAAATAAAATGTATAGTCAGATTGCATTGTCTTCATGTTCTGACCCACGTGTTAACTTTTAAACCAATCTGTCAGTTAGAAGAGCCAGAAATTTCGCTCGAGCGTTTCGATCTATGACGGCAGACTGAGACAAACTGACGACAGAGAAAGCAAGTTAAATAAAATATTGTAAAAAATATACAGGCACATAATTTACGTGACAGGGGTACCCATGGCTAGTTGACAGTTGGAAAGTTTCAAAAAAATAAAATGATTCGGCCTAATTTGTAAAATGAAATTGTATATACACATTTGATTTTAACTAATTTGCTTTTGTGCGTTTGCATTTGCGTGTGTATATGCTTGTGCGTGTGTTTATGTGTGTATTTGTAAGCAAATGTGTAAACACGATCGTTTGAGTACAATTTCAGTTACTTTTTTTGGAAATTTCATACAAGTATCATATATAAATTGTAATTTTCCAGCGGCTTTTGGGCCATTTCCGGAGGTCAGCGTGGTCGAATCGGTTAAGCTCGTGGTTGTTAAACCGAAAAATCTCGATAAATGGGGACAGCAACTCTTCTAGGAGAGACAACTCCAAGACAACCGCTACCTTGTAGATTGTTCTTGGTTTGCCAAAGGCCACGGAAGCGAATCTAAAAAGAATAAAATACTTTTAAGAAACTTTTTAAAAAAACACGTTTTTCTTGTGGACTAAAAAGTAGAAAATAAATTTTTCTTCCGACCCTATGGGATTTACCAATGACTGCTGGTAGATTTTGTGCTTCCTCGAGCTGTGCAGGTTCTTGTGATGACTGTTCATACATTTGATGACAAAAAACGTGGGTACGTTCACCATCAAATTTCCAAAATTCGTGTGTTGTGTGCTTTTCGCTTTAATCATAAATCTCCCCGACCCACGTTTTTTTGTCATCAAATGTCAGTGAAGGGGCGTAATTTAATTAAGCTAATTTAGGTCTCTAATTGCTAGTTTTTATGATTGCATCTGAAATTGTTAGGCGAAAATAGCCTGCATGCCGAATTTCAGATCTCTAGAGCGATCAGAAGTGGGCTAATTTTCGTTGTCAATTTTAACAACAAACAAATCCATAAACAAACAAACGCGAAGCTGAGTTAAGAAAAACGTGGTAAATAAAAAAAAAAACATACTGAAATCGAAGTTTACGGCCCATATGGCGCATAACAAGTAATACTTAATTGTGTTGGAGGGAATGTCTTCCAACACTAGAATTAAGAACGAAGAAAAAGAAGATCGATTTCCATTCACCAGAAATGGTACTTATTCCACCTTCTGTTTCTTGAAAGTATATTATTTGTAAAGCATTTGAAAGAAATTTTTAATTTTTTAATTATATCTTTACTTTAAAACACTCTCAGTAGCTCATTAGAAACGATACCCCCACCCGCCTTTCCCCAAACCCCTACAGTGCCGCCAGACCCCGCAATGTGGGGGGGGGGGGGTACGCCATTTAGGGGCCCATAGCCGACCTTAATAATTTTTAGTTAAAAAAAAAAAATTTCTTGCATTTTTGACTGGACGGTAAAAGCTTTTGTAAATAACAAACAGATCTACTACAGTAGTGATGTTATACAGTAGCTAACACTTGCTGTTGTGTAAAAAAATATATGCCTGATCTGTAGTGTGAAAGATAGACAAACATTCAAAACACCTCCATGACTTATTTCCCTTTTTTTAAATGGTTAAATAGGGGTGCCCATAAGCTCCTTTTAATATATTTGTACTAAACAAATTAAAAAGCAATTACTTCTCTTAATTATTTTTTTTTCAAAATATATACTAAAGATTGACAGCATAAAAAGGAAATATATTTAAAACAAATAATACACATACAAAAAAAAAAAAACATAAAATAAACATAACGCGAGAAACCATTACACATACAAAGCCTTCACGTTTAACATTCTTTTGACCGGCTAAAAATTAGCGGGTAGGCAGTATTACAGCAAACATATTGAATAAACTAGTTCTAAATCTAAGAAAAAAATTCAAAACAGACTAATGCACTCACACATGACATGTAATTTCTTTAAATTGATTTATTTTTTTCAATACCCGATCAGGCCAGAAATGACTATCCAGTTTTTGTATTCTGCATATATATATAGGGGGCCCAGAAATTTTTTTTTGCGGGGTGGCCCTTTTTTTCTAGTGCCACCACTGCGTAGCATACGCCGCCATCTTGTTGTTTGATTTTCTGTTTATCAGCAATTCATAATTTGTGAATTCAACACTACCCCATCCCGCCCTCCATTCTTCTCTATGACGATAGTTAACAGGCGACAATGAAAAAAAAAACAAGCAGAACATGTTATTATCTCCCATTAGTTTCAAATCGTTTAAAAAATAAATTATCTGCCCCCAATAGCCGTCAATATGATTGTAAGCAGCTCACCAGACTGGTGGGGCTGAGGGTGGTAGTGATATGGTCTGTTGAGCTTACGTCTTGGTGTCTCGCATGGACCCAATGAAGAGAATTATATAGATAGATACGAGAATGTTTAGGGGTGATTACTTCTGTTTTATTTAAAACAAGTACACGTGTTTTAAATTTTAATATAATGAAACCTCCTTTGTCCACGTTATGATTATTCTCGAATTAATTTTTCCTGAGATCTTTTGTCCTTGACATCGTGTGTCCTTTAAAGGGTGTGTCCTTAAACCACTGTAATATTAAGATGAAGCGAATATTTTACAAAATTGTTTTTTAACATTGTTTTAATAACCTTCACATTCTAGGACGTGGCATACCAATTAAAATGCATATGTACCGTTGCGGCATAAATAATGTGTTTTCTCCGTGTTTAAAGTCTGTTGCGCAGGAGGTTAACACGCCAGGCAGGGGCGTAGCGAGGGAGGGGCTGGGGTGCGGACAGCACCTGGTGACGCAATGGCAAAAATTGCAAAATGTACAGAGGAAAAATGCGCCTTTTGCCAGTTCCTTTAATGGTTAATTAAAGTTAAATAGTCTTGTTAGTACAAATCATCGATAATTATTACAAGAGGAGGGGGGTGATACCATGACGTAAACGTGCAAATTATAAAGAAAACAATGCTACATCCACTGTAGTATTAACAGACTATAGATAAACATCGTGATTATAAAGTCTGCAGCGATTAAAGGTTATACACATACGTATATATATATATATATATATATATATATATATATATATATATATATATATATATATATATATATATATATATATATATATATATACATATATATATATATATTAAATGTCTAAAAAGTAAAAGATTGTCCCTCACTCATCACAGAGACAGCTGGGTTTGGCCAGACTCTGCGTCTCTGCCGCTTAACAGTTTTCAAGGTTACACCCAGGTTTGTTTAATGTACATTTTACAAAAAAAATAATTTTCATCTTAACGCTCTGAAATATTATCGGATCTTATTGATTTTATTTAGCCGCCTCCTAGCAATATAAATTGAATAAACACATAGACATACATAAAATATAACATGTGAATACTGTCTTTACAATTTTTTAAAGTCAAAACTTTGATATTACTTTCAATACCAATGTGATACAATTCGTATTTAGTCAAACAAAGGGTGTTCAGCGCTTCTGTGCTGTAAATAATGTAATATACTGAGACTTATTGCTCAGTTTTAGATAGTCGGTGTTCCTATTTTACGGAGTAATTTTATAATGTTTGCTAAATATGTTTTGAACCTAATCATAAATAAAAAAGATCTTATAAGTATCAGCATCCACTATTTTATAAACAACTTTAGAATCGTCGAATAATGACTCGGTCTAATTAATTAACGCCAAGAGACCTAATTTATGTTGTTGTTTTTTTAGGACTTGTTGTCTATAATGTGGAACGTTTATAAACGCCCTTCTCCTGTAAGCATTAATTCATCCCAGCAACTTGTAGTGTAAGGATCATCGTAGAGTTTCTTCACGGTAAACATAATTATTACATTCATAGTGAGCTTTTAATAATACGAACTAAAATACAATTTAAAATTAGATAGAAATTTGTGTATACATTTATGTTGTTTAAAATTATACTTAAACAAGACAACATCTACGATATAGTTTGAAAAAATTTGAATTTAAATTTAAGATTAATCATTAAAAAATTAAAAATGTAAAAATTACACAAGATCATAGGCCTATTGCAGACTTATATGGACACGGAGTTGTAAAATAAAATAATTTACTGATCGAAAATGAATGTTTTTTAGGAAGAATATTTCGCGAATTTTTCAAAGCGTTTTTAATACCATCTGGTAAAATGCGAAATGTTAGTAAAATGTTTACCGTTGGGCGGAATAAATTCAACGTGTCGAAAACTTTTGCTTTACATTTCTGATGACCGTACAGCTTTTAATATGTTTCTACAACGTCAGTAGGAATGGCTACAAACGAAAATAAAACTCGTTTTTCTTCATGCAATGTCTACTGCGTCGGTATTGAAAACCAACTTGTATGCAAACCAAATGGTACGTGTTCATGCCTAACGAGAAAAGAATTCAAGACTTTTATAAACACAAGTAGATTAGTGGACATGAGTCAGTGGCGTAGCGAGGTCGGGTATCACCCGTGCGGCACTTAATGGTGTCACCCCCTCAGATGCGTAGCGACTCTTCCCGGGGACAAACTTTCAATGTTCGATTTGCACCCCCCCCCTCAAACTTTCGATTTGCACCAACCCCCCCCCCCCCCCCCGCAAACATTTGATTTGCACCCAACTCAAATGTTTCTCTATATATTTTACTATTTTTTGCCTTGGTGTCACCCCCACCCCCCTCGTTACGCCTCTGACCTGAGTTACTATATTTGTAGAAGAGCTGTATGTCGATTTTTTTAGCGCAATTTCCATTCTGGAGAATTGCGTTTATTAACCCGTCATTTCTGGATGTATGAATGAATGGATGGATGGATGGATGTGTGTCCGCAGCTTTAAGTCGTATCTCCTCCTCAACAAAGCAATATCGATGACTAGTTCCAAAAGCAATTATGTTAAGCAAGTTACGAGGATGAGCATAGGTCATAAAAATTCCGGGTTTCTTTCATGTATTTCCCGGAAAAGCCAAAAAACCTCGAAAAAATAAAATGCAGTTTTTGGCCCATATCTCGGCAACCAGACCACTTAGCGACTTGAAACATGTACCAATCGATTCCTGCTATAATTTAGAACAATATTGCCGAAGAAAGTTTTCAAAAAATATCCTCTCGTTCGGGCACAAATTTTAAAATTACATAAACACCTACAAACCGATCGTTCTTCTAGCTTGAACGCACCTCAGCATTATACGTCAGAGCTATTTTTAGACAACATAAGGAAATTGCGCATAAATGTCACTAGACTTTTTTAATTAACTTGTTTGTATGTAAAATATGTGTTGGCTGTATTAGAGATATAGAGAGGGAACGGTAGAGATAAGATGCACACACAAAAAAAAATGGAGAAATAAAAAGCCGTAGATATCTGGATGATATATTTTTTCATGTTAGCTTAAATATATAACGTTAACTTTTGACTAAAAATTAAAGGTCGAACTTAATGTATATATTATAAAACAAAAAAATACCACTACAGGTGAACAAACGGTTTACACGAAAATTATTTCTTACATTTTAATAAGACAAATGATAAGATAATTTTATGAAATAGAAGCACGGTCTAATTAAATGATAATTAAGTGATGATTTATTATTGAAGTAAATTTAAATTGCACATATATTTATGTGTAGAGTAGTTATGTGTCGGTCGGTAAATCCACCCGCTGGATTAATGAGAGTAGAGCTTATGTGACTCTTAGTGATGTACCCAGCCCTTCTACTCTTTATAAGTCAATGCAGGCAGTTATCGAAGGCGGGTGAACTCTATGACCTAGCAAAACACGAATCTGTATAGGCCTACCAACTCAAATGTTTTAGAGAGAAACGTCTAGAAACCGTTGTATAGCCTATATTTATTAAATACATGTTTAGACAAGTCAATGGGTTGTATTAATAACATTTAATCATAAATGTGAAACAACATATCCGAATAAACCTGCACTTAAACCTGATTTATTATGGATTATTCATCTTATTTACACATTAGATATCATCTGTTACCATGGCAATAACAATCAAATTCACCATGACGTTGTTTCTTCTGGTGTTTGCTTCGTTTCCTAAAGACTCATTAACTCAGGCCGGAGAAATCAAAGAATGCTATGATAACTACAGTGACTGCATCTCGTAAGTCCCATGTATATAAACTTAAAGTTAAAAAATCGTAAATACATGGGAATAGGGCATTAACCTCGCGTCCATTACCCCCCATGTCCATGTCCATTTCCGTGTCCGTGTACTTGTACGTGTACACCTACGCTCACAGGCCCGGCTAACGTCCATGTCCACATGCATGTCAAAGTCCACGTCCATATATATATATATATATATATATATATATATATATATATATATATATATATATATTTATTTATTTATTTATTTATTTATTTATTTCTTTATTTATTTCTTTATTTTTTTTTAATTATTTATTTATTTATGTAGGGCCTATATTGAGCCAATATTTTGATTTGATATTGAACAGAATTTGGGGTCTAAATGGACAAGTTCAGAAAGCGACCGCCTGCGAAAGATTCTGTGAGGTATTCGGATACCCAAGGGGCGTGTGTGCGGCAAATGACTGCATTCCAAGATTGTCAGCCGGTAACATTAAGAGTGGAACTTCCTGCACATGTACGAAGTCGTTACTAAATGGATAACGACTGAACGATAAGCGCGTAAGAGGAAGTAAACATTCATATTATCCTCTTTTATATTTGCTTTAAAACTTTGTTACTTTTAAAATTGAAAAAAAAGGCTTTTATGTATGAATTGGAATTAAAATAAAACTTTTCGCCAAATTGTGTTTTGTATTTTTACAAGCTTTTATTTAACTCGCTTCCTCTGTCGTCAGTCGTCAGTCTGTCTGTCTAGATCAGGATACTCCAAACTACGGCCCGCGACGATCTTTTTGTCCACTGAATAAATGTTTGTTGGAGGTGGCTGATGAGCTTTGCACAGAAAATTCAAAACTATTTGAAAATGTAGCTTTGGGTGCAAATACAATTACTCGCCGTGTTGCAGACATTGGTGAAAACATTGCGACTCAAATAGCGAAAAATTCAAGCAAGTTTCGCCATTTTTCAATTGCAATAGATGAGTCGCTGGGCAGCTGTTCAACCTCTCAACTTCTTGTGTTCATTAGAGATGTGGATGAAGACCTGAACGTAACACAAAAGCTGGCTTCCCTATATATAATGTATGACACTGTTACCGAAGAGGATATCTTAACATAGATAGTTCAGAGGCAAAAACAAAATCGCAAGATTTACCATATTTCACATCAGTAAGATTGCTAATTTTGCGAGAGAATTCTGAGCAGAGTATCTAAGAAAAGAAATAGTTGACTTCCTGATAGTAAAAGCAAGTCACAGCCCTTAATGTCTGATGAAGAGTGCGTATAGAAATTGGCCTCTGCTGCAGCCATAACTAGTCATTAAAATTTTCTGAAACTAAAACGACAAGAAAGTGAAATCTAGTTTCTGATCTATACACCCACCTAAAGGCCTTTAGATACAAACATGTCATGTTTTTGGAACAAGTACAGGCTAACAACTTGACACACTCTCAGCAATGCAAGGTCTATACGGCTGAAGCAACCACTGAGTTCCCTACGTCATTTTCATACGAGATCATTAAAGACCTCCAGCCGCAGTATCAGTAGCGATTTTCTGACTTGGACTCAAAGGCAGAAGTGAGACTATTTCAAAGTCCATTTGAAGCAAATGTGGCGAATTGCAAAGATGAACTGCAGCTGGAGGTAATTGAATTGCAAGAAAATGACTTCCTTAGAGACACGTTAAAAGAAGGGCGGATGGGTTTTCATACGTTTTTGCACAAGGAAGACTTTCCTTATATTAAAACTTTTGCATCAAAGTACCTTTCAAATTTTGGAACAACATACCTGTGTGAACAAACATTTTCAAGAATGAAATACGTGAAGAACAATTTGAGAACAAACGTGGACCTCGGGTGGGGGGGGGGGGGGTTGACACTTAAAATATGTATATATTTCTATATAAATTATATTTCGTTGGGGGAAGGGGGGGGGGGGGAGGGGGGAGGGGCGGTAAACGTTCTTCGGGGGGGGAGGGGACGCCACGACCTTGACGAGATGCCTTAAAGAAACTCTGGCCCCCGAGCTGATGTTTAATAGTTAATGCGGCCCTCGGGCTGAAAAGTTATATATATATATATATATATAATGTATGTGTGTGTGCACGTGCGCTTGTATGTTTTACTATAAAGACAATTACATATTGCTCATAGCTGTGTTTAATGGTATGTCACCTCCCCTATACTCATTAGAGCTTGGACCTACCCTCAATGACTGTACATCAACTTTTCTTTTAGCCAAAATGTCAAGTGCTAGTCATGACACTGCTTAATTAAAGTGGGCTTCACAAACACGAGCACATCCGGGAACTGTTTCCGGTAAATAACCGACTGCTATTTTTAACCTTTTAATCAGTACTTACCAGTTGGTTATATTTGGTCAAGGAAGACACATCAGGAGTTTTTGAGTAGGAGATAAGGTACGTTTTTAAAATGTTTCAGTATATGAATTTTCTAATTTGTTTTGTCAATTACTGTAGACAATGTAAGTAGTTTTTGCTAAATAATATGCTCATTAAACTCCTGTTATTGTGGTCAGATTTTCTTTCATGTGTGTGTCCATTTCCTTTTGTTGTTCTTACAGTTAAGAGATTAATTGTGAGATTAATAGATGAAATAAGTGTCCGGTGTGTGGTCACTGCTTCATCTGCCTTATGTGTCTAGGGGCAGAGTGGGAAAAGATGACGATGTGGGCAGGTATGATGCTCGAGGTTGTATGATAGGCTAAGGGTTCGGCGTGGTCGAGTCGGTAAAGCTCATGGTTGCTAAACCGAAAAGTCTCGAGTTCGAAACTTCGGGTAGATGAGGCTCGTTAGCTGGGGACAGACACTCTTCTAGGAGAGACAACTCCAAAATCCAACAACTGCTGCCTTGTAGCTTGTTCTTGGTTGGACAAAGGCTATGGAAGCAAATCCAAAAAGAAAAGCAGGCTGAAATCGGAGTCAATGGCCTCAATGGCGCATAACCAGTTGACACTTAACGCTTAATTGTGTTGAAGGCGTGGTTGATAAATTCGAAAATGTCTCGAGTTCAAACCCACTGGCAGATAAATCTCGATCCCCTTCAACACTAATTATTAAGAACGAAGAAGAAGAAGAAGAAGTAGGATAGGTTTACGACAACTGCTGCCTTTTCCGTTCTAGAACTGTAATTTTGAATTAGTATTCATCCAACACAGTATTACATATAAACATTCTATACAATATATAGGGCCCCTTAAATATTAAATTTACTTTAAAAAATTTGTATTTGTTTCCATGTTTCTTTTTCTCTCCACCTAACGCAATCTCCAAGACAGCAATTATTAGATTTTGGAGTTTTTCTAGCAATTATTATCTTCCCTGCTGGATCACGCCGTCCCCTTCGACAGTCTGGCAGAGACGTAGCGACTTATTCCAGCGCCCGGGTTGAACTCTCAATTTTGCGCCACCCCTTCCACGCATGTGAACAAGCGTCCCACTCCCCTCCCATCCTCGATTCGAAAATGTCGATTTGTTTTTTAAGAGTCACTGTACGATTAACAGTTTTTATTTTGATGTCACAGTATAAGAGTGTCTTCTAGGCATCTCTTCGGGGGTGGGGGGGGGGGGGAGAAGAAAGTCTACCGCCCCCCCCCCCCCCAGAACGAAATGGAATTTATATAACAAACCTATACTTTTACCAGTGTCCGCACCCCCCCCCCCCTGGAAAATGTTGACTGCCCCCCTCCCCCCGAAAATATCAAGTACTCCCCTGGAGGAAAAAGTCTGGTAGAAACACTGCACAGAATTGCTGTTAGTAAATCTGTAAAGATGAGTACAGTCTATTTTTAAACTGCGACTTTGTTAGACATCTCAGAAGGAGCGTTTTATTTTTATTTCTCCCTATAAAATATATTTGATATCTAAGGCTGTTGTGTTTTAGTATGGGGACTAGTGTAAAACATGGGTGTTTAATAGTGTTCGTATATTTCATCATTACATTTAAGAATTTAATCGACCGAATACTCTAGTCATTTATGTGGGTGTTTTCAGTTTTCCTAGTCCTACATCCGTCTTTTTTCCATACTTATCAGTCACTTTAAAACTCCCCGTTCCTGTATTCTTGATTTCTATTTGAGATCCCTTTGTTTTTCCAATGTCCCACTTCACCACTTGACTTGACATCCGGAGTCCAAACTGGATGTAGGTTGTCTGTCGTTATATCCGGTCTGACTCAGACAACTTGTTGACGTTCGTTTTGTGTGAGTGAGGGCTGGTGGGGGAGTGGTGTGTGAGGTGATGTGCGTTATGGATCAGTAAGTGTGGTTAATAAATCGTGTCTTGTGTGTGGTGTAGTGGTATCTCATGGTGTATAATATGGAGGTATCTGGGTTGATGTGTGGAGTGTAGTTGTATCTCATGGTGTATTATGTGGTGTCTAAGTTTATGTGTGGGGTGTAGTGGTATCTTATGGTGTATGGTGTAAGGTGCCTGCGTTGATGTGTGTGGTGTAGTAGTATCTCATGGTGTATGATGTGAAGGAGTCTGGGTTGATGTGTGGGGTGGGGTGGTATCACATGGTGTAAGATGTGGTGTCTAAGTTTATGTGTGGGGTGTAGGGTATCTCATGGTGTATGATGTGGTGTCTAAGTTTATGTGTGGGGTGTAGGGTATCTCATGGTGTATGATGTGGTGTCTAAGTTTATGTGTGGGGTGTAGGGTATCTCATGGTGTATGATGTGGTGTCTAAGTTTATGTGTGGGGTGTAGTGGTATCTCATGGTGTATGATGTGAAGGTGTCTAGGCTTATGTGTGGGGTGTAGTGGTATCTCATGGTGTATGATGTGATGGTGTCTAGGTTGATGTGTGGGGTGTAGTGGTATCTGATGATGTATGATGTAAAGGTGTCTGTGTTTTGTGGGGCGTAGTGGTATCTCATGGTGTATGATGTGATGGTGTCTGGGTTGTTGTGGGGTGTAATGGTATCTGATGGTGTATGATGTTAAATTGCCTGCGTTGATGTGTGTGGTGTAGTAGTATCTCATTGTGTATGATGTGATGGTGTCTCGGCTGATGTGTGGGGTGTAGTGGTATCTCATGGTGTATGATGTGAAGGTGTCTGTGTTGGTGTGAGGGGTGTAGTGGTATCTCATGGTGTATGATGTGAAGGTGTCTGTGTTGGTGTGTGGGGTGTAGTGGTATCTCATGGTGTATGATGTGATGGTGTCTCGGCTGATGTGTGGGGTGTAGTGGTATCTCATGATGTATGATGTAAAGGTGTCTGTGTTTTGTGGGGTGTAGTGGTATCTCATGGTGTATGATGTAAGGTGTCTCGGCTGATGTGTGTGGTGTAGTGGTATCTCATGGTGCATGGTGTATAGGTGTTTGGGCTAATGTAAATGTTGACAATTTTTTTTGTACTAATGTTTATGCAGACAACTTTTTTCACCTTTGCAGGTGTGACACAAAAATAGTGATACGAATCTATAACAACAAGATGTTTCCTCTAGCGACCATGTTTGTGCTGGTTATCTGCCCCTACATCGCCAGCGCTCAAGACAAGAGCAGCAAAGTCTTTTTGTACACGGTCACTGACGACACTTTCGGCATCTACGCCCTAACCTTCACCTCTTTCAACAACGTTGACAAGTAAGCTTTGTTCCTAGTTTTGTTGAAAAATACCAGTCATCTTGTGTGTCCACACCCCCTCCTGTCACTTCTCCATACACTGCAATGATCTTCGTTGACAAATACTTTGTGTTTCTAAATTTTGGTGAAAGTATCCAGTCGACATTTGTCGCCAATCCCCCCTCCTATTAACTGCACTGATATTCGCAGATCTACAACATACATGAGAGACTTGATTAAGATAAAAATTGCTCACATAATGTCTTTCTCAACCCACCCCTCTCTCTATCACTCTCCATATCTCTGTCTTTCAATCTATCCCTTTCACTTTCTCCTTTACAGTTCTCTCAGTATCCCTTCCTCAGTCTCCATCTCTCTCCTCTGCATCTCTCCTTTCTCTCTCCTAATTTGTCATCTCTCCTCTCTACATTTCTATCTAGTTTGTTCGTTTTTCTCTAAGCCTTTTCTCTCTCTTTCCCTTTTTTTCCACCCTCTCTTCCTCTCTCGCTCTTCCTTCCTCTCTTCCTCTCTCCTTTCCTCTTTCTCTCTTTCTCTCATTTTTCTTCTCTATTTTCCTATGAACTATTCGCTCTCTTCCTCCTTCAGTCAATTGCACTCTTTCTCTTTATTTCCATCTGTCTATCCCTTTCCTTTCTTGTCCCTTCCTCACGCTTTCTCCACCCTCCTCAAAAAACTCCTAAACTCTGCTCCTTCTGTATTCCCAGATGGATCAACTGCATATGCGGCAACAACCCCAGCTGCACTGCATCACCTGTCCAACTCTCATCGGAAACTCCATCCGTCCAACAATCAGAGCCAGACGACTGCAACCTCATCGACTTCAAGGGCGACAACGTCACATACCTCGCGCAGACTCCGGTTGCCTGTCTGAGAAACCACACGCAGAAAGTCATCCCTCACCAAAAACTCGCTGTATGTAACCCGCAATGTGTCATACTTGTTTGGTTCGCTGACGGTGACAGGAGCAGTTTCAATCCTCTGAGTTATTGCAAGTCTGCACAGAACATGAAAACATCATTACCAGCATATACCGCAAAATCCCTTACAGAGCCAATTTATGTAACTACTCCAAAAACACGTACAGAACCAATCTATGTAACTACCACGCAAGCAACTACCAGTGCAATCTCTACCGTTGAAAATAACAGCAAAACGGAGCTGATCGTCGCCGTTATTCTTTCCGTAGGATGCACGATTTTAGTTGTCTTCGCTGTCATCATCATTATCGTATGTGTTAAAAGAAAGCGACGAGGTCGTACGATTTCTTCAAAAACCTCATACGCAGTCAAACGAGGAACGGAAATTTCCGAAACGGAAAAAATCTCACCGGAAGGGCAGTACTCCAGCCTCGACGCCAACTACAGCAGCGGGCACACGTACGCGGGCGTGACGACAACGCCCGTGTACTACAACGCTTCTGACGTCACGAAGTTTAAAAACACGAATCCGTCTCCGAAAGGAAAACAACAAAACGAACAAACAAGACCGAAAATGTTACTGCGCGATGAAAGTATCGCTTCCGAAGTCAGCAGCCACGCCTACATTTCCCCCGTGACTTCCGGGTACTACACGAACCTCTACGACGGCATCGACGAGGGCCAGCGAGACAGCCAAGGAGTGTACAGCAATACGGAGCCGGCTGCTTTCTACTACAGCCAGGCTGGTGGGACTAAAGGTCAAGGCCATGAATACCTCTCAATCCTGCCTCCTATTGATGATTATACGGAGGTAAACACAGCATAATCTAGGTCATGAGTTTGTTTTTCTTAAATAGAATTTCTCAATGATCAGAGGTCGGCGTAGTAGGGTCGGTTAAATTTATGGTTGCTGCAACCGAAAATTCCCGATTTCAAAACCCCGGGCAGATGAGGTACAATAGCTAGGGACAGCAACTGATCTATAAGAGACAACTATAAAATCAAACAACTGCTGCTTCGTAGTTTGGTCTTGGATGGAAAAAGGTTATGGTATGGAAACAAATCCAAAAAGAAAACAAGGCTGGAATTGGAGTCAGTGGCCTATTTGGTGCATAACAAGTTGATACTTTATACTTCATCATGATGTGTATGTGTGTGTATCTGTGTGTGCGGTGCCATGATAAAGCAGAATCGATATGACGCCATACACAATGCTATACATCAGCTCAGAATATTTCTCAGACTTCTCCTCGGAAAAAAAGTCAAGCGCTGCCCCCCCCCCACCCCCTCACACACTCACCCCGACGAAATAAAATGTATATAGAAAATAAGTGCTTTTATCAGTGTCCGACCCTCCCCCCCCCCCCCCCCCCAGGATAATTTATTCCGCCTCCTCCACCCTCGGAATTTTAAGTGAGTAGCGTACAGTTGATGAAAACCTCACTCATTGTGTAAACACTTGACTTAGATGCTGTCCTGTGGAGTGGTTAAATCTTCATTCAACTTTATGCTAGCTCACACCCCTTAGTACATTGTACGTACATATACGCACATACACACACACACACGCGCGTATTATTTAAAAATGTAATAAATGTATACATCATTAAAATAAAATACAAATAAAATAAACAAACATACAAAAAAGATATCTGTCATAAATCTAAAATTAGAAAAAAAAATAATCAGAAAAGCTAAATTGTTAGACTTTTGAGAAATCATGTTTACAAGTCACACGATATAAATTCACTTTCTTGACTTACTAATCTGTCATGTATCTCTTGCATGAATTTGTATAAATTAGTAGTGTTTTCTATAACCTGAATTTGTTCTGTGAACCTGGTCTGGTGAATTGTATACAATTTATAACGAAAATTGTTTGTTTGTATTTTGTTTAGCTGTTAATAAAATGCATGAAATGAACCAACAACAATTACAATGAATGTCTCACTTTTAAAACTGAATTTTTAATTCATCATCACACTAAGCATATTGTCATCTTCATCATTTTTAATTTTATAATTTTTTTTTTAAATTTTTTGAAAAATAAAATGTTTTTCCATTAATAAGAATGTGTCATATTTTTTTATTAAATTGTTTTACGATTTGTTACTATTCGTATCTTGTACCGAATATCTTAGTTACAAAAACACATAAAGTATGGTGTTTAATTTTTTTTTGTTTTCTGTGGGTATAGCTGAAGACTTGTGAGTGAAGTTTAGGGTTAGTCAAAAATGGAATTATAGGTTGCCCTGGCAAATGATATCAGGACAAATAAATTCAGACAAATTAAGCTGTGAACATCTGCTACTGATTGCCTTATGGTTTTGTTTTTACTTTACTACCCATAATAATTTGTCATATCAACAATTAAGAATAGGTTAAGATTTTAAAATTACTACAGCATTAATAGTAAATAGAAAAGAAACACAGCATAAACTGTGTGTGGAACGGAGTGGTCTAGCTGTTTAGCGGTAGGGCGCTTGACAGCTAACCTGAAAGTCTCAAGTTCGAGTCCATCCAGCTTTGATGGGTACCTAACTCACCCAAAATTAAGTAAGCTTGACATAGGACTGACCAAACTATCCCTTTATAAATGAACTCTACTTCATCTGTTATATGTATCTTAGATACGAACGTGAAAAGATGATGATGATAAATCCATTTGACTACTTTGTACCATACTGTATTGCAGGGGTTCCCAACCCTGTGCCCGCGGGCGCCATGGCGCCCGCTGAACGATTCGTATGTGCCCGCCTCTCACTATTCGACAGAGACAGAATTTTTTTCATAAACATTATTTTAAAATATGCTTTATTTTTATCCATTTGTTACAGTTTAAATTTTTTTTGACTGCCTAGGTTTATTAAATATGTTTGATACTTGTCCCAACTTGTCTAGCGGCGAGCCAGACTGCACTATTTACGCTAGCCTGGAACGGCTAAGCCATTTGCATATCACACCTTGTACACGCAGAAAACCCGAAGTGAACGAATGGAACGAACGCCACGAACTGATCCGATAAACGCCGAAGGCGCCAAATCACAAGGCACATATTTCTGATTGCTTCGGCGATCATCGGCTCACTTCGGATTTTCCGCGTTTACATGGAGTGATGTGCAAAAAGCATTCCCCCGCCTGGAACCGCATTGTTGTCATTGTGATTGCTGTCCTGTTCGGGTCGCGACAGTTAGATAAGAGGCATGTTCGTCAGACGAAACACGAATTAGGAGTTTTCTATAAAAAAAATAACAGGCTCAAAGCGAGGTGCGTAATTTATTGTATTCATAAGCGATGATCTATTAAAAACAGTTTGAAGAGAGATTTTTGCAGTTTAAACAAATTGAGCCAAACGTTTCCTTCTGTATCAATCCTTTTGCTTGCTAAATAAATGTTATGGAAATAGCCGCATGTGTTGCAGATTTTGTTCAAGATAAGACAGAAGAACTAGAGTTAGAAAATTTGGACCTTAAGAATACTATTTTGCTCAAATCCTTAATGTCAGAGGACTTTTGGAATACAGTGGATAGAGAAAATTTCCCATTGTTGAAAAAAGCGGCATATACAATTGAATTATTTTTCGGTTCGACATATTTATGCGAATCATTGTTTTTAAACATAAAATCAAGATGTAGATCTCGACTCACCGATGAGCATCTTTATAATTGTCTGCTAACAGGATTATCGTCATACGCTCCTAATTATGAAGCTCTGGCCAATAAAATGCAATGCAAAAGATCACATTGACTTTATTATATGTTTTAATTAAATGTTTTCTTTGTATTTATGTGTTTTGTATACTTTCTTTACGTTTTGTAAATACATTTCTCTGTGTGTATGCAATTTGAAAAAAGAAATGCCAAATAATTTTATTATTTTGAAACATTTTTGTTTATTATTTATTGACTAGGCATGCTGCCCAGCTTTGCTTAGGCTTTCGAAAACATTGAGAATTTGAATGCTTAATTAATTCGCCCGAGGGTCGGTCTACGACCTCAGGAGTTATGAAGAGGTTCCTCCGTGGACATTTTTTTTTCGATTTACAGCTCATATAAGGCGCCGGTCAGTCGAGGTCAGTTTTGACCCCATCATCGTAGACTTTTCGGCCAACCGGCCCCCGTGTTCTGTCGCCCCAAAGCAAGATCCTGCCAAATTTGAAGCGCCTACGGCGCCGGGAAGTGCCCTATCGGGCACCCGACAACTTTGCTTTATATATTATAGAGATTAGCAAATTGCATAGATAAACAAAGATTTCAATAAAGTAATTAAGGCCTGAAATACTTTAGTATTGAAATGTATTATTTGAATAGATGAATCTAGAATATCTAGATCTAGAATCCAAATACATAAAATAAAGTTTATGAGTTTAGGCCGGAAAAATTGTATTGTATACATTTCATAGTGTACGTAGATCTAAATCAAATTTGAATGAAATAGTTCATTTCTTTTCATTCTAAACACGGCAGATGACGTCATTAGTTAATGTATAAGCAATAGTGACGTCACAGTTTTATGCGTTCTTTTTCACATATATTAATGCTTTTCCGGTTGCATAAATAATACTGTTTCTCTACATTCGAATACGCCTTTAATTTTTATTTTTCTTCTTTAACTAAAATTGTGGTTATACATTTAAAACATCTAACATATTATTTTCAACAAAAGTCCGTAAAAAGTTCTTCATATATCGCTGCCGATTCTGACGTGATGTCCGGCGAAAATATTTTGCGGACAGACAGAGAGAGAGAGAGAGAGAGAGAGAGATGTGCGAACGTGGGGATTTATATATTAGGATACATTATGACTATAAGAAAACAAGAAAATAAATTATGGGAAAATTACAAGTTATGGAAGGAGTTTGTCGATTTAAAATAGGTGGTGCCTGCCACCCTACCGATATTTTAGAATGTGCTCTAGAGTAAAAAAAGGTTGGGAACCCCTGCTCTACTGTAATACGTAATTTAAACACTATGAGATCCATCCAGGACGTGCTATAGAAATTGTCTCAAGAAATCTCACTCTAGCACCCGAGTTTGTTTCTTTATTTGTTCAACCGTTCTGATGTAAAAAAAAAACCCATCAGTCTCTTTATTTAAATGTTCTAATGCTTACTAATCATCAATTAATTAATACGTTAATTCAACTATGTTAATTTAATATATACGAGCCTTCCCGCGGCGTATCATACGCCGCTATTTAGTTGTTTTATTTTCTACTTTTCAGTAATTCATAATTTGTGAATTCGACAGTACCAATGCTGCCACTGAAAATAATTGCTATAAAACACTAACCCCCCTTTCCCCCCCCCCCCCCCCCCCCCACCCCCGTGAAGGCAACTTCTTCTTAGTTACCTCCTCTAGGTAAAATCGTTTCAAACTAAATTATCTGCCCCTAATAGCCGTCACCAAACCCGGCTCTACGATCGTAAAATTTAGCGTGAACGACAGCTCACCAGACCATGTGAGGGGGGTGGGGGAGGGGGTGGGGGTGGTAGCGATAGAGAGGAAAAGAGGGGACTGCAAGGCGCGCTTGCAGCTTGTTTTCTAACGTCTCCCAGAAGAGAATTATATATATACGAGCCGGCCCGCGGCATAACATACGCCGCTATTTAGTTGTTTCTAATTTTCAATAATTCATAATTTGTGAATTCGACAGTACCAACGCTGACACTGAAAATATTTCTTTAAAACACTATAAGTAGCTCGTTAAGGACCATAACCCCCCCCCTTCCTTCCCCCCATCCCCCCCCCCCTACGTTTAAAATCGTTGGCTCTGCTTGTAAACATTTAGAGTGAACACAGCTCACTAAAACCATGTAGGGGTGGGGAGGTAAGGAGAGCGTTTGCAGCTTGTTTTCTAACGGCTCGAAGAGGAGAATTATATATATAGATATAGATTTATTAAAAATTATTTGCACCTTGAAAATTCCACAAGCAGGGTGGGGGTGGGGGTACGCGAGGCCTCGTCCTATAATATGTACACACAGAATCCTTGTATTATAAGGAAAATCTCATTGAAGTTCCCCTCCCTAACCAGTAGCTACACGCTTGTGTACACGGCTTATAGGCACGACCTTCGCCTGCCCGTGTTTTAGACCTAATAAAACACGGCTTTGTTTTACCTGTTAACGGTCT